GGTTGGGGGAACAACAAGTAAAACAAGCTTAAAGATCTGATAAAATGTTCTTTAGTTTTGCGTCATCACAATTCGTCATTTTTAACACGGATGCGTTTGTGTAGTTTCATACGCACTCACCGATTCGAATTCTTGTTCAGTCAACGTATTGCAATATCCGCTATAACATCCGCTTCTTGTTAAACCTTTTGTTCAAGTTTATGTTACACGATTGACGACTTATTTAGAAATAACATGTCATAGTTATAATTAAATTAACTAATATAATGATGAATTATTATAATTAAATATAATTAATTATAATTATAATTTAAATATACCTTTGATAAATGTCAAGTTATCATCACCATCTGCAGTAGTACCCCGGCCGCATTGCCTGTTTTTGCTCTGGCCTCATCGTCGACTGGGACAGTACGGTTGGTTTTGAGCTATTGAATATCCCATAGTTGTTTATTGAAAAACCCCTTTGCAATATTGTTTGCTGGTACACATCATAAGCCACATGAAATTTTCCTCTACTGACTGTGAATACCGTGCACTTCCAATTTTCATTACCATTTGATTATTGCATTGAACGCATTGAAATCATCCTGAAATGACGGTCTTGGTAGATCTGGAAAAAAGTTCTGTAAATCTCATTGACCAAAAACCTCGAATACTTGATTAACAGAAATAATTTACAATGTGTACAAGAAGAAAGAAAGCAGGATATGCTTGCTTCACCGGATTCTGTGATCTTGCAGAGTAATAACGCGAAAAATAGTCTCAGGAAATAGTAAGCGACACGACGGACGAGATCGATGTGTAATGAAACATAAGTTTTAAAAAGATGAAATTTAATACATTGAATTCTGTCGTGTCGCTTTGTCCCTGACTATATTTCGATATTTACAAAGCTGCTGAAGGAGAGAAACGCAGCTGAAAAGACGAACGAAACCTCGATCTCGTGGTCACGCACTTGGCCTAGGCCTAGCCAACATTAATATATTTAAATGTTGCAGTTTTCCTATTTCGTTGAAAATGGCAGCCAGTGACAATTCAAGACAGAGATTGAAGGCTCAATCGAAAAAACTACCACAGAAGAATAGAGGTAAAGTTTTGAATAGCTATTTAGCAGTTCTTTATATCCAGTTTGAGTTTACAGAGGTACAGTTTTATTATAAAATTGTAATTCCTCGAAAATTGTAAGTTGTGAGTCGATACATAATCTTAAATTGTTTTTGAAAACGGTTACATAGAGAGAAAGTCCAAAGCAAATTATATTTTGCTGTCTTGTTGATAAAAACTTCATAGAAATTTAGAAAATGTAACGAAAACACCAATTAATTATCTTAATAACATAGATCGTTGTTTTTCAATATTCTTATTAACCCATTTTCCTATAAAAGAGTGTTGTTATGTTATGTGAAAGGCTTTTAGTTTAAGCGGGCATAGCACAGGGGTTCGTTAGTACTTCGAGTGCGGGGCCAGAAAACATGTAAATTTTCTTTGGGGACCACAGGGCCTTCGACTTTTATATACCTTGTGTTAAAAAAGCGGCTCAAAACAAAATTCAGGTCTCAAACTTTACAGGCTAAAATAGAAATAAAATAAACAGCCCCATAATTTCAATCATTAAATTTTTTCAGTGTGCTTATTCTCGTGAAATAAGCTTTGGAAAGGTGGATGATAACATGCTTCACCATTTGATGTCAAAGTTGAGATGGCCTCTGAAAATCATTAAATGAAGTTGATCGATCTGCAGGGTACCAGTGAATTGAAATTCAAATACAAGGACACTGATCTTATCCAGTTTTGTTACTCTCCTCCACAGAGGCTATTGGGGAAGGAGATGGGGTTCGAGCAATGGCGAAGTGCAAAGAATAGGAGGGGGTGGGCGGATGCTTCTTCTCTCTCGCAGCTACTCCACTTTTTCTTTTCTTCTACAGTCTCTTTATCCTATCTCTCTTTCCCTCCCAGTCTCCCTCCCCAATTTGCTCTGCAGAGGAGAGTACAGTTTTATAAAGAGTGTCTCCAGGGTGATTGTCCATATCCAGGTCTGGTGCAGCATGCCAAGAAGATGTGTTGCATGTTTGGAAGTACTTATCTTTGGGAAAGTCTCTTCTCAAGTTACAGAACATTTATGGATAAATACATTTTTATAGATCAGATTAGTAAATACTTGCCATCAGGGGTCGCGCGAAGCGTCGCAAAGTAGGTAATCAAAAATTTGCGAGCAAAGCGAGCGAATCCGCCAGGGTTTCAGGGCCACGCCCTTTCAAAAACCCGAAGAATGGCGAAGAATCATATGCTTGATGGTTCAAATGTTTTAGCAATTTCGAAAACAATTTCCCTCTTGCTTTTTCTTGTGCGGAAAAATATACAACATTATCAATGTGATTATGAACCATTTATGCGTATCTTGATGCATTTTTGTTGTGCCTAACAGCCTCTCTTTGCCTTGCCTCATCTAATGCACAAGCAACATCGATATAACCTAGCTGTGCGGTTAGGTAGAATTTAGTTTTGGGATGCTTGATGACTGCCATTTTGTACCCTGTCGAAGTAAACCATGAAAGCGTCTTAGTATGAAAGGCGCTTTCATCTAAAATGTACATAAAGAATCATCATTAAACATCCAACATATTTAAGGTCGATCTTGATTATTTACTTAATGTCTGAGTTCCCTTTCTGTGCTTACAACCACAGAATATTCCGCCGCACAACAAAACAACCAAATGCCTTGAGGTTCTGTTTTGGAGTTGCAGTGAACGGCTGACAGTTCATGCCATGGGTTTTGAGCCTGTAAATGATTCTAAAATAACAGAACAGACCTATTAAAATCGGCCAAAAGCCCATTGTCGTGAGCCGTAAAAAGGGCAAGGTAATCAAAAGTGGATTTGCTTACCTTGAAAGGAATGACCAGGAATCACTACGTAAAGATTCCATGCAGACTTATTTGTCCAGGATAAACGACTCTGCACATTTTCTGGACAATAATTTTCCAAGAGAACACTTATTAGTAGTTTTTGAAAAGTTTTTTAAATTTACTACAAGCCTCTTTAAATTGTTTAATCTTTAATTTTTTATCAAAATATTGAAGTAAAACTTTCCTATTTGGCAAATATTCCTGAAATAAATTATTAAATCTTAAATGCACCGTTGATAAACCACCCATCACAATAAGACCAGCAATAAAAAATGTCCCTTCCTTCTTTGTTGTTACATCCACATATCCACGAATAAACACATAGACAGACTCACTGGTTCATCCTTTTTATGTTATTCTGGAGCATGGCTATCCATCCTTTTTTAATTACTAACGCTGCTCATGATTAGCTGATTTTCTTGCTCAGAATGTAGTGAAAATACCCCCAGCAATAGTCATTTGTAAGCACTCTACTAATCATGAAGGATGTGGAACTGCTCTCAAGGTAATGAAACTGCGGAATGATTACGTTGCTGTGTGGGGCTCTTTGTTCAAAAGCCATCAGCACAATAAGACCTACGTCACAGAAACATCGAAAAGGTCATCAAACAGGGATCTGATTACCTTGCAGCTTCGCGGCCCTCAAGGTTCTCAAAGCTCTCGCGGCCGTTTGAGCAATATAACAAAAAGAACATGCGTCAGAGGATTAAGAAATAATTATCGCCTGCCATGAAAGAAAAGCCAAAACAAATGAAGATCAAAATGTCAATACGCTGTAAAACAGCCCCTAGACAAGCTTGTCCTTATGGATTCGCTTCACAACAGCTTCAATCAAGACTTTATAACATTCATTGTGGTCGTAATATAAAATTTTGGACCATATTTCTAACCTTCTCCTTGCATTTCAATTTTATGCACCACAGAAGGTATCTGGCTTCTTCTGAACAAACATTAAATCCATAATTGTTATTTTTCAGAAAGCAAGACTGGGAAAGGAAAAAGCAAAAATTATGTATACCTGAAGTTTGCATCAATTGCAATTTTGTCCTTTGTTGTGATAGCAGGCATAATTTTGATCAGCAGTAAGGATTCTTTCATTGGAAAAAAACCTCAACCAAGTAAAGAGGAACAGAGAAAGCCAAAGGACACCCCAAAGACCACCCCAAAGACCAAAACAAAGGATGCTCCAAAACCCAAAGCTGATGATCTTAAGAAACTTTTAAACAAGCATGATAAATCTATAAGCGATGTATTAAGAAAAGCTACCAAAATGTTAGATGGTAAGAGAATTGATGATGCTGTCAGAGAATTTTCAGTTTTATCTACGAAATACCCCAAAAGCCCATATGCAAGATATGGAAAAGCAAAAGCAATTGATGAAGAGGCCGAGAAAAAAAGAAGCAATGAGCTCCTATTGGAAGCAATAAAGCTTTTTAATACTGTACCAGATATTGAAGATTGCCCATCTACGTTGAAGAAACTTGCTCTGCTTAGAAGTGCAGAAAGGCTATCATTTCTTGGAAAACCTTTGGGAGCAGTGAGAGTATTAGAAAAGCTTGTAGCATTTCTTCCATCCGATCCAGATGTTAACAGAGCACTAGGAGTGCAGTACTTGCTGGCTGGTGAAACAGCCAAGGCCTTGGCTCCATTTGAGAAGGTAAAGCTTATTGCATCATGAGTTCTAAAGACAATTAAATTGTTTGAGGATGGGGAATGTTTGCTAAGAAATCAATTCTATTCCCGATTATAAGCCCAAGTGTACATACACCAGAAAAGTGCTGGCATTTCACTGAAATTCTTCAGAGAAACGTCACAAATTTCAAAACAGGCAGGATGGACAATGCCTTTCATATTCAAACGCTATTTAATTGTTCAAGGCAAGCTATTGCAGGATAAATCCAGAGTGATATGGCTTTTATGATATATGTAAATATTTTTCAGTATTTTTTGCCTTTACAATTATTTTTTAGAAGACGTAGACATTCCTGTCTCCTTTAATCTGGTTTAAAGCAATTATACAATCTAGGACAATCCAGGACAATCTTTGCAATAGTAGAATTTCTTACCTTAGAACAATTAATTTCAGAAAAAGTGTTTGTTTAATATTTATTCAATGATTCATTAGATGGAGTAGTTTTTGCTGATGTATTTTTAATGTTCTGTTTTTATAGGTGCTAGAGGTCCTTCCTACAGATGGTCATTCCAAATCTCATGTTGGGTTTATTTTAAAGTCTCTGGACAAATTTAACGAGTCAATTCCATACTTAACTGAAGGTATTAATAGTGGGGACCCTGGTGCAGATAACGGAAGGTTTTATTTCCATCTTGGTGATGCATACATTCGTCTTTATAAACCAGATGAGGTAATTTTTCGTAGTTTTACTAAATGGACTTTTAACACAATTTTTTCCTTCTTCACCTTGACCATGTGCAAGACATCAAGGGATTTGTAGCTTGTGTTTTCTTGCAACTGGAACTCTCAAAAACTTGTTTTTCTAAAATAAAAAAACTAGTTCTGTTTTTTCAAATTTTTGTGGAATGTGAAAAAATCACTGTAGCCTGCATTGCAGGCCATATTCTTAGGGATGTGCTCTGCGACAAAGGCTACCATCACTTTAGATGTCCATAATTATCCTTTTTTGCTGTATTCCTTGAAATCAAACTATTTTGGATTTTGGGTGTATCAGACTTTCCTTTTGGGTGTATCACTATAAACTGAATTGATATCGCATGTTTTGTAATTGTGTATGTAAATCACTTCTCTGTTTTTGCCTTGCAAGTAAAATTTCTCCATGCTTCATTTTCTGTGATCAAAGCTGTTTTGAGTTGACCCTCTAGCATATTCTATACACCTCATGGGTTTTATAGGAACTGAAAAAATAAACCCATATTATGTCAATTTTTCTTTTATTTTTGATTACTACTGACCATGAATTCATTTAGCAGTTTATTGTTTACAAACTTGTTATTGTTCAGCCAAGACAATAAAGTTCACTAAAAGGCAAAAAGCAAAAAGTACATAAAACCGCAAAACAACACGTTGTGGGCTTGTGCATTGCAGTAAAAGCAACAACTTTAGATAGAAATTTCAAAACTTCCAAAGTCCCATCAACATCTGTCAAACAAATATTATTTTTCCAAGATGAAATTTTTTTATTTTGAACTATCAAAATTTCAAATTAATAATATGCATCTACTGTTTGATAATACCAGCAATGACACAGTTTCTGTCTTTGGAAAAGATAGCACAGAAGATGTTCATCAAGATAAAAGCCATTAGAGGTAAATCCTAATAAAGATATTCTGAAGACCAACCACTCTTGAATAAAATGAATTTATACAGTAAAAATACATTGATAATTTTTTTACTTTTGATTCATAGGCTTCCTATTTTGTTTTTTATAGAATGAAAGTATTGAAGGGAAATTTTTGCTTTAAACTCCGACACCAGTGCCTGATTTCAGGCCATTCGTGTTTCAGATAAATTTTTCGAAAAGTTTGATCCGTCTAAAGTTATTGCTTTTATTGTATTTGCGAAATTTATTGACACAGTTCCTTGGTATTTTATGATTTGCCAAAAAAATACATCATCTTAAGAGAACAGAAAAGCAAAAATCTGCGCATTTTATGCACTTTTACAGTGGACTCACTCAGGGATGCTGGAGAAGGGGGTGTGGGGGGTCAACGGCCCCTGATGCCTTTTGATAGGAGGAGCAAGGGGGCAAAGTGCCCTTTCATTTAAATGCCCTTGAAACCGGCCATTTGTCATAATCATATAGATTCATATGAAATTCTGAATGTAGTACCTAATTCATGACGACATTTCTCAAAACCTGTAAAATTATTCCTTATGCCAAAAGTTTGCAAATGTTCAGCATTCTTCTCACCAAGTGTAGAAGAGAAATATTTCGAATAGACAATGGCTCGAATAGTGAAAGCAATATCTGTGAAAGTATTAACAGAAATGGTATTAAACTTCTTTCAAATAGTTTCAAACTTCAACTGAGTGCCAGTTGAAATAAAAGAGAATCCACTATTTCCTAAACCATTATAAATTTCACGGGCTCTTTCCTCATGCCACATAACCTTGCTTATATCTCTCGTTATCAATTTGCTAAACCCTTTTTTCAAATGTGCCCAAATCTTTTTTGCAAACATATTCCATCCAACTTATTTACAATTTCTCTAGTTATAAGGATACATTAACCAGCAAATCTATATAGCTCAAATAAATTTATTGAATTCATTCTTCCAACATCCAACTTCTTTTCATAGCAGCTTTTTCAAGAGCTTGGTGATGCGCTGATAACGCTATAACAAAAACAATATAATTCATCCTCAAACAGTGCACTTTTATTTTGCATGTCAATCATCGAATTTTTTAATTTTTTATGTTGGTTATATATAATTGGTTAACTTTGAAACTGAACAATAGATGAATCAGAAGAGACCGGATTCGACAGTAGCTAAAGAAATCTGTCAAACAACATTAGCCAATGAATAAGCTTGTGAATGGAATCACACTCATTGATTGGTTAATTCTTGATTGAAAGATGGCTTTAGCCCCTTTAGTATCTGTCGACTGCCTTTAAGCTAAATCAAATCCATTATGCGAAATGCCCTTTTGATGACAGCACATTTATTGCTGAAAAGGTAACTCAGTATAAAGAAATGTATTACTAATTTCATCATCTTGTTAGGCCCGTCGTGTTTACGAACAAGGTGCACGAAAAGGAATATTTCTCTCTGCTTTGCAACGATCGCTGTATAACGCTGATACTCCGTTGACAGCCAGGCCCTGGTGGACGCATAAGGAAACAGGTTATTCAAAGCACCTTGCGTAAGTTTGTCCTATTTTACACCGAAAAGTCAGTCGTAGTTTTGTTATAAAGATTTAGACATGTTAATGCCTATATACACCTTTTTGTCCTCACCTCTCTGTACTTTTCGACAAGGCTACAGTGCTTAACATGAACTTGTAAGGCTCCAAGATAAGTCCAAAGCTAGCACTGATAAAGGCGGTAAATCTTCAAGGCAATTACCTTACAAATAAACAGCAGAAAATTGAGGTAGTAGTTCATTCAGTTCTTGGAAAGACCTAACATGTGGCCTTCAGCAGAGATCAGTTTTGGGCCCTCTATTGTTTAATATATACACTGTGCACTAATGATCTCTTACGTGTTATTCAGATCTTAGATATCTGCAATTATACAGATGATACTACTAAATATTTTTGCGACAAGAACCTAAATAACTTAACTCGTAAGCTTGCAAATGACTGTAACGTAGCCATAAAGTGGTTTGCTGACAACTTTATAATCTAAGATTTATGACAACAAGATAAATGTCATCCTCTGGTTCTTGGGCAGAAATATGATGGTCTAGCTACTGTAAAGATAGCAAATACTGATATCATTAGTAGCTCTAACGAGAAATAACTCGCAGTTGATATTGATAATGACCTCCTTTGACCACTGCGTCTCCTTTGATCCCCATATATGGATCAGAACAAATTAAAAAACTTGATGACAGCATTTATTACCAGTCAATTTCAGTACTGTACTTAAAACAAGTATGAGCGGATCTAAAACTTGTCAGCTTACAGATCAATTAATAGGCAACCAATCACGATAGATTTTTCTATTGCTACCAGACATTTCATACCATTATGTCCTTTGGATACACGTTGATTCTCTTAAATCTGAATGTTTCACAGCTTAACCAAAAGCTCAAAAAATACAGGAAAGGGCTTTTTAAGACCGGAACCGGTGGTAAGAAAGTGGTCTGCCTCAGTGAATGTTCGGAATTTTGACTTGAACACGGTAGAACATTCTATTGGAAGTTTAAAAATCAGTTCGATAGTGAAAGTCCGAGTTATCCCGGCTACAACTTAACGGGATAAACTGTATATAGTGAAATTTAAAGGGGCTCGGTCACATGTGAGGAACAATGTTGTTGTGTTGATGCTTGTGGATGGGGTGAATCCACCACAGCAACTGGAATGTGATTTGGTAGGACATCGCAGCCGATAGAGAATATTTTAACGTTTTTTGTTACTAAAATATCATTTTGTCATTGCTAAAGCCTCAAGGATCGATTTTATACGTATATTTGGACATCATTTTTATTAATTCGTCCATGAAAAAGATGCCGTTTGTCCACAGCGGGAAAACAAGAATCGAACGTCCTGAAGGGCTGTTTGGCCGAAGAGACAGCACAGAGACATCTGTGTGTGGAAGCCCAGGTTCACGAACAATAAGCAGACATCAAGATTTAACGGTCTGCCATTTTGTCAGACACTCCCCTTTGACAATTGGTAATCAAAAATTCCTCTTACAAGCAGACTGTCCCACACAAAATGTTTGTTAACGGTTACATGACCCAGCCGTCTACTTCTAGAAACATTTTTTCTGGCTTCTTTTTAAATGGTTACATTTCATTGGCTGCTGAGAAGTTCAATATTAATTTTCTTAACCAGGCAACAGGGGATTTTGTTACTTTCGTTTACATTATTTGATGACGCTCAGAGACACATGATTGATAAACCGTAAATCCTCGAATAAACCCCCGGGCGCTTATTTGCAAAAATGAATTTGTGGGTGGGGGCAGGAGGGGGGGAACTTATTTCAAGTATTTTCCTCAAAGGTCGACATAAAAACGACGTAATTTTCTTAATGAAATAGATTTAATAGCTATTGTCCTGTGGGGGCTTTTTGAAATAAGATATTGTTCTGCAACTTTGCTTCCCTCGTGGGGGCTTATTCGAGCGTGGGGGCTTATTCGAGGATTTACGGTACTGGCAAATGTTGTAAAATAAATTGGAAATACTGGAATCCATGTAAAGACCATTCCGTCCAGAGTTGAGAAGTAAAGCAGTTTTTTGTTGAAAAACAATTGTTTGTTTCAAAAATTACCAGTGTTTGCATCTTTGTTTCAGAGCTCTAGAAGCAAACTGGAAGACTATCAGAGACGAGGCAGTTGGCCTGTTAAACAAAAAAGAGCATGGAGGCTTTGAACAAGAGGCTGAAAAGCTACAAGATACTGGGGACTGGAAACAATTAACATTATTCGAAAGAGGAAGCCAAGTTTGGGCTGGATGCAAAAGAGCGCCAAAAACATGCGCTATCGTCAGCAAAATGAGTGAAGCGACAGGATGCAGTCGAGGCCAAGTGAGTTATCCCTATTGAAGCCGTTTACTGTAAACGCCGATTCAATCAAGCTTTTCATATAAATCCATTGCAACATTATGTTATGCTATGTTGTGCTCCGTGCTCTTTCATATGAAACTAGTTCTAATACGAACAGTTCAGTATTATGGGCACAGTTTTAACAGCGTTATGTTTAGTATTTCTTTCTATTCATCTAACATTCCTAAATTCTATTTTCTATATTTATTAGGGGCTTCAAATTGAATCTGCTTAATTGTTCTCAAATTCGTCCTGAGACTCATAAACTTGTAAAATCTTTCGTGGATGTCTCCTGTTTCGTAAGTAGGCATGCAGTGCAAAGTTTTGTGGTTTGCATTCGGCTTCTGTTACCGTTTCAGATAAAATTTTCCGTGATGTACCCTGGCACACATGTCTGGCCGCACACAGGTCCAACCAACTGTCGTCTCCGTGCCCATCTGGGACTAGTTATTCCCAAGAACGTTTTTATTCGAGCCGGCGATGAAACGAGGTGAGTCGTCAAAAATGCCGTTTGGCTCCATGTATTTGTATGATATGTTCGTAACAAAACTGTTATGTTGGATATGTTTGCAGCAAAAGTCATACAGCATTTTGTATTGAGGTTTAGAAAATGAGGAATACGAGGCAGGGTAAGACATTGAATAGTATAGTACATACAGAGTTTTCCTTTAAGCATTCAGTCAAGTTGGAATAACCAAGGTCTTTCTGGCTCTAGTCTCTTAACTTAGATTATGCCAAATAGAACCTAAGAGGTTATGGTGAAATTCTGAACCGGACCTAGGCGTCCATGTGCCTTTTCTTTCCTCCTATTACCCAGCCTCTACTGTATGAGCTGAAGATTTAAAATCAATGCTCCTAAAAAATCTTGTCCTTTAGCAATGGCATCGTATCCCACAACCATCCGAAAATTCAGCTGCTTTGTTCATATCGCTCTGCCTTTTACAAGATATATAGACGATTGTATTAACTTTGTCTGGTACATTTCCAGTTGATTCTTATCTGTATTAGCCAAACAATGCATAGGGCTCACCTAGCAGAGTTTTCATGACAAAACCTTGTCTTTTATTCATTTGCTTTGAGATCTGATCGCTATCCTACTTTGACAGGACCTGGCAAGCGGGCAAAGTGATTGTGTTTGATGACTCTTTCGAGCATGAAGTTTGGCACAATGGAACGTCAGTCAGGCTGATTCTCATAATCGACTTTTGGCACCCTGAATTGACTGCGCAGCAGAAAAGAACTCTTTCTCCAATCTGAAGTCGTTCTACATATATATTTATTGACAACTATAGGGCTCACTTTCCCCCTTTTTGCAAATCAAATTTTTAGTATCAAATGAATTAATGGGCAATACTTTATTCGATCGTTATGTGTGTCTGTAGTATATTGTCTCTAATAAATAACGTTTTTATTTCTCTTGTTCCATTTTTTCTAATTGACTCCTTTTTTGATTTTGTAATAAAAAGACACCTGCTAAGCATCATCGTTTCCTTTACGAAGTTGTGTTCTTTCCGATGTCTGACATAAAGCACCACCACTCAAGGGGCATTTCTTTCTATGAAAACATCGCACGCCTTCGAAAAACCTCTTATTTAAATGTTATGCAGAATCTCGTATTCTATTTAAAAAGAATTTCCCGCCACTTCCTGCACAACCTGTCAATAGCCCTGCGTTTAAACCGAGTAATTTCTGCAGATAAAGAATCACCCATCCAAATTCTTTTCACAGAGCGGAAACCATAAACCTCTTACAGCAATTTAAATGGTAGGCCAGTATAAAGAGCCAGTAGTTTCAGTGATTTGTATCTAAACAGCTTTTAAAATATGTTATCAGGTAAAGTATATGTCCCTCCTCCATATGTACACCACCGAGAGCGTCTTTTGGTTTGGTCATTTTGTAAAGCTGTAGCTATATAACTCTTGTTCATTTGAGTAAGCGGCAGCTCTCAGTTCGGAGAAGCTGAGAGTAAAGTCTTCATTACAAGCAAAAGAAACACCCCCTTTGCACAAAAAGAAACAAATTTAAACCAAAACAACCTTTTTTCTGCATCTAAAATCCTCTGCTGCTTAATATGTCTCATGTTATAAATAACTCTTATTTACAAACCTACATTAATTTTTCTGGTACGAAACAACAAACATCAAGTCAACACACAAAGATACAACAATTTAAAGTTTGCGTTAGTTAACCATATATACCCATATCTAAAATTTTTCTATCTTTCTCTAACTAAGAAGTAAGAACTCAAGGGGTTAGGGATATCAAGAACCCGGTTAGGGTGGAAGGGAGCTTTTCAAAAAAGGGTGATTATGCCAGATACTATTTGGATTTAGACCTTAAATTAGCCTGAATATACCGAAGCCTATGTTTGAGTTTCAAGTTTGTATGTGTTTCATGCTAATTGGTTCATGCTAATTGGTACTACAGGAATTACAGACCTAACTTACACGACAAGAGTAGAGGCATCGCCATGCAGGGAAAACGCTTGGTTTGTCTAACTACAGGCAGCTTGGTGAGCCCTTTAGTTCGGTAGCCCGACTGGCGCTTGGGGCGACTTGGCAAACGCTTAGGGCGTCTCGCTCGGCAAATGGTTAAGTTGGCTTGGCCAACATTACGAGAAGCTCAAAGAATGCTTGGGGTGTCTTGAAGAACGTTTGGGGAACCATGATGCACGCTGACAAAGACGTGGCGAACACTTGGGATGGATGGCTCGGATTGTCCTAGTTCAATTTAACTCACTCATTTTCAGCAACAAAATTTCACATCGGTATTAAGGCTGTTGTGCAGAAAAGAAACTCTCAGTCCTGGTTTAAAACCACTAAGATACTTTGGTTTAAAACCACTAAGGTATCATAGATAAAAATATCCGCATAATTTGGGCAAAAAAACCACGTAAAACAAACCAGCCTTAGTGATTTAACGAGTTTTGTCTGATTTTAGCATCTTAAGTTGAAATGGACACTAAGACCAAGTTTACACGAGAAGGGATCCGATCCGGATTGGATTCAAAAGAGTGCGCGTAGGCCTTGTGTTTACACGGGAACTGGTGGATCCGTATACATTTTGATCCGCTATCCGAACACTTTGGGATCGCCTTCAGAGGTGATCCAGTATGGATCCGATCCGGATTGGATTCAAAAGAGTGCGCGTAGGCCTTGTGTTTACACGGGAACTGGTGGATCCGTATACATTTTGATCCGCTATCCGAACAGTATGGATCCGACCTGGACTGGATCCCGTATAAACGGTTGGATCTGGTCTAGATCGGATCCGTTTACGTTTTATGCGAAAGTGAGACAGAATAATAGTCAATTCGAAGTACTCTGAATACATGTATTCCGTCAGCTTGGCGTCAGAAAACTAAACACGAAGTTGACTTACTACTGTGTTGAAATATTTGTACGATAAGATGAATCCAAAAGTCTTCAAAATATGTTTAGAGCATGTTTTATATTTTTAAATTTCGCTGTGAGTCTGTCTTTTGTGACAGCTCTTTCAGGTTGGATTGTGAGTTGCTTTCCTCTCCATTTAGTTTGGACTGTTGTTTCAATCTCAGTTTTCATGAAAAACGTCGGACACACACCAGTTTTCTGAAAAGCGCATGCGTGTGTCTTTAGATCTCATCTGTATCGGATCCCGTGTAAACGCCTGGGATCGGATCATTAAGTATCTCATGTAAACAGGGTTTTAAACTATGTGAAGGAAGTTTTTTCAATTATAAAGTTGCCACCACTGCGAATTTTTCTTTTTTTAGAAATGAGTGCATGCTAGGAATATCATGTTGGATGGGGCGACCAATTTTGGAACCCAGTCTAAAACATGCAAACCACAAATTTAGTCTAAAACAAATGAGCAATAAAATACGAAATTTAATAACCTCAACAAGATAAAAATTCAACCGCCAAAAGAATCATCAAAGTAAAGTATTAGCTCTTTGTTTATCTGTTAGAGAAAGGAACAGTAAAAATCGTGACAAAAGGACCACATCAATAATAAAAATCGACCCACTTAATTGGAATATGTACACACCTTAGAGATTTCAAAATTATCACGCAGCTGTTGGTAAGAAAGTCACATGACAGCTCCTCCACAACCAGCTCTGCAAATATTCATATGACTGACATGTCTCCAACGGTCTTCTTCCGGATCGTAAATTTCAACGCTACTCAGCCGATTTGCACCATCAAACCCCCCTAACATAACTATCTTGTTGTTTAGAACGCCAGCAGCAGGCCAAGCACGTGGAGTTATCATGGCTGATACTACAGTCCATTGATCAGTGACAGGATTATATCTTTCACAAAGAGAAAAGTAATGATCTGTACTTCGGTTCCGACCACCAACTGCGTATACATATCCGTTGACTGAAACTAAAACCAAACCAGATCTTGCTTTTTCCAATTCTGCCACAAAGCACCATTCATCTCTGTCTGGATCATATCGCTCAACTGAGGCTCTGTCGCAATGCATTCCACGGTCATAGCCACCAGCAGCATATATAAAGCCTAAAAGAACAGTAGACTGTAAAGTTATGTGTCCATTTTGTTTCCTTACACTTATCAACACAAAATTGTGGTTAACTTTCCAGCCTAAGCTGCAGAGACATTTCAAATGTAGAAAGTTTTTGAACCCCTAAAGTAGAGCCGACACGAGAAGGGATATATAGGGGAGCGGACATCATAATATTTCCGACCGTATACAGTTTTATAAATACTACGCATCCATATCTCTTTGTCAGTTCCCATTTGCTAGGTATAAGTCTCGTGACCCACTGTGCAACCAAATTTGCTATTTTTCAGATGCAGATAGATTTGCCCACGGTATAGTTGCTTTCTTGCTGAAGTGAAAGCATTTTTCAGTAAAATTCAAAAGGTCACAACTTAAAAAAGCTAAACAACGCTAAAAGCTAAAATTTTAACGACAGGCATTCAGATTTTCCGACAAACAGAATGCATATGCTATATATCTACAGTTATAAAGAATTGTTATTTGATACACTGTGTATCAATCATCATCATCATCATGTTTTTATAGTCAGGATTTTTCCATATTTCAGGGGGCTACTGACTTTCCTTCCACGATATGCTGTAGCTTCTCCATTTCACTCGGCTGTTTGCGTACTCAAAGGTCAATCCAACTTTATGACACTCCTTCGGTCTCCCTCTCCTTCTACTGCCTTCAGTCACCAATCTCAATGCCTGTTTCACACAATCTTCATAATCTCCTTGCTTAACAGTTTCAACAATTGTGTCCTCCAGTGCTAATCTTTCCATTGACTCTCTCCTATTTATTCTATCAGCTAACTCTACTTCACACATCTTTCAGACAATACGTCCTTCCTTTCATCTCGAAATACCTTTCTCAACTGATCGTACAAGCCACATTCTGATCCGTATGTCATAAAAGCTTCCAGGGGTACTTTTTCCCACAAAGCATAGAAGACATGGTGTTGAAGGCCTTCCAGCCTAGGCTTACTATCCTTGTCACAGCTAGTTCACAACCCCTGCTGCCATTTATGTTGTCACCAAGGTAGCAAAAATTTTGCATTCTCTCCAACTCACCCAGAATGTCATATGTTGCTGATTCCTGTTCCTCGTTTTAGGCCGTTCTTCTTCTGTACAAATAGAATGTATGCACATTCTATCTGTTACTCTCTTTACAGTAATACTGCATACATGAATACACCACATGGATCAGCCTTCGCCTCTACTGACACACCTTTTCAGATTCCACATTCTAAAATCTTTGTTTTTCAAAATTCACCTTTAACCTTTTCCCTCCAACTGTTCCATTGCTTCTGTCATTAGAACTAGATCATCTGCATACAGTAGTTCATTCAGCATTCTTTTCCAGCATTCTTTCTATAGCTTTCATACCATGCTCCAGCAACTTAATCCTGGATAGTTACCACACTCCATAACACTATTTTTTTATAGATAGCAACAAGTGTACTCAACCTCCAGTCTTGTGACATGTCCTCTTCATACAGAATTATATTTGTAATCTCCCTAGTTACTTGCAGTGAAGTGCTCTTTGATGATTCCAGTTGCTCCAGCAGCCCTACAATTTTTCGGCCTTGCTATCAAGGTTTTGTATTTGAAAATTCATAATTATCCTTCCATCTACTTTTAAAAATATTTGGGGAAGCTTTTTTCCCTGCCTTCTTGTTACATATTTAAAGCATAACATGACTGATGTATTCAAAACAAACTGTTTGAAAAAATTTCCAGAAATTCAAGTTACCAGGTCTGTATGATTTATGAAATTCTCCATTTTCTGAGATTTGACTGCTTCGTTAATGAGAAATTTAGATTTAAAGGATGCAATCAAATTGAAAAGAAGGCCCGAATCAGCTTGTAGCTATTTTTAAATGAAAATTTTTTTGTCTACTTCAAACAAATAAATAACATTCATGATGGAGACAATGAAACCGCGTTCACTTTCACTGCTTTTCCATGTGAATAAAGTTTTCTAGTAGCAGGATGCATAATTTAACTGAATAAAAATTTATATCAAGCAGTGTATAGTATGTTCCATTGGACCTTAAAGGTTTCCTTTTTTGTATGATTGGGATTGGAAAGATCAATTTTTCCTTTCCTTTTGAAAAAAATTCTATAAGTGTAGTTATTTCCTAAAATTAATGATATAACTTTCTTAAATGCCACCTAAATTTTATTACCATATCATTGAATCAAAAACCTTTCAACAACTGAAAGGTTTGGGGAATTATTTCGTTGCCCCAAAACCTTGCAAAGCCTCTCTGCCATTTTTACAAGTTTACTATGAAACTTAAATGTGGATTGAATTGTACCTTGTTTCATGCCTTTCCTGGAGACGCAGGCTAAAGCCGGAGCCCACGCAAACCCCATGCACAAAAATTTTGCGAGGGCTTTTTTCCACCCACACAATTGTTTATAACAACGCTCTCATTGAATTCTTTATTGTCAAGTACGAAATTTGTGCTATGAATACACTTATTTTTAAAAGAAACACGCTATAAGAAATGACAACTGGGCAATTGGAAAAATATTGAAAAAGCCTCAGAAATAATTTGTTTTCGTTCTTTGACTCTTCAACAAGGTGAAAGGTAAGCGGTTGGGATTTGTCGAAAACATAGAACCAATCATTCACCCTTTCTGAACTCTCTCGTTACTTTTGGTCCGCATTTCTGCTTCCCTTTATGCTTTAAGGTTTATGTATATGTTATTCACCGACTTTTATCAGATATCTCTTTTGTCATTTTAAGGAGTAGTAAAGTACACAAAACAACTGTCTTCTTAAGATAAATCATGTTTACAAGTAGACAGTAATATATTGTATATACTCAAAATATAAATAGATAAACAACAAATTCTGCAAGGGCTAAAAGCCCACACAAGCAAACCTTTTTTTAGCCAGCATGCTTTTTATTCTCAGAGAGGCCTACTTGTTTTCAACAGAATAACTTCTTATTAAGAGAATTGAGCGATTTGTAAGATAACCCAATTTTCAATCAAAATTAGCCTAAATAAGCTTATGAAGTGTATAAGGCGCACTGATTGGCCAATTGTTGATTGAGAGACATCTTAAGCCACTTTGTTATCGATTTATTGTTTTTAAGAAAAGAATTATCAATGAAGGCTTAAAAATTGCTAAAAGGGAAGAAATATTGACATTTTGTTATCAAAAGCAAAGATTGATCTCAAATTCTTGAAGAGTGTAAAAATTTAACCTTTTGAACAATCCAGGTAAGATTTTTATGCTTGTTTGATAATCAGCTCTCAATAAACAGATTTTCTTACAATCTGGTTCAATGCAAATTGAGTCAAGTTTTCATTAAGCAAAAAAGTAAAAAAGATTGTATTGACCACAGCTACGTATGCGACCTCTTGTTTGACATAAACTGATTAAATTAGAAGCTACGAAAACTTGTCAAGCAAAAAACTAGAAAATATCTTACCATCAGCAACAGCAACCCCAGCCCCTGATCTTTTGCGCTTCATTCCTCTGACCGGCTGCCATTTGTTTCTTAAAGAATCAAATTTCTCGACTGCATTGTAGCTACAAGAGCGGTCTTCTCCTCCAACAGCATACAAATTTCCATTGCAAACAGCAACAGACACAAAAGATCTCTGAATACCAATATCAGCTACTCTAAACCATTTTCTTTTAATTGGGTCAAAACACTCTACAACTCCAAGGTACATTGTATCTTCATGAGGATTATTTACAGCACATTCACCACCTGCAAATATAAGGCAACCAGCAACATTATTCAAACCTTTTTTGCTTTTATTAATTTTCAAAACTTGTAAATCAACAGGCTTTTATATTTAATTTAAAAAGCAGATTCTGGCTATTTATATTTCTAGAAAGCAAATATGGCCAACAGAGCTTGTTATGACTTCATTGTGAGGACCAATGGAAAGTTTTAATCCTTACCACACAAACAAATATTTGCTGAAGCCAACCGTGGTTCCCTCCTGAAATAAAGTTCAGTGTTCGAGAGAAGACAATTTACTTCCTTTAGCTGAGAAATATTAACTGTTCATTTTTTTTTAAAAAAAATAAAATGAGTTCCTCACCTACAGTATAAAGCAAACCATTTAGCGAAGCCGCACCAACAGCTGTGCGTGCAGAATTCATACTTGGCTCAATCAACCATTCATCTTCGTAAATGTCGTATCGCTCCAATGTGTTCAGCTGACACTCTACACTGTTCCTTCCGCCAATCGCGTAAACTGATGGAGGCAAAGCTCGTTTTCGAGTTAAATATTTTGGCAGATTCTCAGGCCTTTCGTTCATAACTTTCGCTAAAATCAACTGACATCTTGTGTTATTTTTTATATAATGAGATGAAAATACTTTTGATTCAAGAAATTCCAAGGAGAGTTGAGGAAACCTTATGCATTCTAGAACTTCAGGGATGTAATCCTTACGACTCTCGTAGTCTTCGTAAATCCACATTTCAAAGGCAACGTAAATGTCTTCCTCGGATCTTACTTGTAACTTATCACTTTTCAGCAATTCAATCAATTTCCTAAAAGTAAGTTGCAAAAACTCGTCACTTTTTCTAACTTCCATAAAATTTTGGTTGATGAATTCTCGCGCAGCCAGCTCTAACTCTACACAAGAATATAAGTCTGCGAATTGCCGTATACCGATACAATTTCCTGAGTCTAGCTGGCTTTTCAAAAAATTCGAGCACGCGTTTCTCAGAGGTGATATATTCAACATGCTGGCCCCGGCGAGAAGATGCTGAACGTTATCGATTGAAACGTCGATTGAGCCTGTGTATGCGAATTGGATCAAATCTTCCATAGTCCTCGCATCGATTCCACCGATTTCTACTTTCCTCTGACCACTTTCTAACATCCCATTTGTAAACATAGCCCTAAGGTACGGACTAACCCCAGCCAAGATTATCCTGTGTGCATGAAACTCTCGTCCTTCCACTATCAATGTTACGTCGCACAAATCCCGCGTCCTCTGCAATTGTTCCATCACTTTGAAGCAGTCAAAAGCATGACTGGATATTTGAAATGTTCTTCTACTTAAAACCATATTGATTCTCCGCGAATAATGATAACTTTTTACAAAATAACTTTCAGCTAAGATTTCTTTGTTTCTGTACCCCAGCCATGCCGCAACAACAGTACCGTAAACAACAAACGTCTGCGGCCTCTTTTTCAGGAAACATTATTGTCACGTGATTGAGTGTTGTCAGTATGGAGTGGTTTGATTGGTTATTTACGGCTCCTTCGTGATGCAAACAAAAGTCAAGTGAGGAAGGAAAGAAGTTCTTTTTCTGTAGGTTTCGAGTTCTGAAAAGGAATTTACGTTTTGGATACCTGTTTAGACAAATACACTCATTTTTCTAAAGAAACTGGCTATAAGAAACGAGTACTGGGCAGTCAGAAAAATAAAGAAACTTCATGTTACAAACTTCATTTGTAATAATAAGATAATTATATAGTTATTTACAGTTCATATAATTAATATTTTTACAATATATAGTTGCCTAGGGAGCTGAGAGGAATCGCAACACCCACAAAAACAAGCAAATTTTCCGACAAAAGCCCTCAAAATTTTGCTTTAAGCGACGACTTTGGGCGCTCGCCCCAAAACCCATGCAATTTCTGCCACATACATAGTTCAAGTAAGATTATCATTGTCCCATTCGAGCACGGGCCCCAAAATTTGCCCCTCCTAAGCCCTCTTTTAAGTCGCATGCTGTAGCCTTGCCGCTATCCTCTAACAAGTCCTACACTGTGCATTTTCTGTTTCATTTGTCAAAAATTCCTTATATAAATCCTTTCCAGGAATTAGGCCTGCGAGTGCATCAGCTGGTGACGTCACTGCCTGGAGAATAACAACACAAAAAGAGAGGTGTGTGTCTCGTTCTACTTATCTAGCGTGCACTAGCATATCGTGACCGTGACTATTTGGGCAAATTAGCGGATGGGAAGAAGAATTGTTTGGAAGACAATAGGTAGTCAAGTGACATGTCATATTTACCCTTTTCCTCCCAAAATTAATTTCGATTGATTTACCAAATTATTTTTCGAATCATCGAATGATATGCCGATTTTGATATGTTTTAAAGGGTGCTCAGCCGCTTAATAGCTTGTTCTTAGGGTGTTCTTGGAGTGTTCAGTCTTTTAGAATCGACGACAAGAATATACCTTCTACAGAATTCCTAAGCCACTAGCAATTGTTCAACATTTCTTAAATCGATCCCTAACCAGTGAAATTTACCAGCCTACCGCCTTTATAGTTTTTCTCGATGCATTAAATTTTTTACTCTTACTGGGTATATATAACTTCAAATTGAAATGAGAATTATAATATTTTGTTTAAAAACGTCAATAGGACATATGACTCGATAGCTCCTCACGAGTTTTTTTCGTGTGTCCTTCAGCAAAACAAAACTAATTTATCTTTTGTACTTAATTAACTAAATTTTTGAAATTGCTAATTCTTGTATTTCAACTTTGATTGTTTGGTATACTGAAATTAATTGTTGTTTTTGCTGATAAAAGATTTTGAGTTTGAGTTCAGTACTCGAAGCGAAAAAAAAGAAACTATTAAATCGTGATAAAACTGAGAACAAGGAAATTTTGTAAAATCCAAAAACATGATTGCCCTGCTGGCCTAGAACTTGAGACACAAAGGTTAAAAATGTACTTCTCACATCTAAATACATCATCAGAACGGAAGCGAATCTTTTGACGTGATAAAAAAGGTCACGAACATTTCATAACATCATTCATGACATCAAAATTAAGAAACCATGAGTATTGAAATTTCCAGAACATTAAGAAACTGGAGTACTCAACCTCAACATCAACCTTTCTTTATTATCAAAAACATGAATTTAATTGAGATGTTACTTCCCACTTGCGTCCTCATCTAAAGGATGCCCAAGAACTTAGCAAAACGTTTCCCATCAGATAACATACTTACAGTTGTAGAATGAAAAATTATTTTTTGTTATTATCAAGTAATGCCACTTATTAAAGTCTCGCCATTTCCTTACCGATCTAAGGTCTGCATTGACAAATTTCTATGTTTTATTCTATTCACGATAAATGTTTGGATCATTTAGATAAATAACAAAAAGAAAGGGACGCAGCACAGAGCCTTTCGGTACACCACAAGCAACTGGCTGGCAGTAGAAGGTTTGCATTTTTTTATCTGATAGACATGATCCAAGCCACTCAAAACTAGCACATCCACGAACTACCTAATATTCAAATCTTTATCGTAGGATCTACATGATTAACAGTGTCGAGTGCTTTTTGTCGTAAATGAAAATACCACAACCCGACTTATAATGTCAAGTGTACTTCTTACCTTACAGCTTCTGTCAAACTAGGCTTGGCGATTAGAGTGGTTTTCTTTAACTTTGAGTAGCTCAAGGCATCCATGAAGTCATCTATACTTAAAATTCTGAATATTTGATACATATAATTCAATATCAATTAGTCCTAATAAGTTGCCTAACATTTACCTTGAGTAATGGGGGTGCGGGAGTTTGTAGCGGCTCTGTTTTGGCCTGTTTAAGTAGCAAAATATTACCTAATAAATAGCCCTATTCTTTGTAATTTTGCTACTTAAATTGTGTCCATTTCATTATTTTTGCTAACTAAATAGGGTCCTAGACTCGAAAATCGTCTCGATTTTCAGCATCGTAGGCAACCATACCTTCTAATAAAAACGATGTTATCTTAATTATTTCAATATTTTATACACATCTAATTAATTATCATAATAAATTGTAAACCAAAACTGTTGTTGCTGAATTACATGAATTTGAATTTGTTTACGTTAATTTTTCCTTCTTATTCATTCAAATTCTCACATCGCAGCACAGGCTTCCTCTACCTCACTCTCATATCACACATTCACTAATCCCTACTGTTTACTTTATCCTTGCCACGCTATCCAATTTACTCATCACCTTCGGATCATTTGTTTTTCTCACATTATTCGTGTTCAGTTTATTAATACATTTCTGTATACAAGTATGTTAATTCGTAAGTAATTGAGGTCAGTTCGAATCAAGATATACGCAATACCACGCTTCTTCTCTAGCCTGCGTGCAGACTCTGTTGACAATTTCCGTGTCTGCACGCAGGCTACTCTTCTCTGGCTCCGTGTTCTCCACACGTTAAACAGTGCCGTCGGAACGAATTTCATATTGGGGGGGCTGCCCATTGTTTTCCTTCTAATTCAGAACACTGTTATAAAGGAAACATATTACAGTTTGACAATTATTGGGAGGGCTCCAGCATAAGAAATAAGCTATGGAAAATGAAGAAGAATCAAGAAACTTCAGAGCTCGAAGCTTCAGTTCATGCGGAGAAAAATCAATTGCGCTTTACGATATTGTTGTGTGCTATTTTGAAGTAAGATGACCCTGTATACAGCTTTAACTTCAAGGCATCATCTCAATTTAGTTTGCTTTTATGACTTGCTTCAAAAAAGACACTGAGCCTAAAGACCAAGACCGAGGTTATGATTTCCTGCCCGTAATGCATTTTGGGGTTTTTATGTGATATCTTTCAGTAGATTTCAAAAAAAGTTATAAACCATTTCAACTAAGGTGTTTTAAATTGGAGAAGCATTGGAAAGATTCCTCTCAGGGCTACAGCAGCTGAACGATTATACGCCTCTCGGTGGTAGCTGGGAGGAACATTCAATTGGGAATGTTGCATAACAGGGACTAAAGTCCTCCTCAGCTTTTTCGCAATAATAGGTTAGAAAATGTTTTGAAAGTTTACGCTAACGAACGCATTAGTAGCAGTTCTGCTGGGAACACGTTTTTGTTCTTTTTGATGGTGCTTTATTTTATGTGATCAAAGATAAATTTGTATTTCATCTGACTCAGTTTTGTATTTTTATGTTAATTGAAATCTTCTTTAAATCGTTATGTTTATGAATAAGGACAGAAAAAAGCTAATACTTTCTGAAAGGAGTGGTTTCCGGTGTTTCAAAGGGCGTAACCGTAAATAAATTTAGGGGCAATCCTGCTAGTCCCGTTCCAGCCACTCCCTTGTGGGCTGGTGCCAGTGTGACCTGATCTAGCGTAATATTAACATGATATTGGCCAAAAATCGTCATTTAGCATAAAATCTAGCATAATTTGGAATCTAGCATAACTCTGGCATAATTCTGATATTATTTAAAAGAAACAATGTTTCCATTGATCCATTGTCCATCGTTACCAAATGCATACACTTTACACCAGCATCAGTGGTTTCATTTTGGGAGTAAATTGTGACTTTCCGCCTTCAGGATATTGCCAGTTATTTTGAATGGTTGGCAGCCACATATTTTGTGGTTGGCAGCCAAATGCAGCCAGCTAAACGCAGTATACAAAAAAGCTAAATTTTTGCTAATTATTGGGAGTGTTACCGTAATCAAAATTTGCTTTGTAGGTTAAAAAAGTTTTCACTTGCTTTGATCTAAAACTGTCTGCTATCTTTTGCATTGTTTCATCATTCATCATTTGCAATTTTGAAATTACTATCTTGAAAAATTGAAATAATTTTTTGAATACTATCTGTGCAAAAATTTTTGTTTCCTTTGCATTTTCGCTGTTTTTTGCAACATGCTGCCAGAATTCAGCCAAATTTTGCTTCTTCAGCCAAATCAATATATGACGGCCAAGGGCTTTTGAGAAACTGCCAAAATGGAGAAATTTGGCCATCAAACCATGGATCTAAATTGCCTTTTTGTTTATGAAGAATGAGTACACTGGGTTGTCAAAAAGGCTAAATTGCAACTCTGGCCACTTGTGATATTTTGAGCATGCATTAGCCTCTTTCTCGAGCAGGGTTTCCTCGATTTGAAATCTAGCATAATTTTTGCAAATCTAGCACAATCTTATGAAAAATTTGGCATAATTCAAAAATTGAGATCTGATGCGTGGTTTCTGCATTACGAACAAGATGGGGGTAAAGATCATGCTTTCAAACTGGGCGAAAAGAGAATAAGAAGAAACAAGCACAATTTGTACATCAGTGAGAGAAGAGTTTATTTGCCATCTGTAACGAGGTTTTCGTTTGTAGTATCAAAACTTTTTGAAGAACAGATTTGATGACAAAGAATTTGATGGGCTGAATGCAGTTAAGAACTTTCTATAGGTAAACAAGACTTAAGAAAGCTTCACCCAGTATTTGTCCCGGACATCGCAGCAATCCCTAATTCTGTCAATGCAGAGAGGCTGATTCCCACCTACAACAAGATATAAGCAGGTGGGGAAAGCAGCATAGCTCCAGAAAACTTATCAAATAGATAAATATTGCAATTAATATGCTTGATCTCGCAAGTTTCGAGTTCCGAGAAAAGCTGCAAAGATATGGTTCCAAAAAATATCTAAGTCTGGGAAGCAAGGCTGATTTAAGGGAGTTTTTGAAGGAGAAAGGAAAAAAATAACTTTGACAGGGATCCGAACAAACCATGTAAAAGAGTTTCTTTTCGATAACTTTTTGCTGACATATTAAGACATCGCTATATGTAGCTAATCTTCTTATTAACCCAATCCATTTAATGTAAAGAATCAGCTTTTGCTACTTATATTTCATTCATTTAAGAATTTGCCCAATTAGGACATACTATTTGCATTATGATGGCAGTTTCTATATTTGCCAATCCCTATGATGCCAATCCCAGCATACTACCACGCCCAATTTTTATAAAAAATGTGGATCTGTAAAAATTTCTTATTTTAGGCCCTGAGTTCGCTAGCATCAAAGTATCCACTTATGTCTCTTCCATGCCCTAGCCTACACTGCAAACCCAACCTATTTTGAAAGATCTAAAAAGAGTAGGAGCACTAATCTATTTGAATATTACAATTGTATCTGTTCACTCGTGTTTGCGAAGTATTCGTTTATTATTGTTTCTTATTGCTAGTATTAGGTTAATGTGCCACCAGTTACAGCTATATTTAAATCGGTTCAATGAAAATATTTACCACCACAGCAGAATTTCGGTGACGTATATCATAACCTTTGTGACGTGCATACTGCTCAAAATTTATATCCACAAAACCACAGAGGCAATTGCAGAAGAGACTCGGAAATGTTGATGCTGCTAGAGCATAGAGAGGGATGGAAACCATGATCTTAAACGTCTAGGAGGGACAAGGCACTAAGAGGAAGAAGAAATTGGTACCGAAAGGAACATCCAATTCAAAGGGACTTCGATATAGATTTGTAGACAAAAGCTCTGTAGCAGAGTGGGGCTCAGTCACTCGTTGGATTGTCAATCATATATCACGCAGAGATCAACATTAAAACAAATATCAAAACAAATAAATAATAATCACGCATAGAAAAATATAAAAACGCTTTAGAAATCTGAAGATTTGATTAGGACATTTTACAAACATAAAACTTCGATATATTCCTCTTATTGGTCCAGTGTCAAGAGACAAATGGTAGAATAAATCAATTTCATAAAGCTTTGCATAATCGGCTAATGTATGGTAGCTCAATCATAAAGTCCCCGTTTCACTAAAGAGAGAAGAACGGAACTCTTTGGTTCCGTTCTTGTTTGGGCACGATACCCCTTTTTTCATCGCGTCTACACGGTAGCAAAAAGGAACGAAACCCAATTTGAGTCCGTTTACGCTTGAGTAAAAAGAACGGAACTTTCACGCAAAGAATGCGCAGTGGCGCGGCAATGACGTCTGGCATTTTAGGAAAGCCTCGCCCAACCCTAGATAAAGCCTCGTTTTCAATCGTAACCAAAAAGTTCCGTTACTGACTGTTTACACTAGAGAAAACAAGCACGACCTGTGAACAGAACCAAGGAGTTGCCCATTTTAACGAAACCAAAGAAGAACAGAACCCTTCCTAAGCTAGTACGGAACCAAGATGCCTAGTGTAAACGCAAGGCCTATCGTCGCAAAGAGTTCCGTTCTTTTTTCTGTAGTGTAAAGGGGGTCGAAATGACCTAAATATAATTTCATTACTTTGTGGTTTCGTTTCGGTCTTTTATAAATAACCGTTACAATATAGGTTTTATCTCATTATTATGATGCATACAGAGTTACCAAACCGAGGCTACAGTTAAGCGATAGCCTCGACTCAAAGATACCGTTGCATGCTCACGGCTTTGTATTTACTAAGAAAAATAACAGTAATTTAATGTTTGTTGCCTAAAGGATTATAATCTGTATAAATATAACATATGAGTTGACTAAATATGTAAAACGAGCAAGTAAGGACTATCATTCTGCCAAACATTGTTCTTTAAGTAAGGTTATCACGAAGTGTTTTCTGAAATAATATTGCAAATCTCCTTTTTAGCCTGCGTAGCAAACAGCAAACTGTCTTACTTCTATGAAAATCCATCTATAAGAAACAGCGAGGTGAATTTCTTGTAACTAGAGTCATCGTGCTACTTGAATAAATTGGAAGATTAAGATAGATGAAATGTTTTGTGCAATCAAGCACAGTTTTTTAACCTCACAAAAAGTGATGAAATCTGTTAAGGCAACAGGGAGAATTTATTTTTCCAAAGGCAATGAATTTTAATGATGCATGGATTTTGAACGGCCTATTTTACAAATGATGATTTTCTCTATATTATCTGAGTCATCAGGAAATAAAGAAACTGATATGGAAATTTCGAATATAAAAACACAAAGAACTTTAAGTAACTGGTTACCAACTTCAGAAACGATGTCTCTCTAAGATAAAAAATCTATAAAATGTTTACTGTGAAGATTGTATTACACCCTTTGATCAAATCCCCCTGAATAACGTCCCAGATTTAAGCCCTTCTTATGCATAAGCCTCTTAATGAAGCTCTTCGGAACGCGTACGAATATATTCTACAATAAATCTGTACACTATAGGTGTGGCCTATTGACAATTTCTTGAGTTGCAAACCACAAACCTATGCATTTGACAAGCACAGCAATAAATACAATATTCAGATTATAATTACCAAGACATTAACATTGCATAGGGGCATATACAGGGACTGACTAATCACTTCTGATATTTTTGAAGACATCAATGGAAAGGGATTTTTATGGGTACATTATTGAGATCTTGTTTAAAAAGCTCTCTAGATAGTCCAGTAACAGACACATCTTTATATATTCTTTGATTTCTTCTCTATTTAGCAACATTGCAAAGATCTTAGCAGAAAAAATTGTCTTTTCTCAAGCAAGGTATTCCAATAACCTGAGTCTAGAGAAAGAAAGATTATGCACAGACTTTATGGAGGAAAGAAGTAAAGAAACCTCCCTCTTTGTTTTTCATTGAGTCTTTATAAAGAGTAGGACCATTGCCGCACAAGATATTCATGAAATTCAAATAATTGACTACTGTACCTACATCTTTATTCGAATTCCCGGTACCTTTTTCTAAAATTAGAAATCGGATCTTTAAATAGAAGGGGATCCAATTTATGAGAAGATTTTCTTAATGTAACTCTTCCGAAAATTCGGACAAGCTCCCTGAAGCACGTTTGCTTCGTCTTAAAGCGCTCGGCTCTGCGTTTCGCATCATCGTGTGTCTTTTTCAAATCAAGGATTTCCTTTTCCCGTTCGCCTTCATCAAAATGGTGAGGGTGTGAAAGTATTATTGGCGGTTTCTTGTTCACATCTGACACCAGAAAATTCATCACCAAATCTTCACAGTTGCCATATAACGACATCATCTCCCATGCTTCTTTCGGCAAATTATTCGTATAAAGATGATTATAATACCTGCAATAAAAAGGTGAAAGACATGTTCATCAAGGCTTTGCAAATGCGTAAATTTATAGATTATAATAATATATAATAATAAATAATTTTTAATAAATAAGTTTGCGTACTAGATCTAAATCCAATAGCTAAGTAGCTAAGTGAGGCCAACTATCTATGAAGAATTAGTATAATATGAATATATGGAACAATTTTAAAAATGTTTAAGGTATAATATTCTAAATGAAACCTAACCAAGCAATAAATATTTTACATAACCTAGAGTCGAATTCTACAGGGTGTGCTCTTAATTATTGTTTTAAATGATGCCAATGATTGCGTCTCTCTTATAATGTAAGGTAGTGTTGGCCACAGCCTTTGACCTAAATATCTCACAGTTTCTATACCATAAGAAGTTGTCCTGGCTTTTGGAATGCAAAGATTATTTTTAGTTCGCAAATCATAATGTACATTTCTTGTTTCAAAAATTTCACTCATGAAACTAGGGTTCAGGTTATGTTTGGTTTGTATTTTTCTATTATCAAGTACTGTAGATTACGTTGGTGAGTGGATACTGCATTATCCAATGTTAGCAATGTTTCGTAGTCGACATAGCTGTGTTTACAAACAATGCTGGGTGCTCCTTCTTGGATGTTATTCACTAAGCATTCAGATATCTGTCTTTTTTCACTTTAGCGTTCAGAAGCGGAAACATATCATATGAAGGTCCTAACTGAATAAACGTCTCAAATATACAAATATATATTTTGCTTTCGTGTAAAGAACCGGACGGTTCTGAGCTCCTACTCCGAATTTCACGGTTAATGCGATCATCAGGCAACTGTACAGCTCTGCCTATACGGCATTGATCGCTTTATGACAGACCGGTAAACTTAGTTATCATTGAATAAACATTAACGTATTGATTGGGATCTTGGGCAACAGTTTTCTTCATTAAGAGAACTCTAAATAATTTTGATATAGCTACTGGCAAGGTGGAAGACTGGAAAACCTTTTTTGTGGAGGGGGCTGATATTGGGCCCTGCGGTTGCCAAGTTTCTATTCTTTGTGCATTTTGTCCTTAGGGTTCGTACACCTAATCTAATTACGACTCGTTTGCGGTGATTTGTAGCGCTATCTCCGTCTGAATTAAAATCGTACGATTAAACACGTGCAGAATTCATAATGAACTATTATGTATTCGAAGATAGCAAGAAAGAACGGAAAAATAACACAATAAAGAACTTTTTTACTGACACACCTTGGAGTCAATGGCGGCGCCAGCCACTAAGCTCTGGGGGGGACAAACCAAAAAAATTTAAGCCACGCCCTTTTAACCACCAGAAAACGCCCTTTTACCAACAGGGAACGCCAATCTTGTCCAAAGGGACCGCCTATGACTAACTTTTGTTTGAAATTGGCAGTTTGAAAATCATAGGATTTCATCACAAAAAGTACGGTGTCAAAATATTACCCCTCCCCCAAAATTTTCTCATCGAATTTAGACGAAATACAAAATCGATTCTGCTGAGAACTGGGGGGGGGGACGGGTCCCCCCAGTCCCTCCTGTGGCGCCGCTACTGCTTGGAGTATAAACGTATGGTACTGTGAGTTAGGGGAGAAAGGCGTATTGGTTTTCAACTACAGGATTGTATAGAACCACGAATTCAATAAATTTTGAATTCAATAACTTTCGAAATATCTTATCAAGAAAAAAAGTTTCCTTTCTATGCATGCTAGTAGCCCTTGTGCAGCCCTACTACGACGAACATGATTCTATTCAATGATGTGATGGAAACAGTCGGGGGACACCTTACACCAGAGCCTTAAAAAGAGTCGAGTCGAAAAGTCGAAAAGTGAAGTCGCTACTTCATTCTTTCACTGTGGGACTAGTACCCAGGGTGCAGGTGACAAAGCAACCAAATCTTCGTTTTGAGAGACGTACCTTTTAATTGACTAAAATTGCACTTAGCGACTGAAGAGTAGCCTGAAAATCACGACTATTTAAAATAAATATTTAAAATTCAGGCCTATTTAACTGTTGTGGTATGTCCTTATATAGACTTTAATCATCCAAGAAATGGAAAAAACAAGACAGGTGAACATTATGCATAGTAGCCTTTATCTCAGCTGAAAGGTACCTTCAAGAAGTCTTTTATAAGAAACACTGCTGCATTGACGAAATTTTTATTCCCAAATATCATATCAAGCAAGCGAAGCTGACTATCTAGTTGATAAAAAGCAAAACCAAATACCTATGGTACACTGCAGCATTCATCAAAACCATCGAATATGTATTTGATTTCTTTGATGTAAACATCCATGAATTTGATATGGGGTCCCAGTAATGGTCACGAGGCGTAAAGCCAACTATTTGATCTGGGAATGATCGCCATTGTCGAAATGCAAAGTTGATCTGGAAAAATGCGAAAAAAATTGATAATATTACCGATTGACAAAGAAGTAGAGATAGAAGAAAGCAAAAACAATGAGAAAGACAAAACTTTGCAGTTGATAACAAGCCCTATTTAACCGAAGGGGATGTAAAGTACATAATACACAACCACTCTACAAAGACCCGATTACTTATGAAGGAAGATAAATAAAACCTTTTTTTAATTTACTGATCTCAAATTTTTACCTCGAAAGAATTCTTCTCAACAAAATGGAAATTTATATTTATGGGAATAGCCAAAATTTCTCAGATAGTCAGAGTAGGACTGTTGGACACTAGCTAATCTGTGAATGGCAAATTGCTAAAGAAGAGCATGAATTTTGAGGGAAAGTTCTGATTGTGAAAATGGAGATGGACAAAGTGATTGCTACAAAGTAATAGCTTGTATCCCCTTGATATTGTGTAAATTCAGTTAAATATTTACCTTGTCAAATAGAACATACATACAATACACTGTTTTCAAGGCATTCCTTTCCTAAAAGGGTCTAGTGAACATGTAATCAATATATTCAGTAGTAGTTCTGGGTAGGTTCTGAACTAGGATTTTATTTACTCTTTACCAAGAAAGATCTTATTCCTCTTGCTAAATCATCTTATTCTGAAATTCAGGTTTTACTGTCAGATTCTGTAACGCCTTTTTAGAAATCCAGTCACATAATAGACTTATAACAGATTTGGAAGAAATCTAAGCTCCTTTTATAACATTGAAAGGTCTAAAGCCTTTACAACCTATCAGTTAGGCCAATAATGTGCTTTTACAAAAAACAAATCAATTTGCAACTATGTTTGGTCCAACACAAAAGAATGAAAAAATCATCTGTACAGAAATACATTTACCGCAGAAGTTTGAATAATAACATCATCATTGAATGTAAATATAGCATCTGTTTCTATAAGGTTGCTGTCAAGGAACCGTGCACTCAGTATCTACAAAATACAATAAGATTAGACACCACCTTGAGAAAAGTAAAAAACACAGGAAGACATTTCAAGATGAAATGTTGTAAAAATTTTAAAACGCACAAAGTTCTCTTTTTGCAGTACCAGAACAGGCATAGCTTCATGGGACAGTAAAACTGAAACTTAAATTAAAAATGGCCTAGATAACACTTTCAAGTTTTTATAAATAGCAAAAAACATGAAAGCTGCAATCTAAAAAGAGACAAAAAGACCAGTTTTTTATGTACTTCACCTGAAAGATAATAAACAAGTTGTTTTCTTGATAAAATTAATTCATGTATTGGTAAGGGTCTGTAATTTATATTCAATTCAACAGCAACATCTTGTCAAGAGAAGGCTAATTTGGTACAATAATTTGAACAAATTTAGTTTGGTTTCAGTTTAAAGTGGTTGCCCTCCTTGTAAAACTACCATTAAATGGCTATTAAATAATCAAAAATATTTCAAAGAACCTTTTGTTTTGGATAAATGACTCTTAAAGACACCTTTGTTGCAGGCCAACTTGATTTTTCAGGTATGCGAACTGGAGCAAGCCAAATGACAAGAATCTGTAAAAAATTTCAAATCTTAAACTACAGGAAATTGATATAGTGTCACATTCAAGCTCCAAAAGTCTAAAATTGCTCTTCTAATTTAAAAAAGACTTGCACAAGCAAAGAATGATGTAAACATTGTTGATTTGAATAAAAAGGACTCAAAAAAGACAAGGAAAACTTGGTGTATGGGTATACCAAACAGTAGAAAACAGAGAAATAAAAACTGACCTAAACCCGCAAGTTTTATTATACAGACAGACAATTATTCAGGCTATAAGAATTTCTTATATTCGTATAGTTACTATGCAGTGTAACATAGAAAACCAGGAATCCTGCCCAAAATAAAATCTAAAAAGAAGATGTGATAAATAAATTTATTGACACAGCAGCCATGCTAAAATGGATTTGATTCTGACCAGATGGTGATAGTGGTGTGATGGAAAAAAACTATCAAATTCACTATTGGAATGCTATTAATGATAAGAGTAAGCAAATCAATAAGCTGCCCCGCTTTTGGTAATTTTTTCTTAACCTTCAGGACTGTCAGCTATTTAACATAAAACATAAACTTATGTAAATAGTTTGATTGCAAAACCAAAGATGACAACATAAATACTTGTAATCCCTTCATAACGTACTTGGTTACAACATACTTTCAGAGTTAACATACTGGTATACTTAGTCCCAGCAAAAGGTCTGGACGTAACATTAAAAAAGCACCCCTCTTATAACATACTCCTTTATAACATACTTTTGGTTATAGCATACTTCTTCTTTGACCCTTCTAATGAAATTCCATTTAATACAACATACTTCCTGTGTCTTATTTATTAAAAACATAATTTACTAATTTTTTTGTCAAGGAGCTATCCGACATAGGAATAAGTGATGCCTTGACCACCCTTGCAATTGTTTGATATTGTTTTATTGTTTCCTTAATCAAATCAAGTGCCGTCCAAGTTCCAAAATGATTTTTCAAATTTTCAGATTTGCTTAATGCCAATGAAACATTGAAGATGTTGGGCAAACATGACACAGCACTCAACAACATTTGGATGAAAAACGATATTCAGAAATGCTTTACAGCTTTCTTCTAACTATAAAGCACACAAAAATTGAGTTGAAAGTGTGGTTTTTAAATAGTTGCATTTTTTACAACTTGGTTTCTAGTTTATTTATACTTATCCCCGTTACAACGTATTTCAGATATAATGTACTTAATCCACCCATCCCTTAACATCCGTTATAACTGGATTATACTGTATCTACAAAATACAAAATTACCTGGTGAACATATTCTGACAGGTTTATTTTCTTTATAAGTTTAAAAAGCTTCCCAGACCTTGTCCTTTCTACCGCAGCTACAAGAATGATGGCAGTGAACTTTTCGAGAGGCTTGATTCCAAATAAATCATAATAAAATGGAAAATGGACAAGCTGGTTTGAGAATCTGGTGTGGACACTCAATGCTCCAGGTGGATGATTCCACATATGATATGTGTGAGCATTGTGAGGTTCAACATGATCATGAACAATCTAAAACAAAAAAGCGAAACATGCTTTTAAAGATAAGGAATGGGTGAGTCATTAAGATACAGTAATAAAAAATTTTGAAATATAAAATTGCAGGGAAATTTTACATCAAAGAATATCACTTGCTACAGACAATCAATCTCAAGAAACAAGGGTCTCTAGTGAAAAATGTTCATAAATTCCAAATTTTTGCATGTTGGTGTGGATGCATAAACAAGCCTTAAAACCTAATGATTTGTTTGTGAGAAAACTGTAATAAAAGGCAAGGCACAAGGGCATTCAAAAATTTGCAGAAGGATCATTAAGCTAATTCGCATCTTTATAATATCAAGGCACTATTTTAAATTTAAATTGTCAAATTCAAATTCATGTCAAATTCAAATTTTAAATTTAAATTCAATGTCACATCTTTTATTGTAAGGCAATCTAGATAAATAAGAAGGAACTCAGGGTTTTCTGTATATTAAAATAAATCATAATTTGGTAAAATAGACACAATTTGTACATGCCTTGATTGTCGTACTGACAATTTGATGAATTGAGGAGAAGTAGGCAAAATACAAAAACAGGCATTGCTGTCTCATGCTGAGAATCTTTTCATAACTGAACGACCTCAAGATGCTTGGAACTTGCAGCAGTGATTTTTCATTTATGCAAATAGCAGCTCTGCTCCAATCTATCGCAGATGAAAAGGGGAGCTCCCAGCCATCACTCATGACAACGGGAATGCAACCAGCTTGAAGAGACTCCAGAAAGCGAAATGAACCTAATCTTCTACCTCTTGGCACCAAACAGAAAGTGGCATTATATAAAAGTTCTTGGTAGTCATACCTGAAACCAATAAAATATTTATTGAAATAGTGGAACAAAATCATATCCAAAAGTAATAGGTTGATTGGTATAGTGGAATAAAAGTGGATCAAATTAAAAGATTGATTGATATGGTGGGTTTTGACTAGACATTCACTATTATCATGATTTGATTCATAGCATTATTGATTGACACTTTAAGTTAAGCCTTGCTAAGTCATGCTGTGACCACGCTTTACTACTCTTACACTAGATATGTAATGTGGCCTAGTATTATATCTTGAACATATAAGTTGTTCTGTTATGTTCGTTCAACTGTAGTTTACCTTTCAAGATACTCTTTGTAGCAGTCTAATAGATTTTTCATTTCCAGAAGCATATTTCGTGAAAGCAATATATCTGTCAGCTGTCAGCGAAGCTTTATTGGTGCAGAAAATTCAAGTTCCAATAGAAATTTGAATGGGGTCCAGCAAACTCTTATCAATAAATTTGCATTAATATGTTAACATATAAACTAGCTAACATCCCTGAGTTACCATGTCTAGAGCAAAGGTGGGAACAATTTTACCTACAGGCAAGAGAGGACAATTCAAATAAAAAGGTGGTCCCCAGTGGGAGACCAGCAGCTCCTTAATTGGTATCCAGCCTATGGTCTGTGGTCTCCAAAAACAAAGTCTGGCGACAGGGGTGGACATTTCGGGGGTACCAGGTATTTTGATGTAGTTGCGTGATCAGCATGTTTACAATACATGAATTCGTGTAACAAATTGTTTTTCGTGTTCGTGTAACAATCCTTAATGTCCTGTAAATTTACATTACTCATGGCATAATTGTGTGAAAATGATTGCTGCAAGGAAATTTTGAACTTGAGTGTTTAGCGGAAAGTTTTGGTTTCCAGTACAAGATCAGATAAATGTCTCCAGTATTAAGAGATTACAATGCCAAAGGCTCTGTCAACAAAAAGCTACATGCAATATATTGTCATGTTCGAAGGTCTCTTAGTAGAAAGGATACCTCCTACCCGCCATTTCCAGTAAAAATTTGGTTGTCTGGTGGTTACACTGTATAATGATAAGCAAACATGAAAGCAGGCATTGGCCTGTTCTCGTTTTCATTATAGGTTTGGTGCGCACACGTTGTAATTCAGACAATTGTAAAATTTCTAATTAAAGTGAATTTTTTCAGGAAAGTTCCAAATTGTTCAAGTTTGCTCACCCTATCCTTGGGCAAAAGTGATATCTGATGCAAATGTGGCATACAGCAAGTCATATTCCCTGTCTAGATTTGCTATGTGCACCCCTGGTGCCTTGTTATCTGTGTTATGCCACCAGACTAATTTCTCTTTGGTGTGTTATTTATAAAATACCATGCTAAAGGCCAGTGTGCAAAGTATGACAGTTCTGATTGAGATATCATACATGCACAATGATTTCAGGCACATTTTCCATGTGCCAGCCTACGTACATCATTTGCAAATTCAGTGCACAGTGTCAGATTTTGGCATGCAGATCTACACTGACCTCATGCGTTCATTTTTCATACACTGCAGATTATGCTATAGGCAAGTTATGATAGCAATGGGATCCAAAATACTGGCAAGAATCTCAGTTTTGGCAGTAACTGCTGGGTGACAAGATGCCCTATCACAAGATGCTGTTGGACCACTGAATAAATAAAGAAACAATTAATAAATAAAAATAATGTCTAAAATAAAAAACTGAATAGAACTAGAACTTATACCTTTCATAAAGCTTATTGTCCCTAAAGCAATGTGTATCGGCAAAATCCTGCCAGTTCTTGCCATGTTTACATGTAGTCAGCAGGATTATATCCTTGTCATTATGCAGAAGGTGTAACATATCCCTTACTTCACTGCCAATACCAAAGAGATATCTTTTTCCTTTAAAAGCCAATCTGTATTTTCTCTCAATTGGAAATAAACAATCTTCACAACCATAAGTTCTTGGGATTTGAGGGTGCTGTTTATTGAACAGTGGCAAGCTGACATCGAACCCCATTCTACGCCTTTCCTGTGAAATCGATGCTTTAGCGATCATTGCTTCACCGTAGTCAAAGCCTAGGCTCTCATTGTAGTCAGGCCAAGTGCCAGAAAACAAATTAAATATCATAAAGTTTTTACCATTCCTATTCCATATACCACGTTGTATCATCCTTCTCTCTACTTTCCGAACAAAGTCTTTACTCAGCCTGTCACGATCAATAGTGTCAGTAGTCGGCACATACAAGCAAGCATCTGAAGAATCTGGAGTGTAATACATGTTTTGGCGAATGGACATAAGCAATTTTACGTAGACAGGGGATCGGATTCTCTCTCTCAGATCCTGGGGAGTGGGGTTGGCGGAGAAGACACGAAACCCCGATCTACAAGAAGATAAATCGAAGCACGATGAAAAGCGGCATTGCAATTGTTCACTAGTAATTTTAACTTCATCTTTGATACCAAAGGAAAGAAACTCATTCAGTTGTACTTCTTGTGCGTTGTCGCTATCAACTGCTGCCTCCAAAAGGAAAACAGTCCTTTCCAATGTTCCTCTTTGAAAAAGGCCTTTCGTAATATTGAACAAAGAATTTACAATAATAAAAAACAGAGCGGTCACGACCAATAAAAACAGCCCCCATGCCTTTCTCAGATTGGTTCTTCTTCTTGATTGCATTTATCTACGAGAGGAATCATGTGTGCTTGCCTATATAATAAAATTTCCAGGCAATTTCATTCCCTCACATGCCTTCAAAAGCTTTCGAGTTCGATTACAACACTAGAACTCTTCTTACAATCGTGCGCTGCGCAGCACTACGATGTACCGGAAGTTGAGCTTTTGTCAAAAACTACAGGTTATGTCAATATGGGTGGGAAGGGTAGGGACGCCTGCTCTGGAGGGCTGCACTGCAGAGGCATCTGCCCCTCCTGCTATCACCCAGGAGGAGATAGAGGGGGCAAGCAGTGCCCTTAAATTCACTCCTGAGTAAATAATATAGAATCTTGTAGATAATTGATGGCTAGTTTAGCCACTCTCATTATGTTAGTTTCCATTAGAAATTAAAGAAAATGAAAAAATCTTCCTCTTTCCTGTCTTTGATAACGAAAAGTTCTTTTTCTGAAAACATTAATAAATTTCAAAAACCAACAGTGTCTTATAAGATACTGAAAATTTTGTCAGAACGAGGATGTTAAACTTATTTTATGCTTTTATATAAAAACACGCTGAAGAAAACAATTATTTGATTTACATTTTATGCTTGTGATTATTATTTTCCTTTTTGCATTCTCAATGATTCTGCAACCATGGAGAATTAAGTCTAAGTGGACAATCAAAGTCTTCCAGCCAGCCCGTTTATAATTGCCATGATTTTCGTAAAACCAAAAAAATCCGATTGATGACAAGGCCATTTAACACCCACTTTCATAGAGGATTTTGTCAACAATATGCATATGTTTTGAGCTTTTGATTACAAAGATCACAGCTGCATGGGTGGACAATATTTCATTTTTGCATCCCCCACCTCTCACTAATAATCGATTATATTAGAGAAAAATAGTCTTCTACATGTCCTCAGCACAAACGCTGCCCCTTCTGCTTAATTTTGGGCAGGCATCCCTGGGGAAGGGGTCAAACACCTTTGTTAAAATATCAGACAAACACCTCAATGTTTGCTGAGCAACAATATTAATGAGATTATATTTTCTGAGCTTTAAAGTTAATTTAAAATTAAATTTTTTGTCAAAAATTTTAAATTCTCCATCATGAAAACATCGTAAGAAACTTTCGTGCTTTTAACATTTTGATAAAAACGAGAATTTTCGATGAAATTCTAGCCTAGTGTAAAACTATAAGGTTTTACAGATGAACGTAGACGAAAGAAGGACAACAAAATATGTACCAAAGTTTTCTTTGATTATCAAACGACTGCGGTTTCAACGAAGCTTCCAATAACTAAACGACTTTCATTTAAAGGCAACTTTAAATGCGACTATAAGCGACTTCGACTGAACGATACGACTCGACTTAATCTCACGGCTTCACATAAGGACTGAATTCACAAACAAGGGCACAGCATAAAAATCACATGACAACACACCTTAATTAGGATAACAAAATAATTACTTCAAACAACATAGGACTGATGACAACAATAGTGGCGATGGAATGATGCAATAACACGGAATGTTGATGGCAAGGTGACAAACAACGGAACTATCAAGAACATCAAAAGAACAGGCAACTGAATATCACGAAACTAAATAAAACATAAAACTTATTGCATAACACTAGTCATTATTCTTTATCAACTTATAAATTTCACTATTTTTCAGACTTGATGTACTTGTAAAGTCCATTCTTATAAAAAGTAGACATTGAGAAAATTTACCATGAAAAATTTTCATTTTTTCATAACGGAATGGAGATGAGAGAACTTTTCTTCTCGAATTCTTTACCTGTCCCAATTTTCTATTAAGCTCTGGGATTCAGGGTTGTTTCAGTAGCACGTGATACTCAAAGTAAAATAAGTTTTAATTTGCTTAATAGAAAATAGAAAATCTGCTTATAAAAATATAATGTTATCCAACAATTAAAGAAGATAGTAAAAGTACTAAGAGCTAAATAGCTAAAAGAGCTTAAAGACTTAAAAATATCTGGATAAATTTAAAATCTTGGTTATCGTTTTTGAAGTCTTTTGCTCCTCAACCGTGTCCATAACAGCAACCATAAATTGCTTGTCGGTGCCATGTCCCACTGCACACTTATATCAATTCACTCTGCGGACCCTGAGAGAGACATTTAAGAAGTATAGCGATTCACGAAACATTGAATTTTTGACCCATCTGGACCAGGGCCGTCGCTAATCACTTTCACTTAGGGGGGTGCCAGTCACAAATTTGCCGATAAAATAGGGCGTGGCCAAAGGTATTTCAATTTTGGGTGTGGTATTTTGACGCAATTGATTTTGTTTATCAAAGAGTATGTTCTCATTAGTCAATCATCGCTTCAATTTTCGAGTGACTGTGGGTACTTAGTTTGCATGAGTAGATCTTACTAATAGGACTGCCAAGAGGTTTCGAAGGCCTTGAAGGAAACCCGAAAGACGGGGCCCCTGCGAGCGGAGCGAGCAGAAATTTCTTGCGACCACGCCCTTTAGATTGTCTTAAAATGCATTTCAGAATATTTCTTGCAGTCATTTCTTGCAATCGTTTAAAACTTTTAACTATTTTTAGGCATACTTCTTCTACGTTTCATTGATTTCATTCTTAAAATGGAGTTCATTACTACTTGACGCCCCATCAACCTCAAGGCCTTGAGGCACTTTGCCCCCTTGCTACCCTCAGCAGCCCTGCTTACAGTGGCTTCCAGTACTTCCAGGATCAACGTTCAGAGTTTTTCAATAAACTTTGTCCCCAAACTTTAGGTAGAAATTAGGTCGCCCTGGATATTGGACATTAGATTCTAGACTCCGGCTGCCGACAGGGAGTCATTTGAAATTTTTGGTGGACATTTGCCCCTTGTGACACCCATAACGCCATCTGTACCTATTTTGAATTGCTGAGGGTTTTTGGGTGATACTTCTTCGGACTTATCCTCATCTTATCCAAACTTTTTGCTAAAGCTATCGCATTGAGAACTTCGAAAGCAAAACCCGACAAAACGCTACTTTTAGAAAATTTGCCGACAAGAATTGTCAAGGGGGGTGCCGCACCCCCCGCACCCCCCCCGCTAGTGACGGCCCTGATCTGGACGAACACTTGGAAATGCATCCAAATGTGCAAACTCGTGAAAGCTTGAAGGGCATAGTTCTGGTATATATTCAAGCAATAGGAACCTTGGAGCGTTGAATGAGACGATCCGATTCGTGGAGCTTTTAATTATGGGTGAAGAAGGTCAAAAAATGGAAACTGTTGCCTCTTTTGCAGCGCCTCGGATTATAAACGTTATTACTGTAATATGTCAGCAAAGTTTAGAAATCCGACCCTCTGCAGAGAATTGTATCAAGATAAAATTTATCTTGATTGTAGGGATTCAAGATCTTTCGATTTAATTGGACAGACAGACAGCATTTCTATAATTGAAAGTAATTTGTAGAGTGTTATATAAACCGATCTGTATAGTGGTTGTATACAACTTCGCCGTAATTCAATGGGAAGTTGCGAAGGAGTTCTCTGTCCCATTCCCCTGTACATCGGCCTAACGTTCTTTCGTTTGAGCGTGGACCGCACAGCTAGTTGGGAGCGTGCGAAATAAACGCTACATAAATGTCCAACATTTTATTTCCAGTGTTTTCAGCCAAGGCTTCTCTTGAGCAGTTTCACGATAAGTAAGTATTCAAAGCTTGAGATCGGCTATTTTGCTGCCATTATTCAAACCGGCCAGACGTTAGAACGCATGGCGTGATTGAAACGCGAAACGATTGTTTGTTGGGCATGCTTTACTAAAAGAGAACGGTTTATGTTAAGCACACACTATAGCCTAACGTGTCAAGAAAATTTTATACCGCAAAATGCCATAGATATAATCAACTTTTGAATTGCCCTGCAGCCATTAAATGATGTTTTTTGACCATCGAACAATGGTATGCATTATTCATAAACTTTGGCCTAAAGAGCAAGAAAATTTATGTCCTAGATGGTGATGGCAAGAAAAGGGATTAGTGGCCTGTTTTTAATGCGAATTGTTGTAAAATGTATGTTACTTTTGCATAGACGGAGGGAAAATTCAATCAAGACAATTTGGTTAACTGACATAAGAGTGAAGTGATACACCAGTGACTAGAAAACCCTCTGTAACTTGATGCATCATGTTATTATGTTCTCAACAATTATGTATTTGTATTTCAGAATTAGAGATCTAAGTGACCTGAAAGAACAACCTACAGTGAGGTGGGTAGATGAATACTAACCTAAAGCAAATTTAGTTAAATCAATAAAAAACAAGTTGAATTAAAAGGAACTGATGTAAATTGAATTAGTGTATTTTTTGTTAGTTTGAAACCGTCTGAAACAGTAAAACATGCTGTTCGTTCCTGTTTGACATGAAACACTAACAAGCTGCATTTACATATTGAAAAAAACAAATACCATGTCAAGTCACTTAGTAACTTTCATAGTTTTCTTCCTTGGCATGTGAAATTAGCAAATAAGAGACACCGCCATGGGACAAGAATGAACAACAATAAATACACATAAATTAGTGAAGGCTTATATTTCGCGCTGGCATACGGGCCTTCATCAAAGCAAAAGTGACTTTTGTCGTGTTTCTTATTTCCATCAATTTTTCGCCACAAGAACTCCTTGAAGTCCATGGAGCAGACTGCTATTGTGACCTTTTCTTTATTCACACATGTGAAAATTAGCCTGGTTTTAAGGAAATTTAAGGTAATGATTATTTAAACACCTGGCTAAAAGAAGCATCATGGTGCGAGGATGGCTCAGTTGTTAGAGGCGTTGACTACAGACCCAAGGGTCCGTGGTTCGAGTCCCTGGCATGACCAAACTTTTGTGCAGAGTGAGTAGAGTCACCAGCTCTCTGTAATTCCAGGCTTAGGAATCTTGAGTTGTGGTCACATTGAGAGGAAGGACCAGGACACTGCTAGATAAGCATGAGCTTCTCAGTGTCCTAACAACTCTTCAGATGCTAAGTAGAAACAAATACAAAATACAAACATGTTTTTATTTAAGATCTGCACTTGTTATTTGTTTTTGTAATTTAAATAGAAATTTTGACCAAGTTATTTCTTGCCGCTTTCTAAAAAAGCGATTTACTGTATTTAAAGCTCTGTTATTCTTAAAATCAAAAGATATTTGTTTGGCCTTCCTGAAAACAGAATACCCTCCCCAAAAAACTAGGTGTTAAAGCTTAATAATATGAAAATGCAAAGTAGTTTGCAAACAAAAGTGGGAAAATATAAGTATTTTTTTAACATCCAGTTATTTTTCTAATTAGAAATGAGGTGCAAATTTGTTTGTTTCCATTCCTAGCACATTCATCAAGTCTCAACTTGGAAATCATGAGGTGAAACGATGTGTGATTGGGCCAAACCATGTTGCATTCCTGTTAGATGTAGGTATTTGCACAAAATGTTTACACAACAGCTAATATTATATTTGCAAGTCCTTTCATTTTGTTGCTCTTTTCAAAGAAGAAAAGAATGTTCACAGAGAGCAAAAGCTTTTAATTTAGTATGAACACATCTTGTTGGCAGTCTTGTTTTTACTGAACATTCAAATTCCAGAACATTCCTCTTGATTTAACATGTGTACACTTTATTTACTGACTGGTCAGAGGGCTACAGGGGCTTTAGCCCCCCAAAAATTTTCAAAAATGTATATATATATATGTATATACATAAAAACCATACAAAAAATCACCTTGCTCTCAGTTTTTAGCATGTTTAGCCCCCCTCCAAAAATGTTTTAGCCCCCTCAATTAGTAATATGCTTTGTGGTCCTTTTATTTATGTATATATAAGATAAGTTTTCAAAAACATTTCCGCCATCATCATTATTTATGAAGGCTCAGTACTTTGATTTAAGATTTTTTTTGTATAAGTAGATGCCATCATATGGTTTACTAAAGCTAGTCACCAATAGGCATGGAAAGTCATACGCATGCCAGTCTCGTCTCTGGCTCCATGTTCTTCACTTATTTAATGGAACTTTGGGTTTACAAACACCACATAATGAATGGGTGAAGTTTATTGAGAGCTGCAAAATAATGTTCTTAAATAAACTCAGGCTTTGTTGATCATTAGGAGAGCTTTGTAAGCAGAGATCATTTTTAAATTAATTGAGATTTTTATATATTTTATAGGACCATAGAGTATGTAGGCTGCAGTTTGCAGTCAATTCAGAGAAATTCGACCAGACATCTAAAGACCCTGGGTAAGTTGACAGTAGAGCCAAGGAAAAAAGTGAATCATTTTTTAATTATGTATATACTATTTTGGCTGTGTTTATTCAATGTAAAAAGAGAGAATGAGCCAAAAGCATTGTTATTATTACACCTATAGAAGACGGAGACCATCAACAAAGCTGATGAATTTTTCATTGCACTGTATGCTTCTGTATTACAATGAAAAAGATTATGACAGAAGGTTTTATTTTCAAGTCAGTTTTCACTACAGCAGCAAGATATTTGTGTTATTCATTGTGTCTTTGCACACAAAGGCTGATGAGTTTTGGCAAAAATCCTACAGATTTCATGGCAAAAATCCTACAGATTTGAGATCAAGAGATTAAAGGATTTTCTTGCTTCACATCTGTTTTCTGGTCTTTTGTCTCACTTTATCTTTTAAAGCAAAGCCTTCAGTAAGGAGGAGGTAATGTGATTCTATATTGTGTGTGTATATTTATATATGTTTTTATTTGAGCTATATTTGTTAAAAGCAAAAATCATTTGTATTTCTAGTGATGAAGATACATCAAGTGGTCCTGGTAGGGGTGTCGCAACTGCACTGGTGCACTCTGGTAAGCTGCAATTGACTTGAAAATCCTTCTATTTGTTAAAGATTTAAAAATGCTTTGAAATATGCATTAACATGATAACAGGGTTTGTGCTTTGAAAAAAGACAAAGGAAAATGGAGCTGTTTTTCTCTCATAGTTTGACTTAGAGTGTAAATCTAACCCATTATCTTATTCCACAAGGTGCTAGATCATCAAGAGCAGAATTGCCATTCACAATATCAGGAGAGGCATTCAACACTCTGTCTGGTCAACTAGGGTAGGTTGTATAGCAACAGCAAACTATTTTGAACCTTGAATTGTCAATTTTCTATTTACAATATGCTATCAATGTTATGTTTTTCAAGTTTCTCAAAAAACATTAATTTTTTTTAAGGTTCTTAGAAACTCTTTACTTTTAATTTTAGCTAAATAATGAAGCATATTGAGAATGTTTTGAAAGTTTTCTCTTTCTTTCTAAATCTCCCTTTAAATTAAAACCTATTAAACATGTAAGGCTTTGCCACGGAGGCACTAGATTTAATAACTTAATGTCTTTTGAAAAACATTTGGAATCCACACAATTTGCAACATTTAGATATGAAAGACAAAAAGTATTCAGATTGTTTTTGTCTTATCAGAAATTTGTTTATGCTGATTTATCAATTTTCAGGAGATGGGGTTCTCCTGGTACCCTCAGTACTGCATCTACAACAAACCGCACCTCATCAACCATTGCTGGGTCTACTGCATCACCCTCTGGGGGTATAAGGGTAAGAGGCAGAATCGTGAGAGCAGCAATGAGAGGCAGATCAGGAAACAGTTGGATTGGAAGCAGGCCTGTGATACCTGCGTCTGCTGTCCCAGAAGAACTTGTTGCCCAGGTATTTTGTCTTGCAGCTGATACCTTAAGTTGACGATAAATGTTAGCCAAATGCTTCACTTGAATCTTCCTGCAATTAAATGCAAAGTTAAAACATACTTATCACTGTATGTGTTGTTTGCGCACTCCTTAAGGCCACTTTTAGAATGTCTCCAAATGCACTAAATGCTTATACATAGGTATAAGCATTTCTTGCATTGCTTGGCATTCACCAGCTTTACCGCTGTTCATTGAAAGTGCTTGAGTCATAAGTGTGCTATAGTAATACAGTCTGGCATCTTTTGTGCCCTTGCATTGCATTTGCTCTGGGTTCCCTCATGCCAGATATATCCAATCAAATATATACCTTGCCGTGTTTACATTTTCTTGTGAAATTCAAAAGTTGGGTTATTGACTTTCTCTATTTTCCACATGTTTCTTTTGAATTCTTTATTTCATTTACATTTGCTGGTGAGGTCATGCAAAAAGAAAATGGTTTCTGTAATTTTTTTTGCACCTTCAAATCAGTTAAAGCCACTGTTCCCTTATAGTTTTACAAATTATGTTTCACGCGATTTGCTCGAATGTTGTATTAGTGTTTCTGACATGAAGTATTTTTAACAGGCTCAAGTAGTACTTCAAGGAAAATCACGCAGCACAATAATAAGAGAGCTTCAAAGAACGGTTTGTTTTTTGTGATATTTCCACATTATTTGATCAGTCCTCCTTTGTATGTTTTTCTAAAGTTTTGTGCATTGTCACGTACAACATTGAGGGAATTTTGAGGGTGTGCTGTCAAACTTGTGATTTTCTTCACAGCCTGTTCACTACAGCCTCTTCAGAAAGCCCCTTTAATAGAATTAATGTTATTTTCAGTAATTCCATTCAAAGAATTCCTTTCAGTATGATAATTATTCATGGCCCATGTTAAAGAATGTTAATCAAAATCCCCAAAACTTGCTCTTATTTGAAGTTAGGTAATGTTAGTCTTTGTTATTCCCTGAAAAGTTTACTTGAATAGTTTATGATGACAGACCGAAAGTGCAACAGTGGGGGTTACAAAGGAAACTGCTTCACAAAAATTACATTGCAACTGCAGCAGTCAATAACTGATGTTTTATTATAATCAATGATCGTTGTTGTTTTCCTTATTACCCCTGGCCAACCTGAAAAAAGATTTGAGGGATCTGGCCCTCTCTTCTAAGAGGTTTGCCACCCATGAATAAGAATGAGTAATTCTCTTTACTAGTTGAAAGTAGTTAGTAATTGTTAAACACATTGTTGGTATATTGCGTTAGCGAAATTGCCTTCAAACCTTATTTTTTGAGCCTGTAGAAACAATTTCTTACCTTAATGTAAATAATGATTTGGTTTAGAACCTGGATGTGAACTTGGCAGTGAACAATTTGTTAAGTCGAGATGATGATGACCCGGACGAACAGGACGAAGGGGAATCATACATTCCTGGGGGTATGTATTGTATATTTCAGGGGGGAGGGTACATATTTTTCATAAAAGCTTTGGTCACCCTGAAGTTTAGTTTACTTCCTATCGAGTTTTCCCATGCTACATCACTGCTACATTCTCAATCTTCGATTTATATTTAAGAAAAATCTGAGTTTAATGTATGAGAAAGAACATATAAATATATATGATATATATGTTGTTAGCAATAGACATTTTTATAATAGTTACTTTTCTTTCGTTTTAATGGTTACTAAGGCATATTTGTACAACATTTTTTCTTTGATTTATCTATTTTAAAAATAAGCTGCAAAGTAGAGGAGCTATGGTCTTCCAGATTCTAGAACAGTACTCTCGCTAGCCCCTCTCTCTACTTTGATATGAAAAGACTTATACGGAGCCGTATGTTTTGTTTACGATCGGTCTACTTTTGTCGGTTTTAGATGAACTGATTTCAATTCTGCATGGTGACGAAAACTCATTTGTTGTCGACCCCGACTCCATGTTTCCAGAGGACATCATTTATGGGTCATCACTGAACAGGCCAGTTTCAAGAACTGGCAGAAGATCTGCAAGCAACGAAGGGTATGCAAATAGTTGTTAACATAAAGGCAATCGAACAGCTACTAAAACGGCCAAAGCCACATTTCAATAAAAATTAGCCAATCGATTAGTGTGATTCCACTCAGGGGCGAACACTTGGTCAAATATTGATTGACAGATGGCTTAAGCCACTTTAATATCTGTCGATTACCTTAAAATTGGATTTAGCTACAATAAATACTTAAAATTGTAGAAAATTGTGTCTCATTTCTTAACATATAACAATCGTTTTTGCTGAGAGGTAATGTTTCTTTTTCGTCTTGGGACGAAGAGCCCCTTAAGAGAATTGGTACTTTCTTTACAAGCATGAAGTTAGACCTTATAACCTCGGTAGGAATATACGAAGCTCGCTTTGTCAAGTACTGTACTCATAGTGGTCCTATCTGTTATTTTCAAATTACGAAACGTTGTCCAGGATACCATGTGGGTGTTCTCAGTTCAATGAATCTTGATTTCGAAGATCTTTAGTGTTATCTTGTCGCTGTAACGTTTGCAAACCCAGCTTTGCTTGTCAGCATAAAGTTTAACTGAGTGAAGCATTATCATTGTTCAGTTCTTCCGATAAAAATATTTTTTGATACAAGTGCACCCCTTTGAAAACTCACTAATGTTCTATCTCAGTCGACCACCAACTTGTCTTGCTAGTAAACTGAACAATGGTGGATACTTCTTCTTGAGTTTTTGTTAGCCAGAGTTTCATATTGTGCTTTCCTGTAGAAATAATCGCGATGGTGAGAGAGAACGAGATATCAGTGGAACCGTCCGGCAATGCGAGAAATATTACATGGATTTGTTGAGCATCGAGTCAAATGGAGGCAAGACAGGGAAAAATAAAACTAGCCTAAAGACCAAAGTGACCAATGCGAGTGAGGCCGTCCATGTCGTCAACGATTTAGAGTTTTGGACTTCAACAGAAGACGAGGTAATTCTATATATAATTTCTTTTTCCAGATAATTTTCGTGAATGACAATACCTAAACTATTTGGTGTGTATCTGCTCTTGATGTCACTGCTCAATTGAAGGGCCGAGAAAGTGGAGAGGATGGGGGTTGGGAGGTAAGGGGCTTGAGCCCCCCAAAATTTGATCATCATGATATAATTATTTTTATCAAGTAAATTTGAGAACTTCTATGTCATTTCTAATGACCAAAATCAAGCCCCTCCCTACAAAAGAAAAATTTGGTTAACCTATCTCGGCCCTTGCCTCAAATGATATGGACAATGACTAGTTTAAGCTAAGCTACCAAGTTCACTAATAAAAATTTCTGCAATGACCAGGATGGCTCTCCACTGAAGTTCAGTCAGATCGCCGCCTTACATTCAGAGCTTATTGCCGTCAGCATGGATGGGAGGCTGCATCAGTGGAAATGGAGCGAGGCAGCTCCAAGGCTGGTTACTGCCGACCAACATTCTCACAGCCGGGCAGTCGATATGAAGCTGATTGACGAGAGAGTTGTGTCTCTTGATGCCCGCAACATCAGAGCAAGTGTATTGACGGAGTCTGGAAAAGTAAGGGGGCTTCTGTTGTTTTGGATTCGTTAGATAATGATTTTAGAAAATCAAAGAAAACGATTTTGCAAATGTTATATTCTAAATCTAAGTAAACATTTCAAACTGACCAAGGATTGAATAAACAGGCGTTATTGAGATGTAAGGCCTTTGAAAATAGTTGAATCGGAAATAAAACTTTTGCCGTAAATTTTACCATGCATAGTTGGACCTTTGACTCTGCAACTTGTGATTTCAGTAGTTTTTACAGCTGGTAATAAGTTTATCAACAATTATCATGTCATTTCGTAGTTATAAAAGTGATGCCAGAGAACTTATGCTGGCGATAGGCTCTCGAGTTTTCAAGGGATTTTGCCTAATGTCAGAGCATTTTTTTGTTTATTCTAACTCTTAGCCGAGCGTATTCAAAATTATCCAGAAACGGATTCACAGGTGTAAGCGTGATTTATTGGGGGTTCCTATACAAAGCAGTTAATCATATCGGGTTGACGTCAGAGTAATGTTTTTTCCATCGTACACACCACATTGAGAGGTATTTCAAAAACTTTAACATTATAGCAAAAATTAAAATTGAAATTTTTTATCTACGAAATACAGCCAGAATTGATGATCAGAGCTTTATTTCGCAGTTCCTGTTAAAGTTATAGTAAGAAAAAGAAAGGACCCCTGGCAATTTATATTAAAGACAATCGACATATACTAAAGTGGCTTACGCAATCTGTCAATCAAGTGTTGGCCAATCAAGAAGCGTCTGGGTAGTATCATGCCTACTGATTGGCCAATTGAAGATTGACAGATGGTTCAAGCCAGTTAACTATCTGTCGATTGCCTTTAAGGAGTAACAATTCCTGCCAGTGATTGTAAGATACTTGTGTATGTTGATTAAGATTGGGCGAGAATGATCTTGAAAGAGAGAGAAAAATCTTACTTTGTGCGCCGTTCGTTTCTTGCATGCTCCTCTGGGCTATTCCCAGAATGTTTGCATTGTATTGAAATACGGTGTGGCTGACTGTGAGTGTGCTATATCAACAGAATCTGGTATTTTCGGGCTCTTGCATCCATATTGCATTGGGTTTTGCTGTTACCAGATACAAAATGTTCTCTTATTGGTTTTCATTCAATGTATAGACAATTGCTCGTGTTGTTAGAAGGAAGTACAAGATTCGCTCGTATAGCTCCCGGGTAGCATCAAAATACGGATCTATTCCTCAATGATAGTTTAATTTTTGTAGATAAAGATTTACAAAAGATTTCTGCAGACATCTATTCGGTTTATGTTCAGTGGGTTTCTGTATTCAAGTTGCTTTGTACCCCATATTTTGTATTCCTCGTCATTTCACCCCCTTTCAATCAAAGTGTCCAGCAGCCGGATCTTCAATCGATATTTTCCCTTTAGATCGCCACGTGGTTGGATGAGTCACTAAGCGCAGTGGCATTTAAGCTCGAGCATCCTGCGCAGCAGTTTCCAGAGTTCAAAGGCCAGGCTGTTGTTGGTTTGCATGTTTGTGACTTGTATACATGTGTACAATTGGCGAACGGGTCCTTGTTTTGGTGGTAAGTTATCTCGGATTACGGTTGACTTTTCAGGCCCGTTTTTTAAGACCCCCTTAGATTTAGCACCTGCCCCTTTGTAAACGCAGTGTAGAGTCCACATGGGGAGTAGAATTACATGCATCTGAGCAGAAAACGTTTATGTAAACTTTTGCAAAATGAAGAGGTCTTTTTCCTACCAGGCAAGCAGTATTATGCAAGCAAAACAGCAGACCCAGGGTAAAAAAGGTACCCAGTCTCCAATAATTCTCAAGTTTTCTATTGTTGTTTATTTGCTAAGTATTTATTTTCTTTTTAATTTTCTTTTTTAAAACTAAATTTCTTCCAAATCATATACTTTGAAACGTCACAGACATTTTTGCATGTGAATGCAGAATCCATATTTAAATATATATGCGATTTCTTCCTGAAGCATGCAAGATAAATGTTGCTTTTGTTTGAGAGGAAATTTCCTATGGCATGAAATTTCCTTATAGAATGACCATACAGTTTTTTTTCTTACTACCTGCTTATAATCACATCACATGTTTAAGAAATAGTTTTTTAATAATTTTGTTAGGGCACTAGGATACGATTATTTTAGAGACATCTAGTGATCAGAACAATACTCACATTCAACCAGCATTTTCAACTTTCGACAATCCAACAAGTCTAGAACGTTTCCAATTTTGTTTTTTAGAAGAAAATACGTATTAGACATTCCAGAATTGACCTGAGGAAAATTTAGGAACGTTTCTAGTCTTATTGCCATCAACAAATCGATTTGATTCAGGAGTGTTTTAGGACTGGAGCAAGATATATAGAAATTGGAGGGTGTCGTCTGTGACGGCAATGCACTTTCTGGATTAATTCTAGAATCTTTCAGTTTTAAAAAACCTGCCCTGATACTGATATTGATATAGACCATAAGTGTCACCGACCATATCTGTTGTGTCATATTTGTATTTTATTGTGTTTCGTTTCAAGGGGAGTTTTCCCGTTTGAGCAACGACGGAAGCTGATGGATAAAGTGAAGCAGAAAGCCAAGAAAAGTGCCATTAATGGCAGCTCGTTGATTCAAGCTGGAACGCAGGTGAGATTTGCTTGGCCATGTCTGGATTTATCAACGGGCTTGGAAAAATTGTGTTGAGGTTTTGCACCCTCAGTTCAGTGTTAATAGCTCTGATTAATACGCCCAAAGGTTGAATAACGGAAGGGATTTGCCATGTTTTTCTATAGTTGCACGTTTTTCTAGCTTGCTGTTCGGCATTGTTCTTAGAAGCTGTGTTCAGCCTTGTAAAATATCAGAAAATTCATTGTAAAAAGGTGGCATTGTTCCTCACATAGTTACAGTTCTGTGATTATGGAATGAAAATTTCACAACCTGGATATAGGTTTCCTTTCTTGATCACTGACTAAATGTGCTAAATGCAGTAGATATATGAAAGGAAATCCTGAGTTCTGTCTGCGGTTTTTTCAACCATTTTCTTGAACATGCTTGGTTACAGTTGGTAACGATATGCCATGCTTACTTCAATCTATGCTAAAATTGTATTGTTTTACGTACACAATGCACATAACTCGTGTTTGTGTATATTAACATGACATAATTAAAGTTGATTTTGCCTGCAGATTTGCTGCCTGCAAACAGATGTAGCAAACCCTTGGCTATAACATCACTGTTGTACATTGTAAAGTTACTAGGTGATGCATAAAAGTTGTTTCTAAGTATTTGAAGTGCTACTGCAGATGTCTTGCCCTCTGTAAGTGGCGGTATCCATACGAAAATATTTCTTACCAGCTTGCAAAAATTTCCATCCTAGGTTTGTCTTCGAAGCTGCCCGCTGTACTATCCTGGTGCCATTGGCTTCACTACCGTAAACGGGGAGCCAAAAGTTGGAGAACTTCTAGAACAAGCTTGGACCATCACAGAAAAATGTAGTTTCGAAATTTTGAAGAATAAAAAAATAAACAGAGCGGAGAAGCCAGTGGAAAACGAAGCAGCAAATAACACTTCTGATGTGAATGAGCCGTTAAAGAGTAAGATGAGCTTCTCGTACTTAAAAAAGTCCAGATGACACGAAAAGCGGGAAAAACACATTATGCTAAAAGGCCTACAAATTTCTGGTCATAACCCAACGTTTTATGTTCCCACGAGTACTGAAGGAAAATTAGTTCAATATTATATGTTATTTTTCTTCTTTCACTTGCCACCTTGCAAAAAATAAGACCTCATTATGTATCAAGAGCTAGTAGAGACTTATGGCTGGCATATGACACGATTATCAGCAAACGAAATATCATTTGGTTATGACAGCCTATTTTAGGAACCGGGATTTATTCATGGAGAGCTTATGTTTTTGACCATATTTTCGACCATATTTTTTTGTTAAAAGAGCCATTAAATCATACTTGTTATTCGAGCCAGGACACAGGTAGACTTAACCGCAATTGTTTTGTTTTTTCTTTCAGAGAGAAAACGTTATGATGATTATGATGACATTTTTGAGGAGTCAAAAGAAGAGCAGTGGAATCTTAAAGATGTCATCTTTGTTGAGGACGTGCGTAACGTCACAGTTGGAAAAGTATTGAAAGTGAGTATTCTGACGTATAGTGAGTTGAATTGGGCCATTTTGTGAAGAGGGGGAATGTTCGTTCATTTATGTAATGCACACTCCTTAAGGCCACTTTTAGAATGCCTCCAAATGCACTTGATGCTTATACCTAGGTATAAACATTTCTTGCATCAATTGGCATTCACCAGCTTTACCGCTGTTCATTGAAAGTGCTTGAGTCATAAGTGTGCTATAGTAATACAGTCTGGCATCTTTTGTGCCCTTGCATTGCCTTTGCTCTGGGCTCTCTCGTGCCAGATACATGTACTTGCACCCCTTCAGTACCAATGGCAGGGCCACTTGTACTCATTCCCCCACTGGTTAAGTCGCTTTCTTTCTCAACATGGTTAACCATATAATGTATAAAACATATCACTTTATTTTGCTTCTCAGGTCGATGGTGCCTACGCCTTGGTCAATTTTTCAGATCATGATTCACAATCTTCGGACACATCAGATATTTCAGCTCTATTGAAGAGTTGCCGACTGGTCCGTAAAGATGAACTTCAAGTAAGTTTCAAATGATTACATTTTGCCATTTTTCAATTTTTTTAATTTTTCCATAAGAAAATGCAAGTAAATTTAAGTCAGTGCATTCTTTACACAGTTTTTCGGTTGATTTGAAACGCATTTCATTTTGATAGGTATATATATACTTTTTGAGAGTCATTTATTGTTTAAATTTGATGAATCTGAAAACCTCCCTGTGTTGTTGCTGCCGCTTTGCCCCAAGCACAACGAATTCAGCCAATGGGAATATAGCTGTTTTTGTTTTACTTGTCCTTAGATTGTTCGATGGACAACGCCACCGAAAATGTCGGAATGTTTTCAAAAGACGCCGAAACAGTTGTCAGTTCCAGGAAATTGCAAAGTTTTGTCAATGGCGCTGGATACGAATGGTAGATTTTCCTCGGCAGTTGCCTTTTCTGTTAAAGCAAAATTATAAATGACGTAGATTTGACTTGCCCTTTTTTACGAATTATCAATTCCTGCTGAATTTCGGTCGTCATAACAGTTTAACGATGTTTTTGTAGACATCTAATGTTTTTCGAGTACAGGTTAGGATAAGGTGTGATAAATGACTATGGAACATCAACAAAGTCGTTCGAAATGTATATACGTATATTGTTCTCCCAAACAGCGAATCAAGCAGGCAAGGCTGGTTTCTTTCTCTTTCATAATTCATACAGACCCACTTATCCAAATGCGTTTTATTTCAGGTGTACATACCCTGACGAAATCTTCTTCAAATCTGAGATACGCAATGTTCAGCTTAGCAACGGGTAGAATTGAACCCGGGGGCAACATCCCTGCTGAAGCGGCGGCTGTACTTACATCATCACCAAGCCCCCCTGTTTTATATAGTGCCGGAATGGTAAGATCTTTTATGACGTTTTACTGTATTTTTGTCTCGATTGCTCTTGCAGTTGCGCACTCCTTAAGGCCACTTTTAGAATGCCCCCAAATGCACTTAATGCTTATACCTAGGTATAAGCATTTCTTGCATCAATTGGCATTCACCAGCTTTACCGCTGTTCATTGAAAGTGCTTGAGTCATAAGTGTGCTATAGTAATACAGTCTGGCATCTTTTGTGCCCTTGCATTGCCTTTGCTCTGGGCTCTCTCGTGCCAGATACAAACATCTGCCCTTAAAAAAAGCGCCATTAAAATTCCATGTTATCTCTTTCCTCCAAGTGTTGTTAACCTTTTCATAGGTACCTAAAGATATCGGAAAGGAAAGTATTTTTACAAGCTATACGATGTATATTCAAAACTATTACGATACAGACTTTATATCTTAAGAATAAATATCGATGTGAAATATTTAACTGTCAAGGACTATCTATGCTCGATTGCAATTCTAGTTTTCATATACCATTTTTTCGATCTCTTTTGATACAATGTCAAGTGATTTGTAAAATTTTATTAAGGGGAAAGTATGCAGTAAGAAAGAACTGCTTGCAATACTGCCCCAGTTATCAGTTATTAGTAGTTCCTCAGGTTCTGTACCCTCTAAAAAATCAATTTATTTTGCTATCATGATTTTTATCTTGATCTTTCCTTAGGATTCCTTGATTCTGTTGCGCGATGGAAATGGCTGTGTTTTTCCACTCATCAAAGATTATATTGGCGGAATAAAAGATCCGAACTGGGTGGTAAGGCATCTTGCTATAACTTCTACTTGCAATCATTTGTATTGGGAAGGCTATATTTGAATTCTATTGTACTACCCAAAAACTATGAGCCTTTTTGAGATTGGTTAATCTAGTTCAATAGTAAATCTAATTCTTTATAAACTAAAGATATTTTGATTATTAGTACGGTATATGTTGCTCGCTTCACTGTCACATTTGTGAATTTTTCCCAAATTTGTTTAGCAGTGATGTCTTTCAGGTTTCGATCATTCAAAGTTTTACCAGGCATTGTTCTTATTTGACAGTTCAGCATAATTTGCAGGATCCAAGTCAACGCAGTCGGCCATATTTATTGTTTTAAATGTCCTTTGTCCATGTCTTTTGAATAGATTATCCTTAGCTTACTCAGTACCCCTTCTGTAAACTCTTTTCCAAGCCCCCTTTTTGCCTTCTTTTTCTCAGAATCTGCCACCAATCTCGTGTATCGCAATGGGTTCTCATGCAGTTAAAGCTGGCTCCACCATCTCCCATGCCGTTCTTGCTTTGATCATCATCAAGGTATTTATCTACATAACCTGACTGTGATTTGAAGCTAAGCATCTCTGTATTAAAGCTAAAGCTAAGCATCTCTGTTTATATATATAGAACGTATGCCTATTAGCTCGCTGCATTCTTGCCAGGCGTATTATACTTTGTAGTTGTCAATCTCATGAAAGCAATGGGTTTTGAGTTCCAAGGGTGTAATCTTGCAAAGAAGTTTCGTATTTTTAATTTTGGTATGGCGTCGTATGTGTCTCCGTTCTTAGTGTTCTTATTTCAATTTAACAGAGTCAGGCATTAATGAAAAGCATATCAAAATGTGACATTGAAGGCATCAGAGAGAGTCTGCAGGCTATGGAAAAAGAACCAGGTATATTCAGTGTTTCCCTGTAAATAATTTTTCTTTATATTTCGTTTCCTACCAAAACAAACGAAGAAGCTTCAATTAATGTAGCTATTTTTTCATTGAGAAGCTGCTAGTTCACTTTCAGTTTTCCTTAATGTAACGTAGTTTAAGGACCATTTCTGCTATTCACAGAATTTTGGCCTAATTTTCAAAATTTCAAGCGCATTTAACTTCTATCAGGATCGATCAAGACAAATCGATTGCAAGTTTCCACTAGCCACCTATCTTATCCCCAGCTATGTATTTTATTTTTTGGATCAAAGGTTCAGCTTTTTTGTTATTCATACATAACTGAAAATGATTATTTCCAGGAATGGTGGACGAGATGGTCAACGAAAAGTGTGATGGCAACAGAAACATCATACACAAGGCAGTCTCTATGTGTTTACCGAAATCAGCTGCAACCAAGCCAAGTGGAAGCTCGAAAGCCAGTGACAAGGACAGCCTAGCTCAAGGTCAATCTACCAACTTGCTCAAAGTTTGGTTTGTCGATTGAAACAAAACCATGTATTTTATATTTTGGATATGGAATATAAATACATCTGTCCAAGTATATTTTCTCGAGAGTGAAGACTAACTTTGTCGTTAGTTGTGAACCTGAAATTTCAAATAAATATCTATGCGTTTTGTCACTGAATACATTATTTTCCTTGTCATTTACTGGCTCTCGCCAATGTTTTTTTTATTTGCCAGAAGCCATCCAAATAATTTCTTAACTCGTTTTAGAGCGTTATTTTCCCGAGCATGCAATATTTCTAGTTAATTCTTTTGTATTTATCACTTAACTTTGTGTCATAGCAAATTTGGTGAAATCGTTGGATCTAACGCAAAGGGCTTCGTCACGGGACATGGATGACATCTTCCCCCTGGAACTGCCTATCCCCACGACTTCTTGGCCTCCTGAAAGAGCAACACAAGAAGGTCAATCGAGTGGTAGGTCGATTTGTCTCTGATCACCTTTGATGGACACCCTTCACTTAGATTCGAGCATTTCAAGTAAAGAAAAAACTCTGACTTTAATGTTCAATACAATATGTAATATATAATATGAAAGCAGTGATGGGTTGGGCAAGATGTACTTTTTGAGGAAGTCTCGTCACAATCTACTTAATTGGCTTTAAGTTCAACATACCTACACAACATATGTAGTTTGCCCTTTTTATTTCTTTCATATCAGAATTTTTTCAGTTTCTGTATTAACGTAGAAATGAAGTTACTTTTCGCAATCAATCAATCAATCAATCAATCAAAAACTTTATTAATGTGTCAAAAAATATTTAGCTTACAAGCTAATTGGGGACACAACGAAAAAAGTATATAAAGTTAAATTAGAGCATAAAATATGAAATTACAGTATAATTATTAAAACATAAAAATTTCTAAAAATCCTATGTACAACTAAACTAAAGTCTACAGTCTAAAAGAGTTTCTAAGTCCATTTTTCTTATACATTTCTTGAATTGGGTTATTGTTGTCACCTCCTTGATAGCTCTCTTCAATTTGCTCCACAGATATGGGCCAAAGTATCTTACTGAATGTTTTCCTTCTTTTACCGTACGAAATTTCGGAATTACAAAGTTGCTGTTTCTCAATTCATAGGGAGTTTCTTTTACTGCAAACAAATCCTTTATAAAGTGTGGGGCTATGCCGTTTTTAACTTTATACATAAGTATGGCAATGTCCTGAAGTCGTCTATTCTGGAGAGATCGCATCAAGCCTTATCATTTCTAGCTTATGATGAATCTGTACGCGCTAATCATAAACCGTGGCTAGGCCAATCGTAGAACCGCCCGGCTTCTGTGCATGGTTGCCATATGCATACATAACGGTTTGTGCCGAAAAAAGACAATTCTGAAGCTAGTCAGCGTTTTTAGTATTGGTTGAAGTTATCTTTGTAAACTGTATATACTTCACCATTCCAAGTCTCCATGTTTTCGATATATATACTTAATTTTTCTGCCCTGGTTTCACAGAGGACGATCACGCAAAATGGATCCCTGTGGGTGACAAATCGTACAGCATTCCTTGCTTGAACACACTGGTGACCCATGCCGTAATGAAAAATCACCTCGTGACATTATTGAAAGAAAAGTGAGTTTGAATTTGAAATATCTTCTCCATCCCATGGTTATGACTTCACGCCTGTCCGTCATTAATATGTAGGGTTTTTTTATGCTTTTGATACAGAAATTTTCTTTAAATGTCACGTTTATACTATTGTCTCAAAAATTTCCTTCTTATCTTTGGAAATTTTCATTTGTTTCCTTTTAATAGCGGATATTTCTACAGCATTTGGATATATGTGCGTTTTTGCATAGATATCCTTAGTCGGTATCAGTAAGTGCCCCCATATAAGATACGGTTTTTTGAACTGAGGCCTCAGAAAGTTTTTCTTATAAACAGAGACTTTTCATTATGAGGGTCTAAGTTTCTTATCAATAGGTATTGTCAAGTCAAATCAAGTCACGCTTTATGGCAGTACCGTCCATATGTCTATTCAATATTACTGGCAGTAGTGTATAAGACACAATCTACAGTATAATTTTTCCTATGGATAGAATACACACACTACAACCATCCTAGAGCATAAATAGAAAATATAAAACACTTCTCTCAATACTTGAAAATAAGAAACATTTTAATTTCAGACCTAAAATGCAGGCACTTACTGTAAGTAATTGCATGTCTAAGCTTCCACGTTATAGAGATATGGCAGCTTGCAGCTACCGTATTTTAAAGCCAAGTGGATTTTCAAGCTCAACAGAATTTATTTCAAATACAAAGAAATCCATGTTCAAATTGACTCTGTGTTATGTTTCATGGCTTTGTTCTTTTGGTGCAATTCGATTGTTTTCTTCAAGTATTGCAATTTTATGACAAGTATGAAAGTGTTTTCTGGCTGTCAGTTTTTGATAGTTTTTGAAGATTCCCTCAAATATGCTCAAATAATAATCTCAATGTTACGCTAAAGGCAATGATAAAACTAAGTTGTTAAGTTACAAAGCAAATAGCACCAAAAAGGGGTATTAAATTAACCTATCTACCTGTGCTGTCTATGCAAAACTCGAGTGATACATTGAGTGCTTTTCTTTCTAGGGATGCAACAGGGTGCACTCCGTTCATGTCAGCTGTTCGCGGGAGAGCCTACCCAGCCGCTTTGATTCTGTTCCAAGCTGCACAGAAGCAATCAATGAAAGACGACAAGCTGGACAATGATTTGTTCATGTCCATGATTTTTCCCTCCAACGATGCAAACCTTTCTCCATTTCACATGCTCTGTTGCAACGACACCTGCTCATTCACGTGGACTGGAACGACACATATCAATCAAGATATCTTCGAATGTCGGACGTGTGGACTTGTCGGATCGCTTTGTTGTTGTACCGAGTGCGCTAGAGTCTGTCATGTCGGACACGACTGCAAGTACGTAACCCTCCTTGTCGTGTAAACAGCCCAGATTGTAATATAGTTATTTAAGAATTGCCAATGTCAATCCTTGTAACATTTTATATATAATGTATGCAGCCAAACTCATGCATGATAAGAGCTATGGCCTACTTAGATTTTATCGTTTCTCACGTCTTAAGTAAAGGTTTCATATAGATTGCCCCAATCTTGAAGCCTTCTCCAATATGGTTTTTCTAAAAGCCATCAGAATGTATTCTCTTCTCAGTATTTTCACTCAACCTTTACGCAGCCTGCTTCTGTTGGGTTAATTATTTTGTAAAATGTTTTCAAATCAAACATGTTGAACACAAGGTAAAACTCGGAAGGCTGTTTGATTTCATTCCTCTCCCCAGTAAAAGCCAACTTCATCACCCTTTAATTTCAGTGTAGTGATTTTTCTTTTAGAAGCTTTTGCATTTAGTAGCAAATAGTTTTCACAAGGGTTTTAGTTGTTTTTGAAATAGTAATCGAAAGATCTGTGTGATTTTGAAAGGGTACTTTTAAGAATTATGTGTCAGATTGTAAAGCTGGTCGTTTCGATAGATTTTACTATACAGTAATCACGTGAAGTATGATTTTTAATGGATTTTGATCTAATTTCAGGCTGAAGCGCACCTCGCCCACTGCGTATTGTGATTGCTGGGAGAAATGTGCATGCAAGGCATTAATCCCCGGTGATCAAAAGGCGCGACTAGAGCTGCTAAAGAGGCTCATTAAGGAGACAGATCTGGCAACGAGGCCAAACAAAGAGTGTGTATATCTACAAATTCCTTATCCATAAGCAATCTAACCATATTTATTGACTTTTCATTTGTTATTTCTCGCATCAAGCCTTATCGTTTCTAGCTTATGATGAATCTGTACGCGCTAATCATAAACCGTGGCTAGGCCAATCGTAGAACCGCCCGGCTTCTGTGCATTGTTGCCCAATGCATACATAATGGTTTGTGCCGAAGAAAGACAATTCTGAAGCTAGTCCGCGATTCTAGTATTGGCTGAAGTTATCTGGGTATACTGTATTTCTATACACCATTAGACACCATTACAAGGCTGTTGCGTAGTTTTTGTATCAATTCAATATTCATGAGCAATTTAACCATTTTATTGACTTTTCACTTAAACCTTACTTCATGCTTTCGATTCAGCTCTATCTTTGATCCCTTGCATTATTTCTCAAGTTTCCATTTAATTCAGTTTAATTTTCATCATTGTTTAATCCAGCTCGGATTTTTAATTTGATTCAATTCAATCCAGACGTAGCTTACTTTTATGGGGGCTTGCTTTCAAAATGACCCCCATCTTACTATCTGCTAAGTTTCAGCACTCTCCAGTTGTACGATATTTTATATTACTCTGATATATTCATACACATCCATTTTCGCATCCCCTAGTGGCGAACATATACTGCTCTTCCTTACCAAGACTGTAGCCCGCCAAATCTCTGAGCAAGGCCAATACACTTCGAACAAGTCATCAGAACCCAAATCAAGAGCGGCTGCTGCAACTGCCAGAGGTCAAGAGCTTCTGCAGCCAACCCTGCCGGCACATGACTTAGAGCCGCCCAAATTTGCCAAACAGGCGCTGGAAATCGTGCTCAAGGACTGGAAGGCGTTGCGATCGATGTTGATGTCGGGCAGTAGCAATGAGAGCTCGACTGCAAGGTATTTTTACGTAGCCATTGCTTTTCACCGTAGTTTTATTTTATTTGCAACTGTAAGATCAACGACCACGTGGGATTCGAAGGAATTTTGGTTGGCATTTTATAAAAGGTTATTAAAAGGATGTAGATTAATTTGAGAATTATTTTTGTTATCACCTTTTTGCGCACAATCTGTTTTCTTCCATCACATTTGCATGTGTAAATATTCGACAGTGACCAGATAGTGTATTTGTTTATAAAGCTAGAAATATCACTAAGTTATTCAAGAAGATGGTTTGGCTGATGTTCTTTGCTTTGCTTTGAATTTGAAAAACAACGCCTTATGTAATCAAACGATTCACTTATCTTTGCTCTTTCAAATTCTTTGTGCATGTCATTCTAACACCTCTCATTTTTCTTGCATACTTCATTGATAAAAGCGCTAAAATAAGTGCTGTTCAGCAATTCTTGATTCTAACATCCTTGATTTTCTGAGAAGATTTCAGTCTCTCCAGCCCAAATCCTGCTTTTCGAGACAATATCCTTTAAAACTGCCAGTGGATCACTGTATACTGTTTGTACGAAAATGGGACCTTTCTTGAAATTGACGCCTGTTTATACAGTTATCTAGTGGGTAGTCCCAGGGGCATCACAGTAGAAACATCTTGATCGCATTTTGCTGGAATTTCCGCCCTGGGGATTTCCGCCATTTTCCTGGAATTTCCGCCCTGGGAATACTCTTTAAAGTGAGACTCTAGCATTTTGTGTGGTTAAATTTCTTGGAGGTAGGGATGCAACCAACAGCCAACAAGATTTTCCTGCAGTATTTTCAAGGTTCTTTGCAGTACATTTTGGTTGGTATCACTGTTGAAAAGGTCGCAAAAAGAACCTAATCGTGGGTTTATATAATATTTGTGTATGAAACGAATTATAGGTTATGAAATAATAAGGCAATTTTTACAAATACACCCTAAAATGTATTTGCTTTTCAAATAGGTCAGCAGCGGTTGATGATAACTTTGTAAATATGATTGGATCGACCATCCTCTCTCCAGGAGAGCAATCTCAGTATTTGAAAAGTCAAGAGGGGACTGCTCGTCTTGACAACTTCGTTCACTGCTTGCTACTCAAATGCAACGCTGAGGTAGGTAAAGATAATTCTATGTCACGTGGACTTCACTTGTTTCTTTCAGCCGATTTCAACGTTATATTCAAAGATTAACGAAGTAATTTAGATAGTTCTTTACCGGCACACGCCAATACGAAATGTGTTTTGGTGTTCTTTCCTAATAGTTAAATAATCGATTTACAGTAAAACCTCCAAATAATGGACACCTGTTGGTACAGAGTTACTGTCCGTTGTAAACAGTTGCTGTCCGTTGTAAAGAGTTACTGTCCGTTGTAAAGAGTTGCTGTCCGTTGTAAAGAGTTGCTGTCCGTTGTAAAGCGTTACTGTCCGTTGTAAAGAGTTGCTGTCCGTTGTAAAGAGTTACTGTCCGTTGTAGAGGGTTTCTGTCCGTTGTAGAGAGTTGCTGTCCGTTGTAAAGAATTGCTGCTCGTTGTAAAGAGCTACTGTCCGTTATAAGAACTTGCCCGTTGTCCGCTTTTATGAGGTCGTCTTACAAGGCTTTGAAAGTAATGAGATATTATTAGGCGATTTTATTTGCCTGTTGTTTTGCACTTTTTCTGAAAATACCTGTATCTGAAGGAGGCTTTTCTGAAGGAGACACTCAAAACCTTTACCATTTATACTTTTTGTTTTCGTTTCAGTATCTGAGAGCACTCCTAGGAACATTAGAGAACGTTATGGTCGAGGCGAAGCTCAATGATGATCCTGACCCGGTTGTAGTGGCTCGACGATTTGTCCGGTCTGTATGCAGAGTGTTTGTTGTTTCAGCCTCTTCTACAGGACCAGTCACAACCAAGAAAAAAACGTACGTATCAATCTCCTTGTTTAATTCACAATTCATCTTTAGATAATATTTTGTTCACTGCCCATTTCTGGCCCTTTCTTTTTAACTACCTATTTTCCAATAAATAAACTTCGCATTAAATGTAACTGGCATGCACATGTCACCTTTCAGATACTGAATTTCATGTTTTTATCTTGTTTGTACTTTCAAATCTCTTTAAAGATGCAAATGAATTTTTTTCATCATGTGTTTATTTCTCGGATACTATTTGTTGTTGCTTTTCATTTAGACTCTTGATTCGGAAGACTAGCAACCTGAGTGGCTTCAATTTTGCAGACTAGATTTCATATTCATGTTTTACCTATTGGCTTGGCGGCTACACATTAGCTGGGGGGGCTATATGGGCTATAACGTAATTGAAAGTGGGGGCCCATAATTTTAAGATTGTTTCAGGGGTTTCTTGAAGGCCGCCACCATGGCTGGGGGCAAGAACAATTTTGAGAGCATGACATTCTAGGGACTGCCGAAAGCTAAGTCTAAAATTATCAATCTGAAATATTAACAAAATATTAAAGTAAATCTAAAATATTATCAACAATGAATTAGATTGAAGGAAGATCATAGGCAATATTCATATTCTTTCCTTTATCATTAGACCAAAATGTTTAGGTTGCTCATGGGTTTAATACCACATGGTTAGCGACAGAAACGTTTTACTAATATGACGTTTTTGGATGGCCGGAACTCATTTAAAATATTCACAACATAGATTTAGAAACGAGGAAGATCCAAAGAAAAGTTCATAATTTCTCCTTTTTTACTCTGCCCTCATCTCAATATTTTGAAGGGGTTCAGTGAAAGCCTCCACCATGGTCGGCGGCAGAAAATATTTTGCAAGTATACCTTATCTGCTAAGGAACTACATCCGAAATATCTACAATACGTAGATCTAGGCCCAACGAAGATTCTAGGAACGCCACTAATAGCGAGCCCATCAGATACAATGAAAATCCCTTGATATCCCTTAGTCTTCACTCGTTGAATATAGTCAGTTGTGACGTTATTGGCAATCCTCAATCTTTTATTCTACACCTTACTCCTGTGCGATTTAGGCTGTACAGCTTTTTCTCTTGTGATGTTTCTCTTTTTTATCTTTTGCGTATCGATATTTCGTCTTTCCTGATGTGTCTTATCTCTCATTGTCTCTCTGTACGTATGCGGTGAATCTTACGTTTCCAATGCTTCTTCTACTTTATATTTGCTAATGATTTTTATGTTTCTTCTTCGCCTTTAGGACGCCAGGTATGCTGCTGCCTCTCCTAAAATGCCGTCGAATTTTCGCTGCCTTAAACGTTGTAGCTGCAAAGGAATTAGCTTGCATCGCGGATGCTATTTTTGCACCAGTCAGACTTGGAGTTGTTTATCCTTCAGCCCCGTTTACGCTGTCGCCAATGCCAACGGAAGGTCACCAAGCGTGCGAAGACCTCTTTTCTGTGCTGCCGCTCCCTTCGAGGTCTGCAAATGACAACACACGTGGTCACCACGTGAGATTTGAACCCGGACGTCACAGCGGCCGAGTGCAAAGACATAATCGAGGAGAAGATAGCGAGTTAGATGTGAGTGTTTTGTTTAGTCCATCTTAACTCTGGTTTTCTTCAAAGTCCCCGATCAAAGTGGGCCCACAATATATTTTGATATCTATGTTTTTAAAACTTCGCCCAAGTCTATGTTGCTTTCAACAATTCTAAAAGTTCTTCAATCAAAGCATGTAACTCACCTCCTCCCCAGGTGCCTCCATTACGCCCTTGCCCCTCCCACCCTTGCTAGCCTGCGTGCAGACTCTGTTGACAAAATTCAAGACAACATCTGTCTTGAATACCATAGTCGTTAATCATTGCTCATACTTTTGACTTTTTCACTAGGTAGGTAAAAGTTTAAATTGAACATAGAATACTTTTACATTTTTCAGTTTTCTTTCTTCATCACATTTAATTTGGAATATTCAAAAAATCATGTTCGCTAAACACCCAGAGGTGAAAATTTCGTCTAATTGGTAAACAGACCTTCCTCTAAGCTCCCATCTGCCCTAACAACAAAATGCGTTGCTTGTTTTAGATACACAATCAAGAAGATCAAAGCAGCCAGGTTTCGCAACTAGAACAGCAAGACCATCAGATTAATACGGACGGCGAAGAAAGCCACAATGCCGAATCTGACATGGAACTCGACTTACTTGCCGAAAGCGAGAGCGACAGTGACGAAAGCAATGCGGAGGATGTGGAGGACAGCCAGCGCAGTGGTACAGCGAATGTTACAAACAGACAAGGCCATTCTCGGTCTGATCTGGGCGAAGGCCGGAGAGGACATGATAACGAGACTGTTGATTACTACTCGGGGGAGGATTCGACAGCCGACGTTGATGACGATGAAGATGGAGAAATTGAGGAGGAAGATGATGACGTCAATGAATCACTCATTGAGCCAATCGTCCATGGACTTATATCTGGTATGTGTTTATGCATTCTATTTTATATCGACGGTGTTTTTTATAAACAGTTAGACTTGATATATGGCAAAATGCCCACAATGATCAATCCTGAGAACCTTAATGCGAAACATGTAGGTATTTCAGAAATTTGTAAATATATTTACCTGTACTAGCACCAGCTGTTCATCGCATAAAGTTTTTTCAATGGACGAGACAAATGCTTTTATTGTTATGGTCACCCAATTATTTTTGTTGCGCAGGTGAGTCAAGCAGAACGCCGCATGCGTTGCAGTGGGCCGTGCGCAATGCGCAGCCATATGAAGGTGCTGCAGAGGGTGGTGCCCATGTTTATGTTGGTACAAATAACATAAGGAGGAACGCATCTGGTGCCAGTGCAAACGCTGACATAAACAACGGTGGAAATACTGTTTTTTGTATGCCAAGTGCATTGGCCAGAACGTTTGGGCTCATAATGAAAGAGGTAATGATTACAAGTTTAAATTGATATTTTTTCTTTCTGTTTTGGTACTTCAGTTAAATTTTGGATATTTCTGTAGTACAGCATTTGAAATAGTTTTTAGCACTTTTGCTGTCCCCATAGTATTTTGCATGTAGCCTACATATTAAAAAAGATTTCAGGCCCTTACGGTGAATTGGAAATAATTGGACATTTATTTCGAATGACTCCTGCAATTATATCTGAGGGACATCTATCTAGTTTTATTCCAAGTGCCCTTGGGTTGTAATTTTTTTTCAAGAAGTATAGTAGTTATCTTTCGTTTCCCGAAAACTCAAAGCTTTGCAAAGGATAAGGAAAACCTGGAATTTCTGCTGAGCTCCTACCAGTCCCATATCTTGTACATCAGTTAGATTGGTTTTACGAAGCAAAACATTTTCTCGAAATGAACTCGCTTTGTTAAGGCTTTTAACCTTCTGTTATGTTAAGGATCCCCGTAATTATTCTAATAGTGACTTAAGCTTGAGAACCTCCAAAGCTAACCGACTTTTTATGTTTCTATCAGTATTATCTTCGTCTTTTGTATTCAGGTTGTCTCTAGGCGGCCTATTTCTGAAGTTTCAATTTTCTCTCTCACTGGCAATGCTTTCGCCACATTTGACCGCAATGCCTTGTCTTGTTTTCCCGCCAAACGTATTATTTCCTCTCCATATTCGTTCCAGCTTTCGGATGTGCTCTCGTTAACAACATACCATTATCTAAGTCCTTGTTGCATTCCGATCAAGAAAGAGAGCATGCGCAAAGCCAGAGCAAGTGTCGATGGAATACTCTATAGCACGTGGCAATGGCTGTGGAAAGTCATGGAAACAACGGAGGCGCAGTTAAGGTAACTCACGAATTTTCGCATAGTACCACCGTGCATACGTACTGAAATTCAATTTATTTTTATTCCTGTGAAGCTCCTTTCAATTTTCTGTCCCAACTTTCTGACCTTTGGGGCTCAGCCTTACGTTTTTTGCTACAGAGAGCGTCTTTTACTCAAAGTAAGAACTGATTGTAACACGAAGACGCAGCATAAAATGATGTTACTTTTTTATGGATCAAATATAAGTTTATCTGTTGTTAAACGGAATGTCTTTGAACGTAAAAGAGATGGAAAATCGTTGTGTGATTAGATAAACAGTTGTTAGTTGCTCGATTTCAATTTTAGATCAATCCATTTGCCTTTTCAGGTTCGGTGCATCTCTTACTGCAGTTTCGGATCCCTCACATCCACACCACCCCTTGCATGATGTACAAATGAAGAAGGGGGGACACAACCGAAGGGAGACTTCCTCACTGCTGTCAGTCGCGCGCAACTGGAATCCTGATGTCAAAAGAAAGCGGTACGTAAGGTTTGTTTTGTTTGCAATCTGTGTTGATAAAAATTTTGTTTGCTATTGTAGTTTCAATTGTGACTATTCAATGCCTCTCGTGCAACGTGCTCAGATTTGTCGACAGAATTTAGTTGATGCACAATACACCTTGTTAAGGCATCAGTTGGCAAAATTAATTTCTTGTTTAACCCTACGGCCAAATTCGGTTGATCACAGTCAATATTTTTCTATAAAGTATTTTTAATATTTCTCTGTTACTTATATCGACTTCACTGCCAATGAGAATTGATGTCGAAGCAGTTGAAGAATTTATTTATCTCCTCTATCACTACTGCAAACTTAGTTGATCAAAAACAAGGCCATTGCCGGAATTTGTGTATTGCAAAACTCAAGGATTTTCATGAAGTAGCAACTTTTGGTTTAAAGAGATCTTCGCTTCGTCGTATAATAATCTGATAAAATTGAAGCCTCCTTTCATGGGGTCAATTCACCATGTTAGTCTTTCTTTGCCACCATGCAGGCGAGCAGGCAATGGCGTTGAAGCTTCGGAAAGCAGTCTTCGTCAAGATTTCCTAACCTACCTGCTGTCACTGACAAGAGGAAGCGAGGACGAACACGGAGACTCGTTACCAAAATTAGAAATGACGTCATTGCGACACGTGGCCTACATTCTCGATGCATTTGTTTACTATTTGAGATCGAAAATCAAGGCGGAAATAAAAGTTCCTAAAGAGAGAACAATGAGAGTCGCTAATATCTTCACTGGGGAACCAGATTTGCGAAGGTGAATTTTCGAGTGTGATTGATTTAATCGTAAAATTCTTTGCCTGAATGCCTTTTAATGGATCCCCTTGCTCTTTTCAGAAAGAGAGTAAAGTCGATTTTCTTTGAAAATTCCAGGGATGTAAAGCTTGGAGGCTCAGGGGATTGAGCCCCCTCTTGCCAATGCCCAAATGAACCCTTTTCCATTTCTTGCTATTGTGTTTGGAGATGTGTTTTTACCAGCACTTTACCCCTGAAAATATATTCATCGTTATAAATTTGAAAAGTTATAAGTTAATGTTGATTACAAAAATCGACTGTTTTCTCCGTTGCTAAAATAGCATTACGCCTTGAACTGAATTTTGAAGTCATGCGTAAGGTTTTAGAGAATAGGCAACCGGATAGAAAAGTTGTTGAAAAATATATCCCTCCGTGTAGCAGTTCTGAATTTATGAGAATGATGCTATGGTTTGTGTTCAGAAGGCCTAACTATACCTTTGGGTCCTTCAAAAAAGATTGCCCTACAGTTTATATGAATTGAGTGATCTTGAATGATCTTATGTATGATCTAACATGGGTCAAGTCCAATTCAGTGTCATTTCAAATACCTTTTTCCAAACTGATCTAACTGAATATGACATTGTATTTCCCTATGTTCTTTTTTGTCCAGAGTACCTTTGAGTGGACGAATTCGAAACAACAGCGACGAAGACTCTGTATCTTGGTCGTCGGAAGAAGGTCAAGACGACAGCGAAAACACCTTTCAACTTGATGGGTTCTTCAAACGAAGCGATTCAACTCTTGTATTAGGTATTTCCCCTTTGTTTCCTATTTTCTTTTGTTTTCGAACCTCCTTTATTGAGCTGTTTCTCATTGTTCGAACCATGTAAACAGTTGTTTCATTGATGTGGTTTGGAATGCAAACCCAGTAGAATTTTAGCAACCATATCCCATCCGCTTCTATTGATGAACCCGGAGAATTGTCTTTTTGTTTAATTATCCGTATGTAACATTTCTGTACACTGTGCATGTAGCTAGGCTGGCTACACTCTGCATGTATTACCAAAGTTTTTTGATGTATTACATGTATTACAGAAACTTCTCCAAGTATTCTTACTGCAAGTTTTTGGTATAGAAGAAGCATATTGGTGGAGCATATGTTCCCAGAAAAAAAGGAACAAAAGAAAGGAACAATTTCATTAGTCACTATGTAGTATATTATGTGGTTATGTTGTATTTTTATCCATCGAACCTGTTCTGATTCACTAAATTTCCAAATGTTGCTTTCTTATATCATTTTCGTCTTGATTTTGGTACTTTTTATTCCCGGTAGGATATGAGCCTTCAGATCCATTTACAACTCCACTAAGAGACGCTCTACCGCTGGCCAGCAAGCCACATCTGCTGAACCCAACTGTACGAAGAGATCAGCTGTTTGGTTCAGTTAAAAGCTCGGTGGACGACGTGCAGATTGACCTTCCGCAGCGCATTGGATACGGCAACCGGGACAGAGGTAAAAATAAGACTCCACGGCGGGAAAAAGGTTGAAATGTCCCCTCGATAGAATGGCATGATTTGAATATCATCCACCCTTTTAAAGATTTTTATTTACGTATGAGGTCTATAGTGTTTCGCAACACGTGTTTTATGGCGTCAATGTTGCTCGGAAACAGACAAAGGTACAAAAGATAGAGAAATGAGGTACCGATACACAAGGCTAACGATGAGTGTCTGACTAGAATCTCGATATTTTATTGTGATTAAGGTAATTGCGACCCGCAGTTTTTGTCAATCATAATCAGGGGCGGACACTTGATCAAATATTGGGAGGGGGCAAGCCTATTGTTTTAACAAGATGACGTCACATTTCCCATTGTTTTAGAACGAAAGACCATTGTCCTCTAGAGCATTGGGGGCGGTCGTCCCCCCTCGCCCCCTCACTCGTCCCCCCAAGTGTCCACCACTGATCATAAGGAAGTTTAAGGTTCGAATGAATAGTTCTGAGATTTTTCTTCAATTATTATTTTTTAGGCACTATTTTTATTGATGTTGCTAAAGCCACACACGAATTTTGAAGAGGTTACTTAGTTTCACAAATTTCAACGAAGCTTTTTATACTGAATGCAAGAAATGAACATGTCTTGTTTTATAGCTAATTCATTTTCAAGTTAATATGTTTTACTGATGCATCTCTCATTCGCTCCTGCTTTAGTCAATGTCCCACAGACGTCGGAAATTTCGGCCAACTTCATTCTCAGTCGCTGGCGGATGTGTATCGAGCTTTTTGGTCGACTTTTCCTTGATGACGTTGGCGCTGAGCCTCATTCTGTTCTCAACGAGATCGGCCGTTTCGACGTGAAGGAGGCCAAATTCAGACGGGATATGGAAAAATTAAGAAACAACCATCAGAAGGACCTCTGCATCGAAGAGGTGGCGCAAACGTTGTTCCTTTTTAACGTATTCATTATTTGTATTCAGAATATTTGAATTCTTCGTATTCATTTGTCTTTAATTTGTGCCTTTGGCAGATGACTTTGTTTTCGTCGTAAATTCCACTTCAGAAAATCAAAAATGGATAAGTGGAAATTTTTTACTCCTCTCTGTATTTTCTGACTTATTTTGCCTGTGTCTGTAATTAGCTTCCTGGTGTTTTTTGATGGCAAAGTGGTTACTCCTTTTTCGTTTCCCTCCATTTTGATATTTATATGAATACAATTTAATATTTCTATATCGCATCATAGGAACCATCTGGACATATTTTTATCTTTTTCATTTGCAATCCTGTTCCTACATTTAGAGTCTTGGCTGTTTTTCTGACTGTAAATGCTTTGCATTGATAGAAATTCTTTGCAATATGGGACTATACAACATTATTGAATAATTGAATCGTTATTTTTGTTGCATTAGAAGCACTAGCACAGCTATGCCTAAATGCAGAGGCCTTCTTCATGACATTATGACATTATGAAATGGTTTCCTTTTGTCCAGGTTGAACGTGACAATTACTCGATGATTCGACAAACCTTTCGCAAACTGGATGCGTTTTTCAACCGGCGAGGCCCTATTCCTGCCAGCGTTCATAGATTGAGGGTATCCTTTAAAGATGAACCCGGCGAGGGAAGTGGCGTTGTCCGCAGTTTTTACACGGCCATCGGCGAAGCGCTTCTGTCCGAAGAACCATTACCGCCGCTTGAAACGATGTGTGTCTCTGCTGGAGCCTCGAAAGGTATTTATCGTTTGGTTTCAAAGCGAATCTCTGAATTATTCCTCTAGGGTGTTCAATGCAAGATTAGAGTTTTTATGATCCGAAAGCAGAGCAAAATTTTATGTTAGGGCGGACATAAACATTTCCATTTATCATTCTATTCGATGTTTCAGAAACCTTTTATCTTGTAAGTTTCTAAAAGTTTGCTTTTGTTTTTTGGAAGCGTTTTTGAGCATCGATATCTTAATGGAACTTTTTTGAATTATACGAGAAGAATTGTTATTGTTGTTTCCTTATTCATCATTATTCATAGATGTTTGTCTGATGCAGAAAAGTCGTTCTTACGTAGCCAACGGAGGGACATTGTTTTGTTGTTTCTTCTGTTACTGCTACTGACAACCTGTCACAACAAAGTGAAGATAAATATCCCTTAAAAACATGATTTGGGACGTTAAATGTAAGCATTTTATGTGCTTCCTTTTAGACCTTTCCTCCTTGAGCCCAGTGGCAGACACTTGGGGGGGGGGGCGAGGAGGGCGACCGTGAAGATCCTTATTTCAACTTATGTTGCCGTAAAGATCGTAATATTCGACTTCCGTTAGTACTGAAATTTAACCTAGGCATTTTGTGATATACAGATGAAAATCATGCTGGACTCGTGTTGTTAGCAGGACTTACCCAGCGCTTGAAATCTCGAGTTAGAGAGAGGGAGCGCAGAAGAAGCGCGGGAACACCCGGATCAAGTGGAATGATGCTCACTGCACGAATGAGACGCGAAAGGGAGCATGCAAGGCTTGTGATGGAAAGAGAAGGGCGCCAAAAATTAAACCCAGACGCGAAGCCATACGTGTTTGATCCCGATTTGACTGATGCGGTGGACAGCGACGATGCAGAAGATGACGATCCAGTTCAAAATGCCTATTTGGGAGCGCGGCTTTATCCAAAAGTTCTCATGCAACAACCGGTATCTATGCACTGCTTAACATTTTGGCTCAGGATTCAAGCAAGATTTATTTTCCTTTTTTATTTCTTTTGAAGTTCTTGCTCTATAAATTTTCTGTTCTGTATTTGTGTCCTGTTCTAGAAAAACAATTCTCTTTCAAGAGCAGTTTTACCTTTGTTCCACTCAACACCTTACGTACATTGACTTTCATTAAAGTAAATTGTCGATTTTGCATTGTCGTCTTGCACAGTTTTAAGGTTGTATAGTGTCGACTTCCAATCTAGACACAAAAGGCAGCCCTTCGAGGTGAAGGATGGAAGGTTTTGAGGGGGTTCGTGGTTGGGGGTAACGTCATTGTTTAAAGTTTGCGTCGTGCGAACAAAAGCGTAACGTCGTTTGCAAAATCATTTTCAATTTTCATTTTTGCAATCCCGACTTTCTTTACGATTGAGAAATGTTGCACAGAAATAGTTTGCCAAAACCGTAACCCGATTAATTCAGTACTCAGATTTTGCTTCAACGCTTGGTACAAAAATGGACGAAGGGCGTAGACTCAAAAAGGCTTTTTTCGATAACAAGTATACGATAGACCAAAGGAACCTTCTTAAGAAACAGTTTGTTCTTGTTTCCAGGCCCTTGCGAGTCAGATCACTGGCATGCTGCTTGAACTATCAGCGACACAAATTGTTTTATTGCTAACCCAAGAAGAAATCCTCAGGTCCAGAATTGCAGAGGCTGTCGAATTATTAAATGCTAAGTAAGTTTTCTTACTCATATTTATTTTCCCTTGTTTATTTCAAATTATCATTCAATTTCAAAAATTGAACGTTATGTAGGGTGACCAGTTTTTTGTTACTTTTCTTCAAGATTCTTGATGTTTAGAGAATGCTCATTAATGCCGCAAAATCATTTGATCATAGAATATTTAGTTACTTTTACTGAGCATATTATTGGGCCTATTCACCATCAATAAATATTCTCGTCTGTTTTCATCTGGCTTTTTCAGAAGGTAGCCTTATGCTGCAGCACGTGGCACCGATCTTTATCCGGTCCTGCACAAATGTGAATCTTTCCACGAATATTGTATCATAATCGCTTTCACGGCATTACCTTTTCAGGGAGAAGAGCGACCAACCTGCGGCCAATAATACCAAAGATTCGCTGAGCGATAAAAGCAAAATGGAAGTTGAGGCTGATGATGATGATGACGAAATCGTATTTTTAGATAACTCGCCGCTGTTCTTCCAACCAGGAAAAACAGGTTTCTATTCGCCTCGTTGTGGAAGGATTTCCGAAGAGAGGCTGAGCTGCTACAGGAATGTAGGAAGGTAAAACATATCAGCATTTTGTACTCTGAGAAACTAAAATGGTGGTAAGGAGCGGATAATCAGGTGTCAAAGAGCTTTTCCTGCCTGCAATGATAAAATGATAATATAATTTCTTCGTCTAAGGCTTGCATACCATTGGTCTTTCACTATTAAATTTAATTTATACCCGAATTATGATGATAAATATGATGTTATAGGCCTTGAATATAGTTATTAGGCCATTATCATATACAGTTGATAGTAACTACAATGAACACGCCAAACAAATTTATCCGGAATTTACCCGCAAAGGTTTTACATAATCTAGAGCTACAATTGAAATTCCTTAACTTAATTTGCCCTTTAGAATGTTCCAGATTATGGTTATCTTTGATATCCAACCGTAAACTTGCCAAAGATTTCTTCCTTAATTACTCACAGTTTCCAAACCTTAGTTCGCCACTCTATTTCTAAAACATCTGCTTCCAGCGCAATAGTGTTGCTTTAAGCTGTTTCACAGACAATGCGAAGCTAGAAATTGTGTCTACTTTGTTCCTTGTTTTCTCAAAACCTCGTGTCTGGGACGGACGATCTTTTGTATTTTGACGGTCACGGATCCGGGATTTATTTTCCGGTAGAGCTTTGAGCTGGGTATTATATGATATACACTATATATTCAACTATAAATAAATTATGTATTTTTATTTTGTTATTATGTTTTGATAGTCTTGGAAATGTCGATAAAAATGTTTATTCGTTATATTTAATGCAGTTTTTGGTAGAAACACACCATACAAATAGAGTTATGGGTAAAGAATGTCAATCTTCACGATCCTTTAAAAAAGGGCCTGTTTAACAGGTCTTGTTTTTACCCTGGCTTTAGATCCTCTACATGTCTAGGAGGTGTTGGGGGGGGGGGATATATCTGCAGCACAATCTTTGTCCGAGTATGTCCAAAGCAGCAATGTCCGAGTATGTTCGTTGTCAACAGAAGATGGAAGAGAGACAAAACTCCATCTTGGGTATAGATCTTATTCGTTAGTTACGGCTTTGATAAGAAAATTCAAGAAGACAGGGATATTTTTCAATGGAAATATTTACTGTTAAATGATATTTCAGGTGTTTCTTGTTTCGACGGCACATTCTTATAAATTCCTTGAAAGCAATTTTCCAACCCGATATTTCACTCATATTGAAAACAATATTGTCGTGGTCAAATGTCCACGTATCCACCGTCCTTCAGATAAATGATTTTATTACTTCTCTTTTGCCAGGTTGATCGGACTGTGTTTACTGCAAAACGAACTCTGTCCAATGTCATTTAATAGACACGTGATCAAATTCATTCTCGGTAAAGAGGTGAGAAAGATTTTCAAGTTTCTACCATGTATTTGTGATGAGCAATAGCGAGATAAAGTAATAGAACTGTGATAGTCTAACTAAAACCCCTCGATTTACCTCCCTTTTCGTATCCCGATTTTCAGTGGAACGAGCTCTTTTGTCCGAAACAGGACCAACTTTGACAAGAACAAGCCTTGACGAGACGAATGAGTCGTTGCTCTTACATTTCTATATGTTTTGGTACTGTTTCTAGCCACTTTTACTTCGCCAACTTTCGTGTTTCGTATGCCCTCTGTGGGGGCAAAGTGACGTTTCGATCTATGGGAAGTAAATTGAGGGGTTTTAGTTAGACTATCTTAGTTCTATTATTTTATCTCGGCGATAGATGAATTGAATTTTGAATCTTTACGCGGGAAGTGTTTCCTTGCCTGGGTAGAGCAGCCGCCCCCGCCCCCCCCCCCTCATTCTTCAGTTCTGTCCGTATGCTATATATTTAATTAGATGATCAAATCGTCATGGCAGCGTCTTTAAAATGTTGGTTCCAAGAATGTTTTGTTTTTGGTGTCTATGCAACTTGAAATTCTTGTTAGGATCATTGTTTGATAAGCTCCTTAAAGCTTCTTCATTTTTTTAAATCGGATAAATTATTGGCGTTGCGGCTTCCTAAAAAGGGCCCACAAGAATTAAGTGAATTAAAAAGAACTAGATTTCAAACTTTTCAACATTAAATTTTTATTGATGAAAAGGGTGAGTTTGATAGAAGGATTGACCGTTATAATCTAACCAGCTTTTATTAACAAGTTGCTTTCTCTTTAACAGTGACAAGAATTTTATTATACCTTCGAATTAAACAATTCTAATCTTTTTTCGAGTTTAACGAAAAATATGGCAATAAACGTCAAGATATATTATATGGGCTACGAGCACTTCAAGACATGCATCACCTTAAGGTTTCTATAAGGTTCACTTGCGATTTTAGCAGCTTGGAAAGAATACCAAGTGAAAATAACTTTATATCAGACCTGTCAAGAATTCTTGTGGATAAGATAACTATTTCTGAACCGGTAGAAAAGATACCAGGGATAAATTCTTAGAGATTTTATAGTGATAATATCACAGCTCAGTACCAAGAGGGAAGTCATTTAAAGGGGAATGAATTTATTCAGCGCTACCAGATCCAAACCTTGTGTTGTTTGTTTGTTTGTTAGGGAGGGGTTCATTTTAGGATGTTGACTGAAAAGGTTGTATTTCTGGAAAGGTTGTATAACTAGGCTATTTTCAAATGCTGTTGTTCCCAGGGTAAAAGTATGATCCTGACATCTAGAAAGTCTGAAGTTTGTAATTATTTTTCGTAGATAAGTTGGCACGATCTTGCTTTTTTCGACCCGACCTTGTACGAAGTGCTTCGTCAACTGGTTCAGGATTCGACAAAACCCGACGCCAAAGAGTTGTTCTCTGGGCTCGACCTCACTTTCTGCATACAGCTGTCTCAAGAAGAAGGGGGAGGATCGAAAGAATTGATCAAGAACGGAAAGCAAGTACCTGTCACTCCTGGTAATATACGAAACTACGTGAAAAGATATGCAGAATACAGAATGGTAATATCAGTCGAAAAACCTTTGGAGGTAAGCGACTTTTTTGCTTCGGGAATACCATTTGTGTTTACAAATTAGAAGCCGTTTTCCAATGTGCTATATTGAAATAACTTCCGTGGTTTTTCTCGGTAAGTTTCCCTATATGTAAATAAGCCTGATTAAATGATGATTACACGACTCAAATTGTGGTTGTGTCTTGGTGTCACGCGCTGAAATTTCTTTGATTTTGCATTTGGGAATAATTCTAAACTGGATTTTTTTCTAACTGTTGTAACCCTAGCTTAAATGATAATTCCAAGTTTAGCCTCGAAGCTAATTCTTACGTCCATGAAATATATTTTAATTGCCCGTTGATATAATAAAATGCTTGCCATTAAATCTGTTTTAGAGCCTTCGAGAGGGTGTCAAGGATGTCTTACCCACCCATACTCTAGAAGGGTTGACTGCGGAGGACTTTCGTCTATTGCTGAACGGCTCTGGGAACATTAACGTGCAGCAACTCATGAGTTATACGACATTCAACGACGAAACCGGAGGTTAGGCCCTTAGATATGCGATCATACTATGCTGCCGTGCTTTAAAGACCGTGAGGCCAAGATTACTGGATGATAATTTCAATAAAATTGATTATTATAATTAATATGGTTGCGTATATGGCCATTCCGGATTCCTAAGTTCTTGCAGTTCATTGCTTTGGGTGTCGGGTTCTGACTCAGATAATTAACATCGACCCATATCGTTTTTCGCTGTTAACAAAAAAGATAGAAAACCTGATAAAGCAAGAGAAAATGTGTTGGCGGTAATGAACTGTCTTTTTCCAGGAGTCTGTGCTCTTTATTGGAATCTTAAATGTCGTAGAATCTGTTTTATGAAAATCGTTTTAATCTATTGCTTGTGAAGACCTTAAGTATCTACTTTGGTTTCAAAGAGGGAAGATAAGATCCAGATTAAAATGGAGGTTTCTCAGTAAATAAGCTTGTCGTGTGTTTTCTTTTAATTCTACTCGCTATAGGCTATACATTTCTCTTCTTCTATTACACAAAATATGAATAAAGGTCAAACAATGTACAGTCTACGTTTGCTCGAGTTTTCATATATTTATTATATTTATTATATTTATCATGTTTCTCAGTTTGTTTGTTTGGCTTTCTGTGTGAAGTTTGGTCGTCTTTATTCGTAAAATCAGACCAGTCAGTCATAAAATAGCCATCTTCGAGAAACTTTCGTTTGAAGCTACTTATCTTAATCAATAGCAAAAGTGTCCTTAATTCTCTAGTGATTTTATTATTTCTGCTTGATATCAGTTTTACAATAAAATTTAACTGTTGATTGCAGTTGGTTAGTTGTTCGATTTCTAATCGAATATTGTTCGATCATTGTCTGATAGAACATGGCTAGTGTTTTTAAGATATATAATTATTTTGTCATCAAACTCTAGGTGATGGGCAGGACAAGCTTTCAAAGTTCAAAAGATGGTTTTGGTCTATCGTGGAAAGTATGACTCCCAAACAGAAACAAGAAATGGTATGTGAATTCGGATGGGTTTGGTCATTGAGAGAAGTCAGACCATCGTTGTTTTATCATTTATACGTTTAAGTTCAGAGTCCAGAAAACTATCGATCTTTCCTCTGGACAACACTCGTAAGCTTTGAAAATCTGGATTCTTGTTTATCGTTTTAGGCTTTTTGGATGGGATGATATTTGCTGTGGTTAAATTTCAACAAAGACTTCAAAACAATATAGTAAAATCAACTTTTGAAAACATAAAGCCACGAGAAATCACGAAATAATAAAAAATTCTCTCCTTTCTGTCGGTATATTGATTAAGGGTCCTCTGAGTCCGATGACCCAGACATTTTACAAGCGCAGCAACCACAACAACGGCCCATTTAGTAAGAATGCATCACATCTTCCAACCATCCATCTGCTTTCAGCAGATTTTCCTCTAAACACCCACCCCTGCTATTATCACAATATTTTTCTTATTTCAAGTATCCTTTATTCATCCTCAAATTCTATTTTTCTTTGTCTCATTTTTAGCTGTACTTTTGGACATCAAGCCCAGCGATGCCAGCAAGTTCAGAAGGGTTCCAGCCGATGCCATCAGTGACTGTTAAGCCGGCCAATGATCATCAACTTCCCACCGCAAACACTTGTATTTCGCGAATGTATATTCCTCTTTACTCGTCGAAAAACATCCTTAAAAGCAAACTTTTATTGGCTATCAAAACTAGGACATTTGGTTTTGTTTAAGTAATTAGCAATCAAGATCATTCAGAAGTTTATTGTAATATTTTTTCACTCTTTAAGAGGAAACAATTCGCCATAGATATATCACAGTAAAATGCTCGTTGTGTTTGTATAAGGTTTTGTGTTGATTTATAATTATGCTCCTATTAAAAATGGCCTATGCAGCCCTAGGCAGCCCAACCTTACTGATACTTTGCCAGAAACTACACTTAACCTCTTTATTTAGTTTTCCCCTTAGGCCGAAGCACCCTATTCAAATTGCTCTTTGCCATTCGTAGACATCAATTTTGCAAGGAACGAGCCTTAGTAATTTGTTTGCTAGACTCCTTAAAGTTTCGTCAATTCTCAATTTTGCCAAAGTTTGACACTCACTATTTATCACAGGATAAATGCCGTAAAATTTAGTTTAATGTCTTTAAAGATTATTATGTTCATTATATTTTTTATTTTTAAACATCCACAAGGTTGCAATATTTTTCCTTGGGTATAATTAAGATTTGTTGTCCGAATCATGTTTTTGTGTCTTCTGGCGCAACGAACAGACTGAATTTTGGTGCCATGCAAAAAGGTCTGTCGCCTCAGAATTATGCAATGTATGAAGTAGGGACGTTATTATCTGTCAAAGCATCGAATATTAATTTGACCGACTTTAATGTAGAATTTAGGCCTTTATCTCCTGGCTGTAACATTTGTAGATACAACATAATCAGTAAAAAAACTTTCGATGCAGCGGATAGCAGCAGTTCATTGCAAAAAGCGATACACCGTCCCTCGTTGTATTTTGTAATTGTTCAAACCACCAAATAACATTCGTCAGCACCCACGAACCCCCTTTCAGTCACACCAGTGAAATTACGATGTCTTTGAGCTGCCTTCTTTCTACTGATTAGGCAATCTCTATTTGTAAGTGGCTGGGTACTTTCAAACGGTGTACTTTGTGTTGACACGCTAGGAAAAAGGGGTTTATGCACCGTTTTCAAGTTGCTTGAAATATTGGTTTGGGCTCACTAATCTTTATTTGTTATACTATAGACGTAGAGGTACAGGAATGTGGTTTGACTTCGTCTTAAAAGAGGAATGCCATTTATTCTAACAAATACTAAATTCAACACGGCGATTTAGACATATGTTGAAAATGTGATTGAGGAAATTTAAATACTTGTTTGGCAGGGAAAGTTCATATCGAGTGCGAGGTTGTGTTGAAGTAATTTGCCTTGTTAGAGAACGGGGTGTAAAGGAAGTCGTTCGAAAAAGAGGTCACGCACTATGGGGTCAGAGGTTTAGAGGGTTTAACAAAACATGACAAATTCTGACAGTATTTCAAAGGGACATTTGTCGATTTCTTGATGAAGCGCTCTTAATGGTTTGATGGACGGTTTGATAGAAAATAGAGATGTAATTCGAAAGGAAATATCTTAGTTTTAAGAAGCATCGAGGTGGCAAATCATAAACTTGAAAGGCAGGTTTTAAACCTTTTTTTCTTTTTGCCGAAAATCTTGTGAAAAAACAGAAGATTTTTACGTTGATTCCATAAAAAAGTTTAACTACGAAAAAGTTCATAATTATAACAGCAATTGTTTAACAAAAATGAAATAATTTTTTTAGCAACAACAACGTTAATAAATTTACAAATACTCTCTCTTTATCAGAATAATGTTTATAGAAATATTTAGGCACCCACAAGGACCGCAGAAGCGGGGGCCACGGGGCTTTAGCCCCCAATAATTTCCAAAATGTACTCAAAATCATGCCAAAAATCGCCCTGCTCTTGGTTTTTAGCATTTTTAAACTTTGCTTCGTAGTACTTGCGGCACATAGCTATAAACAGTTATGAATATTGTAAGAATATTGCCACTGTGATATTGCTCAACCTCAGGTTTCATTTTAAAAATATTTGTTCCGGGTTTTGCCATGTTCCCTCAATATCAGATCAGACTGAAAAAGATTAAAATTGTATTGAACGGTAAAATCAACAAGGAAAAGTCATCTTCATTCTCCTTGAACAGGGAAGTTAAATTTTGAATTGGTCAAAAATTTCAACTATTTTTGAAAAACTGACCCAACTAGCCCAAATCACCAAAAGGAATTTCCTAAATTTTATTATAAAGATTGTTAGAAAATTTATATTGATGTAGGCCGAAGGGAGAATGATGAGTGGCAGTCGGATATCGGACAGTGTGTGTGTAGTGCCCCCAAACCCATTGCTCCAATTGTAATCTCAGCTCAGGGGGCGTATCTTGCGCAATGGCATGTAACGTGTAACTGCGCAAGTCTGAACCAACACCATGTTTGTTTGGAAACAGAAGGAAAGTATGGTTGCAAATTGCTTATCAATGTAACGTTTCAAGAAATCGTGGCATGTAAGGAATTATTCCCAGTATTAATGAAATGGCTTCGGGATCGGGAGAATTTCACGGCGAAGAAGAACCGCCGCGTGCAAAGCACAAGGTTGAAAATATCGGAACATCATCATCTGTCGGAAACGAATCGTTGGAACAGCAACCAGACGATCCAATAACACACGTACCTAAAGCCGCAAATGGAGAGCCATGCATTGCGTGAGTACTTTTTGAAGTTTCGTTACAAAAATAAAGAGCGAGGCAAAGTATCTAGAGAAGATATCTGAGCTTAACAATTTACCCGCTACTGTTATTCTGCTTTGGCTAGGGCCTAATATGTCCTCGAGGGCCAGTGGTTTAGCCAACCGTATCAAACACTTAAGACCTGGTGATCCGACACGGCTCTAAATATCATGTAAACATGTGAATATCATATAATTAATAGATGAATGAAATTTAAATCAGTTTTTCCAAATGCGTTCCCGTGTAATGTTATTAACATGCGATTTGTATCAACTTCTCCCGTGATACGGCTTCTAAGAAGTGAAAATGATGACGAAGTAAAATGGTCGATTACAGGGTATCGACCAAAAAAACTTCGTGAACCATCACGGTTATGATATTAGAAAATCAATGAATTCATTTAGAGGAAACATGTTCAACTTATAGTGATTTTGAAAATGGATAGCCCCTTGAAACAATCACGGAAAAAATAAATTGCTGCCTAAGCAAAACTGCCAGTGTGGTCAATGAAAATTGATGCATTTATAAGTTTGTGACTTACATTTAATAAATAAATTGATGATGATATTTCTAGTTATTTTTTATTAAATAGCTTCCAGGGAAATTTTAAAGCTGTGAATGACAAATCTCTTTACATTTCTATCGACTCACTTAGTGTTCACGGGAAGCGTGTGTTGCGAGCAAGTACTTTTCTTTAATCACCTGTAATAAGAATAGTTAACATTCCAAATGTAATTTTAATCATTGGTTTTATTCACTAGGGCGATGGAGAATTATCTACTGGCACATTTCTTTTTCATATTTGCTGCTAGTTTTATCCTTGGTGTCATATTTCTACACTCATCATTAACATTTTGGTCTTGGCAGGTAAGATATTTTCATTATAGGTAGGCCTATATAAATCTGATCATGGCTGCAAAATGTGTAAAAAGCTTTAGAATTAAAGAAGCTTTGATTTTTTTAACCCGACATAGCACCTATGAGCTGCACCTGGATATAACTTCTCTCTTATCTTATGTTTTATATTTACAAAATACAGTCAACATTTACTATCTTGAACTCTCAAAAGATACTGATAATTAATCGAGATAGTGAAAGTTGAAAATGACAGTATCTTAAGAATCTGGAAGTTCAGTGGTGGTTTGTGTACTATGGCTAGTGGGGCTCAGCCCCACCAAAGATTTCCAAAAATAAGTTTTAGATTTATAAATGTAAATAAAATGAACATCCATTATTAATTTAGCACTGTTCACTAATTTCGTTGCTTTGAGTTTCACTGTTTGTCCATACTCTAGTTTGTTTAAGTCCTACTGCCCGGCAGTTCTTTTGAAAACTAGACAAACGCGTATCAGCAACCATCTTTTGGGGCTAGCTCCCAAACTATCACATAATGCACTCAATCAAGTGCTTCTCGTGACTTGACTATTCATTTGATAACTACCTTCTGATTGGCCAATTCTGCTCGAATCTGCATTCCTAGCCCCAAGTAAATCAATTCAACTGTGTCTGAATATTGTTGTGATAAGCAATGTTGATGTGGCAACGCAGCAAAGTGATGTGTATTTGCTGACTCGCATTTTCAACTTTAAAACTTTGAAATAAAGCATACAAGTTAGGTCTTTATCAGATTTAATTTTGTCGATCCTGAAATAAGTTCAAAATGGGAAGGCTAGGCCATATGCCTTCTAATGACATATTTCCAATGCTGGCTTTCAACTTGAACAATTTTAGCTTAATGGCATATGAAAATTAATCAATTAATAGTTTGAACTTTTTTTTCTTTAAAATTTTTTGTAATTGCCATGATATGCTATGCAAAGGATATCGTCTACGGGTTAGCCATATTACAGTTGCCTAGATGTTTTAATGGACACCACCCACAAACTCCCCTTTTTGTGAAGAGAGGAACAATCCAGCAGACTTCAATAAATAAAGCTGAGCATACCAGCATTTCATAAAGTTAATTATTTTGCTTATTATAAATGATACATAATCAATAGTGGCACTTGTTTTTTTCAATCAAAACTTTCAAAATGATGACAGCCTTGTTGATTAGAGGTAGTAAAGAATGGAAAGGGAAGGGCTATTTATCATTCTTGGCGTTCTGTGTCTATGGCTTTAGATTTCGAATATTACGTCATCAGCCCCACCAACAATTTACCCCAGGAGCCGCCACTGTGGAAATTTTTAGGTTCTAAATTTGTCAGCTAATACTAAATGAGACTGAGTGATCCCAAATTTCATCAAGAGCTAGATTATATAAAAAATTTGATTCCAAGGTGATCTGTTTTTGTTAAGATTCAGATATTGCTGACACATCACATCTTGGTTGTTCTACAATCACCTGCCATCTGCCATACTCTGCAAACTAGCTTACAATGATAGATGTGTCATGATTCCTTGTGCAGTTAAGCAGGAAATATTAAAAAAGCTTCAGATAACAAGCATTTTCTCCAAAGAAAATAGAACATGGAATGAATTCATATTCAGTGCAGTACTGGAGGCAGTGGCGAATCTAACCAAGAATAAGTGGTCCTGCCAAAAGGGGGTCTAGGACCACTTTGTGTGAAGCCACACCCTAAAGACCCTCGGAAAAGGGGGGAAGCCCTTCTGGATATGTTGAAATCAATATTGCAGTGAAACATTTTTCACTGCCACATTTTGGAAAAAATGGGACCAGGGTTGGGATCCTTTCAAGTTCCTCCTGCCTTACATTGAAGAAGTCAAAACAGCATCACAAAAATTCTTTCTGAATTAATTAATATTTGTAAATGTTTTCATTGATTGAAATTTTTGAAATCATTAACTAAAAAGAAATTGCTTGTACAAATAGGCATATTCAGTTGTGATACAAAATGGGAAACATAATTGATGCAAATTATTTAAAAATGTAAAAACATTTTGCCACAACATGGATAGGTCTGATGAATGGTAGATAGGATCTTGAATTAATTTGTTTTGAATATCAGAGATTGACATCTTGCCAGTACAAAACAATCTGAGTCACAGAGTACAAAAGCTCCCAGTAATTATTACCATTGTTTAAGCAGGTGTCTTTTTCATTGGGAACTCTGAATTGTATGGTAGTTCCTGTTAAGGCAGGATGACAAACTGCTGAAATTGATTTCAAGCAAGCCCATTTTTCTGTCATGCATACTCCATCTCCCCTCCATCTTGTCTATTCTGGTACAAAAACGAAGATTCTCTCTCGACGGAGGCTGCAAACTTTTTCTATTGTTTATTATTAGGCCTTTGCATATGACTTCCTTTGCTCTCTGCAGTCTGAGAGATAACTATATGTCAGGTTTCTTGCTATGTCTGTGATATTCCTGACTTGAACAGTAAATAGGACCAACAAAACAACTCCAAACAATTTGATTTCCATAAATACCATTCATCTTGATATAAATCTTGTATAAATACCACTCGTCTTGATATTTATATAATTCTTGTATAAATCAAGTGATGACAGTATAGGCCTTCCCTGCCCAAAGCAGCAAAAACTTCTTCACCAGCAGAACCATGATGTCTTTGTTATAGTTAGTTTTATCCATGATATCAAAATAGTTATTTTTCCTAAGGAAAACCTGACTGTGGCCTGAGTGAAAAATAATATTCTTTGTGACCACGCACGGTGCAGAAAAATCAACAAATTATACCGAAACATAGGGCTCCAAAAATCTAGGTCCTGCCTTCATGAATGAGCAGGACCTGAGGTCCTGCCATTTCTGAAGGGCAGGAGTGCCATTGTTTTCTTCTATTGTGAGGCAGGACCAAAAAAAGGGCTACGAGGCGTTTGCCCATTGTGGGGCAGGACCAAAAATAGGGTTTAGTCCTGCCTACGACTATTGGGCAGGGCTGGCCACAGGGCTAAATTTTTGATGATATCATCTACGAACAGGATACTCAAAATTCCATTCCAGTCACCCTGTGTCTTAAAATTGAAAAAGGGCACAGCAACGAAGTAAAAGTGTAGAATAAGACAAGAACTGCCTTTGAATCAGGCATATTATGATTTCATAAAGTTAATCAATTTTTCTTATTTTAAAAACTGTTATCTTTGGAAATTTGTGGTCCTGCCCAGCAGGATAAGCAGGAGCTTTGGCTTTGCCACTGACTGGAGGCAAAAAAAGTTCAAGATAGCAAATGGTCTTCTACAAATGGAATAATATTTGAGATATTATGCAGTTGAGATATACTAGTTGTCAATTGTATCACTTTTAGGTTGCCTAATATATATATTTACAGAACTTAAATAACACTGATGGCTTGATGTAGCTTTCATAATTTTGCTGAGTCAAGCAAACTTCTGGTACCTTTGTGGCATAGCTGGGATTGGAAAATTGAAATGGAACTGCTTGTTTTGGCAACCATCAATTTGCAAAGTCCCATCAAATTAGCTATGAATTTGTTGCTAACAACACAACAGCACATTAGTAACCAAGGGATAATATCACTGGATCTAATTTTAGTACCAATGACAAAGGCAGGAAAATTTTTTGTTTCACTGCTGGTAGCTGGTAGCTGTTTCACAATTATATTTAAACTGTATTGTTCTTCTTTTATGCTAGACTTTTATGGTTAGAAGCATGTATGTGCAAATTCCATCAAACATAATATTTAAACTTCTTATGTTGTCATCAAAATGTCACCCAAACATTTTATATACATAAATATTATATACTTTTATTATGTCAAGCACACATTTGTCAGAAAAAATATATTTAAGTAGCTAAAAGAAAAACCAGTCATTTGACCTTTGTAAAACCATATTATTCTTTCAAATTTGTTGGTTATTTTTCTAGGTTTATGATGAAAGTGGACCATATACTACACATCTTACAGAGATACCAGATGCACTTCCTCATGAACAAAATTACCAACCTGGATACAGAAACGGTGTAAACTCCTTCAATGAAGTCCTTTCTGCTATCATCAGCCCCAATATGACAATTTCATTAGCAAGGTAGCAATCCTTATAGCATTAATAACTCAATGCTGCTGTATGCGCACAAAAGCATAACTCCTAACTTGTTTCATTGGCAGTAGTGTTCATGTTCTAAGCAAGTACAGTTGGGCTAAGCACCTAGCATTCAGTGCTGAATGTGTTATAATTTAAAAGTGTGTTAGAAACACTTATTCCTTCAGCCTAGGATTGGGTTTGCAGCATTGTAGAAAGTATGATGTAGACACTATTACTTGGCATTGAAGAACTTGGTGATATTTAACACAACATTTCATTGGCAAGGTTTCAGGCAACTGAAGTAGTAATTCTCACATGGGGAGTCATATATTTATTTGGTTGGTTTTATTTGCTGTTTCCAAGCATGGTTATTCAGGGTAAAATTTTTATATCCATAGTGCTAGTGTGCAGGGTAAAATAGTTATGGTTGAATAATCAAAGCGTGAATCCTAATTTACTTGATCCTTGTATGACCAGTAAAGCTCAAAGAGCTGCTATTTTGATTCCACGATCTTAATGGGTTTTGAATATTGAAATCAAGGAAAACAGGCCCTTTTGCTTTTCCAGTAGTTTAAGCTGCCCCCATTATTATGCATAAATTCTCCTTGTGAATATATCTTCCAATGCATTTTGCCAGGTTGCTTTTCCTGCTCAATAAAGTCATATAATACAGTCAGTATTCACTTTATAGTGCACCAAGTTTTTCCTTTGTAATTAAACATTTTAGTTTCGCTTTGTCTGTTAAACAACCATAGTTTCTCTGGGATCTGTTTTCTTTAATGAACCGCAATTTTTGAATTAGGTTTCAGAGCTTTGCGTTTGCTTGTTGTAACCATATGGGTTAATTAAGTAGTTTTGAGATATATTATGTAAATAAATAATGAATAACTGATTTTGTATGTCAGATAAAACACTTTGAATTTACAGTCAACAAGCTGGAATGCAGAATACAGACCTTCGTTTGAAAACATTTATTATTATTTTGGAGAATTGATGCATTTTTTGTATCTTAAAAACGTAATCACTGCTCTCCTGTTTAGGTAATTTATGACAATAAGTCATATTATTGCATTTCATCACAAGGTTCTATTTTCACGTAAAAGTTTTCTTAAAAAATCATCAAATGCCTCTAAAGATGTTGGTGTCTATGAAAAATTGGTTCTGATCCTGTTTTGCTTTTCTCGTTTAGTGATTAATTTTTTTGTTGAGATGGTAATCAGTTTTACTGAAAGGGTCGCAATGTCCTGTCTGGCATTGTAAGAAAATGTGTATTAACCCATCAAAGAAAAGGGCTTTCAAATAAGGCAGTGCTGTATTTGTATTCCACTTTTACTTTACATTAGAATCTTGATCGATTTAAACTTCTCTTTTGTTTCTTATGCTTCATTCATATTCAGCGTAGTACCTAGTTTGCTTCACAGATGTAGTTAAGCGTTTACTTTTCATAGATCTGCTATAATTTTATGCTCTGGAAAGATATTTAACATTTTATGCAAAAGTGCAGTTCATTCTTATCAACCACCCATTTAGCCCTGTTGTTTTTATTGCCTTCATCTGATGGACCCAGCAAACAGCATCACTAGGTTGTTATAGATACTAACAAATTGTCGAAAAAACATCAAACAAAAAAACTAGCAATTTCCATCAAATACCTTGTGTCAAATCCTCAGCAATTACAGGGTAGAATTAAGAAGAAACCGACGAACTGCAATCAAAATTGCTTTTTATTAGGCAAAAACATGAAGACATTACCAAAATATTTTTGCCGGTTATACATCCTTCTTGAAGCGTGAAAAAAGAAAATTCTAAAAGGCAGGGACCGAAGCTACAAAGAAGCCCTTAGGATAATGTATGATGTTAAAATACAATAATGATCTCACTAGTTAAGACTAGAATTAAAGAACACCAGAAATTGTTTAAGAATGCCAATTTCTACAGAATGAGCAGACATATTTATTTGGCAGAAACCGCATCTTAGTTTATATTTTTGAAATTTTATTTCTGAGGAAAATGTATTCTGAATTTCGGCTCCAACATTGGTAGTTCTGGCAATTTGAATCTTGGTCCTTTGGTATTCTTTCATAAAAATTGGGTGAAGGCTGTTTAAAAGATTTCGAGAGCTCAGAGCCTTAAATATCTAGCATTGACGGTGCAGTTTTTAATGCAGAGGCGGAAATTGCGGGGATGTGGGGGGCAACCGCCCCCCCCCAGGTTTTGCCAAATTGTCGGTTTTGTCAGCACAATTATGTCATTTGTCGGCAAATTTGCTTGCTTTTGTGGGCATTGCCCCCAACCCCGCCCCCCCACTTGAAAAATGATTTTCCGCCACTGTTTTCGTTTGAGCTAATTCGCTTGAGATTGTTATTATATTCGTTTTGGTCTCTTGTGCCACGCTTCCTCGCGTTTTTCTTGTATCTGCTCTACTAGTTTTTGGGCAAGGGCAATGCGGGAGAGTCTTTTGGCCTCCTGAGGATTCGATTTGTATAACTAGGGTAAGATGTGTGTTTCGTGGCGTTTTCATTCCCTTTGTTATTCTAGGGGTATTTAAGGGTTTTGGCATAGCGTGGGTCTCACCTTGCTTGTTGAAGCCTCAATACAAGTATGCTGTTTATTTTGAACGTGACGTCTCAATGAGAACTACCTATCAGATGAGTCAAATTGTGACCTGCCAGGTATGCATTCCTCTACTGATTAACCGGGTATGTTTTCGAGCTATTTTAGATAATGCTTTGGTGCTCGTTCATAGAAAATTTTTGTCACCTCGTGCTCCGGCTTTCTCAGTGGACTTAGTTCCACAATCATTTAGCCTTAACAATTTCCTGCTGTTCAGTAACCTACTGTTTTTTATTTTGCCTACACGGATAGAAAAGGTTTAATTGTTTGCATTTAATGACTCGGACCGTGTCTTTTGCCCTCTTGTAGCCGTTATTTTTTCAACTGTCCCTTGCTATAAATGTAAACAACAGCCAAAGTTCGGTTTATTAGTGGCTTTTTTGCTTGGAAATTCCAATTTTTGCAATCTAAACAAAGATTTAAACTTGAAGCGAATTCATGGCTTATAGATTTTAGGATTTATTTTGTCGGCAATAATTTTCCGCTCTGCGCTTGCGTATCTATTCGTTGCCTTTGTCCCGATAGATAAAGTCGTAAGCACAGGGGTTGGTCATAAATCATTTATGTCATGCGGGACACCAGGAGATTTCCCGGTGGGCCTCTTTCAAGTGAGTTTGTAAAACCCAGGAGGATATTTAATACGAACAATATTCTTGGTTAGAAAACGGCTCACTTATATGTAGACTCAGGTTCACAGTTGAGAATTAGAGGAGGTCAACATATACAAACAGACCCCTGCAGGGACCGCGCAAGCCTTTCCACTAGCCTGGATTAAAACATACCCGGGTTAAAAGTTATCCGTTTTTAAAGTGAGTCAATGGAAACGGCACTTTCTTCGACCCGTTTTTAATCCGTTTTTGATGGTTCCCACTAAGCCGAGTTAAATGTATCCAGGGTGAAAAGTTGTAAAAGAAATCAGTATTTGCATCAAAATCCTTCAATTTCTATCGTTGTAGGCCAATGGAAGCAACATCGACATCCAGGATTTTGTTTTTTGATTTTTGGCGCTGTCTCAATTTTTAAACGTTGCTGTTGTTGCAAGTGGATCAAAAGTTATCCGGGTTCGGCGTTCCCATTAACTCGCAGGTGAGTCAAAAGATACCCGGGTAAAAACTGACCCACTTTGAGACCCGTTTTCAAACTTATCCGTTTTTCAAGTGGGTTAGTGGGAACGCGACGCAGAAACGAATAACTTTTAACCCGGATATGTTTTAACCCAGGCTAGTGGAAAGGCTGAAATGGGTGTGACCGAAAAGTTTTTGAGGCCACACCCTCTTAAACGCCGGAAAACGCCCCTTTTAGAAAATATTTGCTTATTTCTATTGAATTTTTTTAAACAGTCTGGTTCAGAGAAGATATCAATAACTATAAAAATAGATAGAATTAGCTCGAGGGTAATAAAAAAGCAAGCTAACCAAGTTAGAAAATACAGTACATCATATCATTAAACAAGGTGAAACACCTAGAAAAAGAACAAAAATGGTTCCCAGTCAATGATAACTGCTACTACATAGGGGTAAACTATCCCAAGTTCCGTTAGAGTAAACCTTGAAAAAATGTTTCTAGCCTATTATTGCAAAAAAGTGGGTGGGCTATAGCCCCTGCTAGCCCAATGACTGCGCGGTGCCTGGACCCCTGTGAAAGAGATGCGTTGAATATGAACTGGGCCCCTGCGTTAGCTCTAAGTTTAAACCAGGGAAATGGCGACTCCAGCTCGCTATCGGAAAAGAAGCTAGATTTGTTTTCCAAGCAAGGTATTCCAATGATTAGATGCTTTTTAAAGGGTTTCTGAATTAGGCCAATATGAAAAACCCTTATGTTATTTTTAAGGAATCTTTATTTTGCTTCCTATTTACTGGAGTGATACAAGGTTTCTTGCCTCCAGTGTGGCACATCAGCCCGGAGATTTGTTTCTAGTCCAATTTTATGACCGAAAATTACCCTGTTATTCTAGATATGTTATTCATTTTTTTAAAAATTCAACCTATTTGGTATAGCCCTTTCTTCTAAGATAATAAAAGAAACCTAAATAGGATATTTATTATTTTCAAGTATTGGATCTACGAGTTAACGAGCTTGTTAATGTTGAGCATGAAATGGAAATTAAGTTTGCTCCTGTTGAGGAAATATAAGGGAAATTTGCGCTTACTTGTGTTGAGCAAGTATAAGTAAATGGGTTGCTCACATTGAGCAATTACAAAAGAATGTTTTGCTAACGTTTCGCTACGTTGAAGGGCTTGTGGAAGGAATGTGGTGCTCAATTCAAGCAAGTAGGTTTTTTATAGCATGACTTCTCAAGTTTATATGGTGAGCTACTCTGCAACAGTGATGCAAAACCTTAAGAACTTATACACCTGGTTAAGAGGAAGGTTTTGATCAAAATGAGGAAGCTTCGTTATCGAAACCAAATTTTATGTTATGATTCGTGTTTTTTTCGACTTTAAAAAATAAATGGCCAATGATATTAGAACCATTTTTATTAAAATCATGCCAAATGCTTTATAGTAGCGAGGTTATACTACATAATAAATAAATTTTAAAATATCAAGCAAGAAAGTTCACTTTACTAACGGATAGCCAATTTATGTGGAAGTATTGATGTGCCAGAAACAGTTCCTAATTTCAGCCTTTTTTCAAAGACCACTGATTTTGCTATATGGAAATTTATCTTTGTTTCCAATTGAGGGATTAGTAGCCATGTCAGTGCATTTCTATCAATAAATGTTGCTTTAATAAAATATAATGATTTAGCAATACTGTTGGCAGAAAGATATAGCATTGGCGTCTGCAGAATTGCAGGGCTGATGACCCAATCCTGATAAAGGTATAGAAAATGTCGTTTTCGAAGATACTAAACAGTACGGGACAAAGTATTGTGGTACACCTTATCTTATGTTTAGCAAGAAGCCAAATTGTCCTTTTACTTAAGCTCTTTGTTCATTAGGTAAAATAATGAAATCGCCACTGATGAGAATCCTCCGTGAATAATAAGGTAGAAGATATTCTGTTAACACGATACCTGCCTAACCGTACGCATTTGAAATTACCTAGCCCTACTCATCAAGAAAGTGTTCTAATTTGGAACCGGTCTCATTTGGCCTCGGGTAAATACTCAAAACTGGGTCTCAGAGGCGGCGTCAACTGTCAAATAATGGGTGATAGCTGCACAAAAACAAAAAACCTGTAACAGCTGATTTTAATAAAAAAATAAGAAATTCAGAACAGGATTTGACAACGAGAAACGCATTGATAGCAAAGTAAACTGGCATATATTAGAAGGGGGTTTAATTAGGAAATAAAAAAACAGTATTGAAATATCTCGTCATGACAAAAGATTTGGCAAATAGCTAGCACCTTTTCCACTTTGCTTGCAAAAACGTTGTCAAATGTGTGGTGAAGCAACATGAGAATGACATATTGGGCTTCGTAGAATCTACGATGAAATACAAAGAACTCAAAACCGTACCATACTTTTACCCCGTTTTATTTACCTACACGCAAATCTCCTGCGTGTGCCGATTTATTTAAGAGTGGCTTTTATCAATGAGTGGTTCTTACACAGTGCTGGGCGTTCATTAAATATTGATGCAGTTAACACAGAAGAGAGACAAACAGAAAGCCAGAAATGTCATAGAGTACTTTTTATAAATACATTATCTCAGTTTTATAAGTTTGGATTTGAATTCAATTTACTTGATAGATAAATATTAAAACTCGCATATTTTCAAAATTTTCTCTACCTAAAAATTGATGCCGATTTAATGCACCATCCATTGATTCTGTTGCCCCCTTCAAATGCCGCCCCCTTCACCAGGCCTAGACAGCGTAGTTGCACCCTAGTTCTTCCAAACAGCCCCGACATTTCTCGCCAAGAATGCATATGAATCGGCCGCTTCTTCAATCTAAACGCAAAAAAAACACAATTAGTTACATCTGTTTCAACGAGGAAATGCCATAGAGATATGGGAAATGGAAATACAGAAGAAAAAACCAATTTTCGATCCAAATTGAATTTTATCTTCTTTGCTCGGTGTTGCGTAATATAATTTTAGATTGGTTATGCTAATACGCCATCACGTGAGAATCATTGTGAGAAACTTTTTGTAAAGGCCCATAGAGTTTTTAAAACGCCATCTGAGCACCGAGAAGACTCTTGATATGCCTATGTTAGTATTCTCGTCATATTCATGCCTTCAATTACTTTAAAGATCTCCATCTCCAGAACAAATCTCCTAGAACCTTCTTCCGCATTTTAAGTGAACAAATCAAAACTTGGAAAGAAACTTACGAGCATGGCAGTTGGCTTGCCTCCGCCATGGCCTGCTTTCGTGTCGATTCTTATCAACAAAGGATTGGTCTGAAACGAAAATTAGAGCTCAAGCACTGCAGAAAAAAGACATTTTTTATTACCTGATGTTCTTTCAGACTTTTCCCTTCATGAATACAAGGTCGATTTCGAACGCAGCAAACTTTAAAATGAGACCTAGCCTGTCCAAGTCTAAAAACCCATCGGGATAAAGATCATTAAAAGCAAAATTTTCCTCTGTAGAAAAAGCTCCATGTATGATCAATTGTTCAAGTCACTGACCAGTGGCGGCTCGTGACCTTCAAGATTTGGAGGACAGAACGGTGATATTTGCAATGCGCATGCGCAATATTTTTGTTTCTTAAAATACTAGCAGCACTTTTTGATCGAGCAGCAAAGCATGCAGTGGAAAGTACAGTAACACAGTTTCCTTAATAAAACCACACTATGTTTCGAAAGAAATTGGCTGCCTTATTCTGAAATTCATAGATTATGTAAATTTAAAAAAAAAGTATTTGAAAAAATCATTACATAGCAACCACTGAGTGGAACTTGCTCATGAACTTGGCAGAACCTTAAATCTGGATAAAGAAATATTAGGATTCAGACTGCACAAAACAGAACACTTTTTGAATTTTACTTTGATCTTTATCTATTAATGAGATAAACATTGATCAAATCATTGTCTAAATTTAGCCTGGAAATCAGTCTTTTTACGGGTTGTTTCCTCTAAAGAACAATCAGCAGATATTTTTATATAAACAGTTGTAAGATCAGAAATTGAAAGTTCTTTTCCTTGCAGAGATTTTACATTGTAAAATATTAAGAGCTTCCGAAGACATAATTAGCCTTCTAATGTCATTATTTTGAAAACCTGAACAATTCCATTCTCAAGAAATCATTCATTGAGATGTTGGTATTTAACCTTTTCAGATAAATCCCTCCAATCATTTACCCGCGTGCGTATCCAAAATTTTCGCGTAGTGCCCCGCCGAAAAATCAACAGTTGTCAATACACTCGCTACATCCCGTCAGCCATCTGTACTTTGTGTAGACCTACCATGTTGTTGAAAAGCGACGACTGGTTACTGGTGTCTTGGTGTTGAATAACGAAAGATCAGGCCTGTCGGGACCTAAACGTTTTTCTTCAAGTCATATTCAATGAAAGGGGCGAAATTTTTCACTGTCATAATCGTCTGTTGTTGAACGTCGCGGAGCACAGAAAAAAATAAACATGTAGATGTGGTTGTTGTTTAAAGTGGGAGGGCAAAATAGGACGCCGAATTCTTCAGATTTAGTCGATCAGAGGTCGCGTTTTGGAAAGCTCGGGGTTGAAAATTAGTTTGTACGCATGTCAAATAGGGGCAAAAATATTTGCCCATGAAATGACATCATCGCTCAAGGTTCTAGTCAGAAAAGAGGCTAGGAACGAAAAGCGATGGCAAGGGACCATTTATAGAAGAGATATACGTAGTTGAATAATAAAACAAAACATTGATTTCTTAAATTTGCCTTGAAACTTTCTTTTTTTTTGGGGGGGGGGGAGGCATTGCCATAACCATAACGTCTTAGAACATGCGACATTCCATGTACGAAAATGTGACATTTACGATTATTTGATAATTGATCGAATTTAAAATGGCAGCTAGGTGATAAAATGTAATGAAAGTTATAGAAAGTTGGAATCCTTCTACAATTTGAACTATGGGGAATATCGAGCTAGAATTTTCAAATTATTTTCAACTCATGACATTCACATTTACACTTCAAAAGGTTGGGTGAGAAAATATTTGATTTTGCCCTACTTTGATATGGAATGACCCATAGTAAAAAATTTACCTGGTTTTCTGCTGAGCCCATTACATGCTGGAGTTCAGAAATAAACTTGAACGAATGCAGTGGTACAACTCGGTCATCGTGGTCAGCGGTTAAGAGTAGCATAGCAGGATACTGGGAATTCTCTTGCTCAGGTTTGCGGATGTTGTGCAGAGGTGAATATCTACGTCAAACGAATTTGTCAGGAATACAATAAAAAGTTTATATGAATATTTATTGAAACATAATAGTTAAGTTAATGTCATCAGTTTTTACATGGCGGTATTCTGTTTGCGTTTTTACGTTGCAAAAGTTGGACAATTTTATCTGGTTCGAAGAGAGTCGACAAAACGACAAAAGCGGCTTTGATTGTAAAGTATGATAACACAATGATATGGTCGTTTATTGGTTACATTTTGCATAGAGAATCAACCTAAAACATCGTCTTATAACGTGTTGTAGATAGAAAAGCTGATGCATACTTAATAAGATATTCAAATCCATCTTCTTTGTCAGCACAGCCAAAGTCTGTAATCCTGAGGAGAGTGATATAAACTAATTAGAAATGGCTTGTAAATGGTTAGGGTTTTTGCGAAATCAAATAAATGTTTTTACAATCTCTAGAAATGTAATATTTGCTTTGAAAAGATTAATATATAATTATGATTTACAATAAGAATTATAATTTACAAACCAGGCATGTCCGATCGTAAACTTATGGAACTTTAACATGTCCAGAACTCTGAAAAGAAATCAATACATGAGTTGACAACTGAAATGCATCGGAATTGAAAGAGAAAGAGATTTTAACTGGCTGTAAACTTAATGAACATTTATGTACTTCATTAAAAGAGAAACGCTAAAGAGTTATTGTGATCACAAATATTCATTTTTTGATATTATATCAAGTTCGTGCAAAAATGGTAGAGAAGGTAATCTGGGAAGCAGAACAGCATAAATTCCCGTACAGAAGTGCAAGATTGAACTGTGAGCATGGATAAGAGTTTTCTCTCCTTCATCTAAACGCGCGTCCACTCATCTTGTCATCTACGCTAATTCGCCTCTCATCTCTTCCATTTACTCCTATATATTCAACCCCAGTACAGTAAAGGCAGCGTTCACCCCCGGATGATTTTCGTTGCAAAAACACTTTAAGCTATATCCTGTAGAGGCTTACCCAACATGACACAAGACGCATTTATATAGCTCGGGGCGTTGGTTTGCGCATGCAGCCACAAGCAGACCACCGTTGGAACCACCCTCGATTGCCAACCTGAAATATAAAAGAAAAAACTCATTACTGTTATCACATACGGGTATAGTGTAAACAGGGTGCAAGAAAACTAAGGATTTACCCATACCGGCGTTAAATCATACCGGCATAGTACCAACATAGTGTAAATGGGGTCCAAGGATCTTTAGGGGACCATGGGCTCCTTGGTAGATCAATTCTATCAAATAATGCCTTCCGTGAAGAAAATCCGGTGCAATAACCGGAAAAGGTCGATTCAAAAAACGAAAAGGCCGGTGCAAAAACAGGAAAAGACTAGTGCAAAAACAGGAAATAGCCGGTGCAAAAACTGGAAAAGGCTGTTGCTTGTTACTAATATTGTACCAAAATGAACTAAGCTAAGGTTGGATTGAAGCTGATCAACGAAGCAGCAAATTGAAGCAGTCAATTCCTTTGCAGGAAAGCATTGTATCAACCGGATTCAGCGCTCAGTCCTTTTGTCAGGTAGCTTTCACCCTTAATTGCAGCATTAATTAAGAAAGACTTACTTCTCACTAGATGTGTACTTGTTTTTGACAAGATACTCAGCAGCCACCTGAAAATCATCAAACACATTTTGTTTTCGTTCGTACGTTCCAGCGCGATGCCAATCCTCGCCGTATTCCCCGCCGCCTCGTGTGTTGGCAATGGCCAGCACGCCACCAAGATGCTGAATGAAAATCAGCCGTTTGACACTGAATGCGGGCAAAATGGAAATGTTGAAACCACCGTAGCCATATAGCAAGCACGGATTATTGCCATCTAGAACGATTCCCTATGAAATACGAATAAATTTGCAAAGAAAACAAAATAGTCGAACTTCTACAACAAAAGATTTTCTACCACAAAATATTTCATTTCAGGTTATCCGTGGATTGTGTGTAAATGCAACCTGTTAAAGCGTACCTACAGATACTTGGAAAGAGTTTCTTTTATTCACAACTACTTCTAAAATAGGCAAATATTTATCCCTTTTATCAACAACGTTTTTAGCAAACACGTCACAATGAATACCAAAACTCTGACAAAATGGTTTGCATGCTGCAGCTTCAGTCTTTGATTTTTTCATTTGTATCACTGAAATCATCAGATGAAATTTTTGAATTATAGTTGCAAAGACAGGATGTCCCATCATTTTTCTCCTTAAACTAATCATACCAACATCAAGGCAAATATTATTAGATATAACTACTATTTGATTAAAGTTTGTTTTGTAACAATACATGGTATTCGGGGTGGTTATAAATGTCAAAAGAAAGATGTAATATTGTTCACTGCCTCAAAGATTTTAGCAATATTTCTTATTATGTGACAACAGTCACATCTTAAACATACCACATATACAAAACATTATAGCTTGTACCTTTTTGTGAATAATGAAAACCGGGACTTTTGTGCCATCTTTGCTTTCAACAAAAACCTGTTCAGTTTCATAATCTGATGCATTGAAGCCCTTCACTTCGATCTCTCGAAAAACCTGCAATGTAAAAAGCATCCACTTAACTAACTCACAGCAAGAACAAAGATTCATGTGGTCAATGTTAAACAGTCAGATGGCAAAATTGGGATGTTAAGACTTAACTCTGTCGAACATAAGGTGGGAACTAGCCTGGAATATAAGAGAGTGCAGAATGGTGAATCATGGTAGAGCAGTGTTGAGAAATTACGTTAGAATTTTCAATAGAACTACCTTTGGTTCTGAGGATTCATCAGTTAAATCCCAATGAAAGATTGTGCCAGGTGCCAAAAAAGAAGTGAACTTGTAAAATATCTGGAATTTAAAAAAAATAGAAGTGGTTATTATAAATATTGACCATGCACAAGGTGAATTACTTTTTAATGAATGTACGTGTACGAAAAAACATGAGAAATTTACATAATCCGAGCAGTTAAATATGAGTGCAGTATGGAAGCAGATAGTAAAAGCAAATGTTATCAGCCTTGTAACCGAACTACTAACTGTACAAAAATTCCTGTAGTTAATTGCATAATAGAACGAGCGGCTTTTGTTTTGTAATTGGAACTTGAAATAGTATAAACATGAAAGAAGGGTTACGTATAAGAGCATATTAGTTTAAAATAAAAGTTGTGAAAACCGTTTTTATTTTTTGAAAATTCATGCCCAGTGAAAAAAAGAAAAAAATAGATTTTCAGCTCCTATACAATGTAAACAAATGTAATTTTCAGCAAGATCGACTTTGAATATTTGCTTCTCGTATCAATCTACTTTTTTAGTGTCAAATTTTTCTGATTAAATTACGTTAAGCTTATCATAATGAATATGCTTGAGTATGAAACAAACCATAAGAGCATGCTAGTCTTTGAAATGAAATATAAGACACTGTCAAATGCATTGAATGATGCATCCTTTATCTGCCTCACATCTTAATATCACGATCTCTTTAGCTATTGTCTAAACTCAGTAAACTTCCTTCAAACTATAATTGTTACTTAAACACTATAAAATATCAGGAAAAGATCAAATATGAAAAATAGTAAAATGCTTTAACATTATGAAATAAAAAATACAATAGCATCCACTAAACAAAAGCAAAAGTACCAAAGTATGACGTCATCAAACATCAATATATTCTAAAAATGGGTCTTATGACGTCATCACTATATGACTCTATGTATAATAAAATCGCAATTTTCAAACTTCTAAATATTATAAAAATGATACCTCTGTCTGTTCCCTTCTTCCCGAGTAGCCAATAACAGCACCAACATCCAGCGGCAGTTCGCGTAGCCTCGTTCCGTCGACAAGGCTATGAATAAACAGCTTGTTCTAGCAGAAAAGTTGAAAAATCTTGTTTAGCGAAACTGATTGAAAACATTTGCAAGTCAGACGAAAATCTGAAGATAGGCCTATATTTTCAAATATGTTGATAATACGTTCATATAGAATTATACTCCGAGATCTCCACATAAAATTTTGCCCCAAATTTTCCGATTAATATCAGTCCCGAAATCAACACATGAAGGCTTAGTCAGGAAACTGTTAAATCCCGAGCAGGCGAAATGAAACATGCATAACAAAAAGATGTGAAAGAGTTTGGCGGTTCGGCCGTACAAATGAACAAGGATCAGACTATTCCATTGATCGAGGACCGAACAATTGTAAAATTTAAAATCATTATGGGTATGACTACAATTAGGGTTTATTGGCGATAAAACATTGCATGAAGAACATTGGATATTTGCATGACGTTGTGAGTAAGCACAGGAAACCAACTATTTTTATAGCTGTTGATAACTCCAACAACTTTGAACATTAGCTGTATTATTCCAACAATTATTGTAACTGAATACTTGACCAGTTTATTGCTGGTAAGTTTACGGTGAAGTAATTGAGATGCCAATTTGCAATCGGGATTCGGCCTTTTTATGTTTAAATCATGGCACCTAGGCCATTAAGTCATCCCTTCTAAAAACGCCAAAGATAGTAGCAAAACATTAAATGAGTTACCTTGACATCATGGAGCGCACACACCACCAGCTTGTCTTTGTTTACACAGCCAACCCACTCAATCACATCCCTTTCGTCTTCCTCGATAAGAGTTTTCCAGCTCTCCTATCAACAAATATAAATAAATTATTTACAATGACAACTTGAATGGAGGATTTTTAGCATTTCCTCAAACTGTCGAGAACAGCGATTCTGTAAATTATCCGTGAATCACATCGTCAGACTTGCTTCATTCTAAACCACAGAGATGCTACAAGTGCAATTTCAAGGCTTATTTTGCTGGGATCAACGACAAAGCAAGGGTCCTTACCATTTCGGATTTGGCAAAGTCAATGTTGATGACCTTGTACTTTGGTGCCTTCAGATTCGTTTTGAAAGTAAACACAGTTCCGTTGTTAGCAATGTACTGAAAAAATAAGAAACAGTTATGAGATCAAAATTACACTTGTTCCTATGTTCCTACCAAAGGTTTGACCAAGGGAATGGAGAAAGTAGCAAAACAATTTATAAAGCAAAATAAAAAAGGATTTCTATATGGCGTTAGTGGGTTGCTGAAACTACTAGTCGCTGTATTTAATACTAGATAAGTAAACACAAACAGCTTAATTCTTCTTGCCTTTTAGGTATTGCTTTGTTAGAGGTACGAAAAGGAAGAAAGTTTCTTTTGTTTGGCAACGAGCTGAGAGAATATGAGCTTCATTCACTCTTTCAGAACAAAAAAACTATTGCAAAGAGGTATTTTTCCACTTTTTTTCTTTTTCCTCAAACACACTTAGAAAGGATTCTTGCCAGTGTCAATTCAGGCGTTTTTCCTTTTTCATACATGAAGACAAGATAACAGTGCTTTTTGAATTAACCAAGAGCTGTGGCCGCTTACCTCATACTCGGCATCAAAATTATCGATGAGTTTTACGTAAGGCAGACGATCTACGATAGAAAGAATCTTTTAAAAAGTTGCCAGAAGAACCTGTTAAAATGCAAAAATCGTGATAACCAGCTACATTAGCAAAATTTAAAACAGCTTTGAAAAAAGCAAAAATATTTAGAAATGTTAAAGCATATCTTGGGACAATTTTTAAATGCGAATTATTTCTGTAAAACGCATCTTTTCTTAAACTCTGCTAGAAGGCGCATGTGAATAAGCTTTTGATACGAAATAATAAACTGATAAGCATTTTGAATAGCAGTACAGGTCCTGAATTATCTTGAAATGTGTAATACTTTTTGAAAAATCTAAAAAACAGAGATCTTATCAAAGTAAACTTGGTATTTAATTGGTCAAGAAAACTTAGAAGAAAGCCAAAATTTTACTTAAGGCCTGTCTTTCATGATCTCATATGTAACTCCATATGATCTCAAAAGTTTGAGAGAAATTTTCGAAGCTTGTTTGTATGTGTTACTTGATCAAATGCCTGTGAAATTATGCTTTTTCAAATACTTTTATAAAAAAGAAACGTAAGTACACAAAAGAATCCAAAACAAATTTAAAAAACCTGTTAATTAGACTCTTGTGTAAATATAAGATTTTAAGGGGTGATTCAAGGACAAGTTTATGTAAAAATTGTAAGTTTGCATTATTAGGTCTATGTAAATGTTATTTGCAAATGGTCCTAAAGTTTAGGATATTTTTTATCATTTGAAAGAAATATCATTTAAATCTAGCAACAATACTACAGTCTGTTTCAATACAGCAAATTCCTGAATTTTTAAAATGAATTTCAGCGGAAAATAAACACCGTGTCGCACCAGCTTTTTCGGCAAGTACATTCCTTGTTGCTTTGAAATGAATGAATGAGCATACCTTTGATTTCATATCCCAATGTTTCAAGATCAACATAGTAAAGCTTGTTCACTGGATCGCAGCCATTTCGCACTGAAATCAACACATATCTGCCATCGTCACTCACTTCTGCACCACTGCCAAAACAAGAAAGCTTTTGTTTACTTTAATTAAAAGCAAATTTCCATACCAAGTTAAACTCTTAGTTTGTTAAAAGGTTGTATATGCAATGAATTTCAGCTTTGCAACCCAAAGATAAAGAAGGTTCATGGAACAGTTTACTTTTCATAAAAGTCGAGGATATTTCGTTAAGATTCTTAACTTGTACAGGTAACCTGAACATCAGTTTGTTCAAAGTTGCCCATAATCTTGCATCAAAGTCTGACTTTATGCTTTCTTAAGGCAAAGAAACTTTTTTATGTTATAGAAACATTCTTTTTTAGGTAGTTAGTAAATGTACTATTTGTTTTCCTTTTTCCTCAAGCATAATGAAGTGAAAATTATTTGACTTATTATTTGAAGAAAGCACCGATAGAGAGGGTCATAAGATCCTGAGGAGGTACCAATCACCTTTAATGACATGGTGCAGGCCATGAGATAACTTTGTGTCAGATACATGATTGTGGAAATGGAAGAAAACAACGAATCTTTGAATGGTAGCATTCCGGCTGCCTTTTCAGTATTGGGTATATTTTTCCAATGATCTAGAGCTGTCTAGAAATGATAAGAGCTATTGGGGGCCTTTAAAATGTTTGATGCAGTCTACGCTGCCATTCAAGGTGCTATTTAGACCCAGCACCCAAACCCCTGACCGTATACAACAGGACAACAAGCATAGAACACCATCCATTTTTCCAACTTACAGTAGCCAATCAGGGTTCTCTGGTAGCTCCGCGCACAATATGTCCTCTGATTGATCAGTTCCCATTCGATGGTAGTAGAGCTGAAATGCACAAGCGTCACTTAAAACTTCGATATACATAAACAAAGTACATCTAATAGCTAACAAATTCCTCATAAATTACAAGATTTCATGTTTTATTAATATTGAAACGAAAACTGTTAATATACGACAAGCAATAAACAGCTGCTGAACAGCCTCATGATAAGCAAAGTTGAACCATAATTTGTTAAATGAATTAAACTATTACAGTTCCTAACTTAATTAATTTTAAAGAAAATTACAATTCATTTCAAGAAAATTTCTTTGCTTCTATTTGATGTTATCTTGTACTGATTATCAGAATTCCTCTCCATGGAGTCGTATCTAATTAGGATGATAAATAAATCATAATATGATTACCTATCCTTATCTGTTTTTCTACCCTGATTTAAAATATTGATTGAATGCCAATAAAGATTAGTGTAAACCAGTTATTTATAGAGCACTAATTGCCCTTTAGACAGATTCATACACAATCTGATGTGCAGAACAGGATGGTTCTACGCCTCTTCTGGAGAGCATGTACCTGTAACAGCTGATTATAATTTGATTGCTGCAAATGAAATAAACATACTTTCTGGTTCTTATTGCTTGATGTCTCTGTTCCATCTTGCTTTCCCTCTATTTTTGGATATCTCTAAAACAGCAGATTTCAAAGAAGTACAGGAAAACAAAGGCTACCTTTCACATTTTATAAAGTTTATTTGGCTGCAGAAAATGTCACCAGATGTTTAACATATTTTATGTTCAGAGAGTACCTGTTAGAGTTGAAATGCAATAATGTATGAAGGTATCGGTATGTAAGAAGGTAGTGTGATTTCAGAGGCAACTAATTCTTTTTCATTGGATGTGCAAACAGATTTTTACTGTTAAAAGGCCATAGAAGATTGATCAAGACAGCAGATCCACTCCACTCACTGTAGATTATATCCATTATTAGATGTACTTCATACTTTAGATTTATATTTACTATGTGACTCTGGTGTTAACTTTGATAACTCCTGTTATGATACATGAAAATACATGTATGAAGACACATTTTACTACTACAAAGACACATGTATATGATTTTGCACTTGCCATTAAAGATGTCTACCAAAATTTGGCATATCCCCATTGACATATGCATTCTAAGCAATCCCTTTTGCTATTTGTGTATGATCTAGCAGGATTATTCTACAGCAAAAATTGAGTATACTTGTCCCAGGCATAACTGAATTGCAAATTTAATGTGCTAATCTTATTATCACTGTAACCAACACATTTGGAAAGAAATTAATGTGTACTCACATTATAAAATAAACCTTTATTGTCATGTGTCCATGCCATGCAGGAAAACTTTACATTTTCAAGGACATCAGGCAGATCTTCTTTAGTGGAAACATCTTTAAACTGCCAAAATCAATAGTGAAATAGTGTGAATTATAAAAGATTGAATGTTGCTAACTTGAAGTCAACTGGTATACACATCAATGCTTGATCAGTGGTGAAAATTAAAAATGTTCACAAATATATCAGATTTGGTGATAAAGTTAATGGCACTATCTATCTTCTTTCAATAGGTTTAGACCATTGCCATGTATTATCAACATTACATTAACCCGCCCCCCCCCCTGCTTACCCACTAGCCTTGCAACCCACATTCCTAAAACTCAGTTTCACCAGGTTGTCTGCATTGATGTATACTTATTTGATAGGGCATAACAAATTGCAATGAATAAATGCGAACATGCAAATGATTGGGTACAAATTCAGCACATTAATGCATGGCTTTGACAGCTCTAATCAAAGACTTGTTTCATTCCTTAAAAGCAATTTTCAGGCAACCTCTCCATTTCCTTACTGAGATCCACGAGAAAGGAACTGTATCCAGACCGAGAGAAGAGACAAGGGTCAGTCAGGTTACTAGACATGGGCAAGGAATGGTATGCATCTGGAAAAATTAACTACAGAAAGGTAACTGAACAGCATAGATAGAGTGTGGGGTACAGAAAAAAGCTTTGAAAAGGAAGAATAACATATTCAATTTTTATTGAGTTGTATTTCAGTAATTTTTGAATACCTTTATTTTATACCAGTCAGACCCATTTTTGCTCAATCCATAGGCAAACAAATTTGAATCTTTTGAGAATTCATAGCCTTTGATTGAAATGGTGCCATCAGGTGCGAGTTCATTGGGATCAAGAAATACCTTTGCCTCTGCACCCCAACTTTCTTGAACATACATAACACTATAGGAAGAACAAAAGCTTATTTGCTTTCACTATATTCAGGCAGATATTGAAAACTGCATTCAAGGATAAATTCATTAAAACTTAGTGCTGCATGAAAAAGAATAATAGGTAGTCAATTATGATAGGCATAATTAAAAAATGTGAATCTCAAGGTTAAAAAATGCAATGTAGAAACAAAATAAATTTCAATTCATACTAGGCATATAAAATTGTTACAGTCACAAGTGCAATTTTCTTTGCTTCATCGTCACTGTTATACTAGTCAGGAAACAATGTATCATCATCATATAATAGTTAAGAAATCTCTGTAAATTTTAAAAAGCTAAAAAAATCCAATAAATCTAGAAATCTTGTACCGTAATTTATCAATGGTTTGTTTAGGACATATGACTCGATAGCTCCTCGCGAGTTTTTCTCATGTGTCCTTCAGCATAACAAAACCACTTCATCTGATGTACTTAATTGATTAAATTTTTGAAAATGCTAACTTTTGTATTCTAATTTTTAATTCTTGGTATATTGTAATTAACATTTGTTTTTGCTGATAAAGATTTTTTGTTTATCTACTGCACCATAGACACCTGCCATGAATTGCATGCTGTTGCTATGACCCATTGATACTCCTAATTAACTCTGCTATACCCTTCAGTTGGCAAGACAGATTTATGGCCTTCAATGAGCTACACACCTGTCCTCCCTACGCTGGTTCAATGATGGTGTTATGCAAATTCATTTATACACTTTTACTTCTTTCTGTTATTAATTGGTCAGCAGTGACCCTTGTTGGCCTGGAGCCTTTAAGCTTCAATGGTTGAAAACGTTTCTATACTAAGAATGTAGATTATAACAACTATAAATTACATCATTATTAACTATTATACATGCCTCTGATTCTGCAAGCCAGAATTGTAAAAGTAAAAGTATCTTGATCCTCTCTTGAAAGGGCAGCCATACTTTGGGTAATCCCAAAGCTCCTTTAACCTGCAATATCAAATAATCAAATGTCAAAAGCAAATGCTTGAACTTGCATTTGAAACAAAGCTTTAAAATAAGTATACCTACTGTGAGAGTTTCTTTTTATGAACTACTTACTATCAAAGTCCATTTATGAATATCCTTGGATGTCAACGCTACCAAAGCATTTTAACAAACCCAGGCCAGACACATTGCAAAATTGTACAGAAATGTGATCAGCTTAAAATCATGCATTCAATTGGTAAGTAGAGGATAGGTAATAAAAATAATTTTCTAAGCCAGAAAGAGAAATGGGGTGCCATTACAATGTTCCCTAATGTCCAAATAAATTTTGTTCTACATGCAAATAATATTTTGAATCACATTAAGGTAAGTTTATATGACTAAGTATGTTGCAAGAAAAATTAATAGCTTTATGGAGATATGCATTCTTACATTGCTAAGGCAGGTGCAGGTGAAGGGTTAGGTCAGCCTAAGAGCTAGTGTGGACCTTCCATAAAAAACCAAAGCCTACGTACGCTTTTTCATTGACTTCTAAGGAAAAAAGTGTACGAAAAGTAACGAAATAAGTAAGCAATACAATATAAGTAACGAAAAAAGTATCCATAATGTCCATATGACCTAAACGTCGTGTGGATATTGGCTATGTTGCCTTTATCGAATTTAATAGCAGTGTAATAATGTGTCCGTATGTTTTTGGTTCTTTTAAATATTCTCTAAAGATTTCAGCTGCTTCATCTCTGGGGGAATCATTTGAAGAGGAAACTGCCCGGCTCCTTGCCCCTAAATCCAATGAACAGGCGACAACATCCAGTTTAGGTCTTACTAGGTGGGTAAAAAGGTTATTGCTCCTTAACTGATTAAGCTGGAGTACAATGCTTAATACAGAAACATACCTGTCGTAGAATTTTGACTTCACCTCACAATCATTGAGATATTCTGATGTGATCGCATTTTGATCTTCAACAAACTTTTTCGTCTCATCCGAATCAGGATCCTCCAGCCAAAAATAGGGGTCTAAAATTTTCTGGCCATGGTATGTATCAAAATTGCTTTCATCACGCCTAATGCTTGGGTATTTGATACCCGACATAATTATTTCCTTTCCCTAGAGTACTACACAATATACGTCTTTCTTATTCAGACTTGTAGTCCAGACTACATACAAGTTAAGTACAATACAACAATCAAAATTGATCAGTGAATAACAACAAGGGCTGTTGTTGCTCTTTTGTATCCATTTTTAAACGACCTCCTATTGATGTAACGCCGGTCTCGGTGAGCAAGGCTGTTCCTTCGCGCACTGTACCACCGATGGGGTAAGCGCAAGGAAGTATAAAAAAGTGGGGGGGGGGGCATTCGTTTAAAGGGAATATTTCCCTAATGCAAGCATTGTTGTTTACGGAGTAGCAAGCTACCTTTATCTACAGGTTACTGAAATAGAATCCATTGTGTCCTTGTCAGGCCCGACGGAACCGGGGGGGGGGGGGGGTTGTGCTGTAACACCCGGGCTGGGGTGCTGTAGCCTCCAATAATTTTCAAACTGTAGTATATTTCCTTTTTAACAGTGTACTGAGTGAGAAGGAATACCATGGTCAGCCCCCACCCTGATATGATTTCTTTTCCGACGGCACTGCTTGTTTTGGAAAGTCAACAATGCCAGATGCTAAAAAGGTTGGCGGCCAAATATTCTACGTTTGACGGCCTAATTTGGCCAGCCAAAAACAAAATACAGTGTAATCCTGATATAACGAACCCTGGATATAACAAACTCTCGATATAACGAACCAAATTGTAGGTCCCTTCATCGTAATCACCCCCGATATAGCGAACTTTTTATAAATTTTTTTTCATCTGGTATTTAAGGTTATTTGTTTCCGTGTTCATTTATCACGTTCTCTTTAGGGAAAATCGTTTTTGTAATCGGCAAAACATGCCAATGATACATTTCGATGCGACGATAAGCTTTTATTGAGAGACCCAGATAGAGAAGCAGAAGACGACAAATAAGAATATGAAGTAATCGAAGACGTCATTCAGCCGCCAACTAGAAGTTAAGTGATACCAGCTTTGCCAATCTCTTGGTCCCAAATTATAATCTTTAATAACCAATCAGTAATATTATTTGAACACAGCTTGATTTTTTGGGATAAAATGTGCACATGAGTTGGAGATAGCCTAAACAAGCACACCGCAGGTTTTTCTAGGGATGTACTGCGAAAAGACCTTCAGAAAAGAATACCAGTGACACAAAATAGGAATTGCCAGCGTAAGATTGGAATAGATTTCTAAATAGAATCTGATTTCTTCTCACTGTGGACTTAAGTGGTACACCCTTGGTCGATATTTGCGTTTTATTTTGATAAACATACAAAAAGACAAGCACCTCTTGCCAGAAAACTAAAAAAAAAGATGTAATCCCAACCGGACGTTGCCACACAGCCTTCTGTCGGGAGAGGTCTGGAATCCAGTTTGTTGCTAAAAAAGTATTCCTAAATAAAAGTATACGGAAATACTACAGTACATTAAATGTTGCTTGAAAGCTTGTAACTGTAAACCGAGATATATAGGGTGTATTTCATAAACTCGTGATCTTAAAAAATTGTTCTTATAAGAAAGAGTGTAATTTGAACCCGGAATTCTTTCATGGTCTCATCTCATCTTAAAAAATACTATAAAAAGTTGTGTTGAGTTTTATTGTCTATCTAGTTCGTATCCTTTGTTATTAGGGCCTTTCTGTTGAAAAGCGTGGAACGGAGCGTGGAGGCGGTCCCTGGTGGTTAGAAAAAACAGGTTGTTTACGTCTTGAAGGTTCAAATTGGATATGGTTATATACCTATAAGTGTGATAAAGGACATCAATGTACAATATTTGTAAGTAATAAATTTGATTATTTTTTCTTTATTGCTTGATTTACAGAAAGGCTTATTTTTAGATATATCATTATTAAGTACAGCAATTTGATCCTCGCAATGAAGTACCCTGTAAGTTATTGATGTAGGCGACCATAGTCTTGAACCTAGCTTAATCTACAGCAAGATAGAGAAGCACTCCTTTCGGATGTTCCCCGCAGCCAGACCATCAATTTTACCTTTCAAGTACTAACTTTTCGATACCATCTTCTCTGACATCTTTACATTTTTGTTATTGATCTTTGTTATTTTAATCAGTTGTCTTTGTCTCCTAATTTTTTCCAAGAACCCTTTTCATCCTTTGTCTTGTCTGTTCAGGAACTGTTCATCATTCTTTGATAACACCACATTTCCATTGATTCCAATTTCAGTTTCATGTCTGTACTGATTTTCAAAGCCTCACTTCAATAAAATAGAATTGACACAATGTAACAATAAAAAAGTATTTGTTTGTTTCGATTGATATTTTTCCAGACCCTTTTTGCGAAGCCCCTCTTCTTTTCCATATAAATATTATCTTTGCATTTGCAATTCTGCGCTTTACTTCTTTACCATTTCTTCCATCACTACTCAGAGTGCTCCCTAAATACTAAATTTCATGCTTTTCTATTGCGTTAACATTTAACTGGAAATGGAACCTTGAAATTATCATGTTCTTCTTGAACACCATCACTTTTGGTTTCTTTTTGGTTACGCTTAAACTTGAGCAAGATGGAAGAGATCTTTTTTCACTTTCTTTATTCCGACTATTTCATCACTTGATTTAAAAGGGCTTATGATTTTTTTTTGGTAGAGAAGAGCAAGAAAATCAGAGTGAAGTAAACTTGTTGCTTTCTATACTTATTCCTTGGGCCAACAACAAGCACAGTACAAACAAGACACATTTTGTTAGAGCTGATTCATTAGTTAACGACATGTTATTTACAATGTATAAGTCGATGTTTCCACTCTGTTGCACCATTCAAAAAATAAATATTATTATGACTTTTAAAATTAAAACATTACAGTGTAATAATGAATTTCAGCTCAACACAAAACATGTTTGTATTACAAAGAAGGTCCGAAACATATTTAAGAATATTGATACAATTCCATTTGATTGAGCAACGAATTCCACTGTGATAAGCTTGGCAGGTGGCAAATATAACACCTAAGTTCCTTTCAAAACGATTGGTGCTGTTTGAGGGCCGTTACAACAGAGCCCTTGCAATTTGGCACCAGTCATCTTACAATACTTTATTCTGCGTCTACTGAGTGTTACATTCAGACATGGGCCTGTTTGTCCATGATAATTTGAAATTGAGTCCACCAAGTTTGCCATCTGCCTTTTTTCTCCCCTTTTTCGAAGCAGGGGTTGCGCCCTTCTTGAATATCCAAATAAACGTGGCACCTCATGATTTGGACACAGAATAGAGGTTTGGATGCACTGCGTTTATTTGGTACTCGCTAAATGCGCGTGCGCGTGAATGCGCGCGCTTTTATTGACCTTATCACTGATCTAAAAAAAGTCATTTTGTTAGATCAGTGGACCTTATCAGTGGACCTTATGGATAATTTGAATACATTCCTCTCTTGAAATCTAAAGGATCACAATGTAGTCCCTATCAACTTTGACTACAGCGCGGGCCACATCAAACACAATGTGACCCGCGGGAAACATCAAACACAATGTGGCCCTCGGGAAACACGTTAGACAGCCCTGGTCTTTAGACTGGCACGAATCTGCAGATTAGAAAAGCGTAGATTGTGTGGTACTTAGCCAAAGGAAATAATTATGTCAGGTATCAAATACCCACACATTAGGCGTGATGAAAGCAATTTTAATTCATACCATGGTCAGAAAGTTTTAGACCCATATTTTTGGCTGGAGGATTCTGATTCGGAGGAGACGAAAAAGTTTGTTGAAGATCAAAACTCGATCACAGCAGAATATCTCAATGATTGCGAGGTGAAATCTAAATTATATGACAGGTGTGTCGCTATATTTAGTAGCCTTGTACCCAAGCCAGTTGCATAACCGAGACAGCCGGGGCCCTTGGGTGCCCTTGGGGATATTTTGGTTCAGGCTCTCGGATACTTGGCGATACTTTTTAAGTATTGAGAAAAAGTAACGTCTAATTTCAATTTGAGAAACTCATTTGCATATTTCTATAAATTTTTGAAGATGGTAAATGCCACAAATCTGATATAAAAAGATTAATACATTGTCGCAACAAAACATAAGCTTGAAAGCTCCGTCCGCATGTTATGTTCTAGGTCTATAAACTGGAACATTAAGACAATGTTTAATTGGAGGATATTCCCGCAACAAAGCTATCCCGCCTGTTCCTGTTTACATCGAGATGTCGAGATGGGATATCCCGTCTGGCCGAGATAAGATAAAAACATCCCGGCAAGACGGGACGGGATGAAACTCCCATGAAAACGCAAAGTGACAATTGCGCATGCTCCTATAGGCAGCTGGGGTATCCCGGCAAGGTAAGATTTCCCGCCTAGACGGGATATTCCGGCAAAGCGGGATCATGTAAACAGGCCCTTAAGGACTATAAAAAGTTAAAGGCCAAATACTATGAATCGTTTTTTATTTCTATCAACGATTTCCTATTTTGATATTTTTGTAAATTCATAAAAAATTTTAAGTTTTTAAGGAAAAGTTTTTAAAGGAAAACTTGAGGGCTATTTTCACAAATCGCATATTTTTAACTCGAAGAATACCGAGCTATCACTTTTGACATTTAATTTCGACTCTCGCAGGAGGTATAATTTTTCAAGGTATATTGGCAAAAAGAAGGTATATTGGCATACCATAATTGACATTTGATTTTTTGATATTCTAGGTTAAAAGAGCTTTGGGATTACCCAAAATATGGCTGCCCTTTCAAGAGAGGATCAAGATACTTTTACTTTTACAATTCTGGCTTGCAGAATCAGAGGCATGTATAATAGTTAATAATGATGTAATTTATAGTTGTTATAATCTACATTCTTAGTACAGAAACGTTTTCAACCATTGAAGCTAAAAGGCTCCAGGCCAACAGGGGTCAACCAATTTAAACCTGCAGCAAAAATAAGGAGTACATTACACATCAAATATTTCGGACGTTAATATTTTCGGACAGTAGGATCGTCCGAACTTATTATCGTTCGAAATTTTTATAGTTGAAAAATTATCTTCCAAAAGATTTTTGCACTGTATAGAGAAGACAAAGCAAAAGTTTTTAGTATTTGATAATGGAATTTCTGGCTCAAACAGATAGAGCTTATAGAGGGAACGTATTGAAACTGCTAGCTTCCACGTGAAACAGTTTCATATCTTATCAACTAATTTCATTTAGCAACAAATTTAGCTCAAAACTTTCTAAAAATTATTCGAAATATCATGATAAACGTCCGAAATACTTTTGTTAAAAATTATTTGTCCGAAATTTGTTCCTCTGAAATTTCGACATAAAATTTATGTATGTTACCTAAAACCATAATTGAATTTGATAGCAGGACAGGTGTAGCTGAGTCATGCCCGCCCCCTTGCATTTACGACCGTGAGGTTAGTTTGTAAAGCGAAAGGTTCAAAGCTCAGGTTCTCTCTCTGTCTGAGCCAACGGCTCTTTGGAGGGCACTTTAAAATGCTCCGCCTAATGAGGCATCACCCGCGAAAAAAGTGGAAAGGGGTTACCAAAGTTATGGTTTGAGAAAAAGTAATACCAAAGTTATACATAAATAGGCAAAAAATGCTCGAGAGAGGCTGAAGAGGATTCTAAAAGTTTTCTTGGAATGGCAAGATGTCGAATGAAGAGAACTTTGATAGATGATGGGAAAGTGCTTTTCGGTCACGTTTTCATCGAAACTTAGTCTACTATTTTTTAAGTACATCATGACTTATTCTAGACAAAAGGTCCATCGCATTTTCCCCTGACCACAATTTTGATGACAATGACGATAAAGCAAAGAAAATTTAATGTCAGACCTCCTTTCTGTGATCTGTGATCTGCTTTTCATCGAGGCTTATATACTTGATATTTTTTTTTTTAAATTCGCTACTGACATTTCTTTTTCATGCAGCACTAAGTTTTAGTGAATTTATCCTTGAATGTAGTTTTCAGTATCTGCCTGAATATAGTGAAAGCAAATAAGCTTTTGTTCTTCCTATAGTGTTATGTATGTTCAAGAAAGTTGGAGTGCAGAGGCAAAGGTATTTCTTGATCCAAATGAAATCGCACCTGATGGCACCATTTCAATCCAAGGCTATGAATTCTCAATAGATTCAAATTGTTTTGCGTATGGATTGAGCCAAAATGGATCTGACTGGTACAAAATAAAGGTATGTGCCTCAAATTTAGTGAAATATCTCAGAAATGATGAGTACATTGATCTTCTTGTTTAACTCTTTTTTCTGTCTCATACACTTTATGTATGCTGCTCGGTTACCCTATCTGGAGTTGATTTTCCCTTACGTCTGTCATACCATTCTTCAACCATGTCTCATCATAGGTGCGAGAATGGCTCAGTTGTAAGAGGCGCTGACTACAGACCTAAGGGTCCGTGGTTCGAGTCCCTGGCATAACCAAACTTTCACTTAAAGTGGGGAGAGTCGCCAGCTCTCTGTAATTCCAGGCATAGGAATCACGAGGTGTGGTCACATCGAGAGGAAGGACCAGGACACTGCTCGATAAGCATAAGCTTCTCAGTGTCCTAAAAACTACCTTCGGATGCTAGGTAGCAACAGATACAAATACATCATCAAGAACGGAGAGATTGGTTCCAAGCAGCCGTGGCCCACACGAGCTGTTTCCAATTGGCCCTCTTCGTATTTCTAGTAAATTAAAATTTAATCCATTTCTCTCAGATGAAGATAGATGATCTGACCGCTGTCTCTTCTCTTAATATGGATACATACTTTCTTATGGATCTTGGGAAGGCATTGAACAGGGCGTCTGGAATTGCTTTAATGGATCATACGTGTAATTGCTAGGCCAGAATGAGCCATTAGAGCAAACGAATCAAACCTATGCTAAACTTTTGTCAATCTCTGGTGTCTGTTATCTTTTCTCTTTGTATTTTTTAATGCCCTGCTAAATGAGTTGACATTTTATTAGACTTTCAAAACAATCAGCCGCAAATGTTAAATAGATAAATGCAACAATGCTTAAGCGAGTAATAATAATGAAAATGCTTAAAAGTTTGTGAATTGTAGCGACGTGCCTTCGAGTCTGAATATTTAATCCGACTCGGCAACATTGACAACTTTTGGGCGATACTCGCTTCGACTTCAACACGAGGAAACAGCGCCAATAGACTTCTTGGAAATGCACTGCACTGTAACTGGCAAGCCTCTTTGTAAACTCCTTTATAAACCAATAAGCTAACAAAACAAGATTACAACAATTGCAAGCTGGAACAGAGCAAAAGTTAAAATGGAATTACAGTTAAGGTTAATTAAACAATTTTCAGCACTGATGAAAAATTAACAGCTTTTTCTTCTTTTGAGATTCACACTTTTTATTCTTCTTTTATAAAGTTTCGTCTCATTTTGGCAGTTTAAAGATGTTTCCACTAAAGAAGATCTGCCTGATGTCCTTGAAAACGTAAAGTTTTCCTGCATGTCATGGACGCATGATAACAAAGGTTTATTTTATAATGTGAGTACATAATAATTTCTTTCTTAATTTGTTGGTTACAGTGATAATAAGATTAGTGCATTAAATTTGCAATTCAGCTATGCCTGGGACAAGTATACTCAATTTTTGCTGTAGAATAATCCTGCTAGATCATACACAAAAGGCAAAAGGGATTGCTTAGAATGCATATGTCAATGGGGATATGCCAAATTTTGGTAGACATCTTTAACGGCAAGTGCAAAATCATATACATGTGTCTTTGTAGTAGTAAAATGTGTCTTCACGCATTTATTTTCATGTATCATAACAGGAGTTATTAAAGTTAAAACCAAAGTCACATTGTGTTTATGAATTCTAAGCATGAAGTAAATCTAATAATGGATATAATCTACAGTGAGTGGAGTGGATCTGCTGTCTTGATCAATCTTCTATGGCCTTTTAACAGTAAAAATCTGTTTGCACATCCAATGAAAAAGAATTAGTGGCCTCTGAAATCACACTACCTTCTTACATACCGATACCTTCATACATTATTGCATTTCAACTCTAACGGGTACTCTCTGAACATAAATATGTTAAACATCTGGTGACATTTTCTGCAGCCAAATAAACTTTATAAAATGTGAAAGGTAGCCTTTGTTTTCCTGTACTTCTTTTAAATCTGCTGTTTTAGAGATATCCAAAAATAGAGGGAAAGCAAGATGGAACAGAGACATCAAGCAATAAGAACCAGAAAGTATGTTTAATTCATTTGCAGTAATCAAATTATAATCAGCTGTTACAGGTACATGCTCTCCAGAAGAGGCATAGAACCATCCTGTTCTGCACATCAGATTGTGTATGAATCTGTCTAAAGGGCAATTAGTGCTCTATAAAAGACTGGTTTACACTAATCTTTATTGGCATTCAATCAATATTTTAAATCAGGGTAGAAAAACAGATAAGGATAGGTAATCATAGTATGATTTATTTATCATCTTAATTAGATGCGACTCCATGGAGAGGAATTCTGATAATCATCATAAGATAACATCAAATAGAAACAGAAAAATTTTCTTGAACTGAATTGCGATTTCCTTCAGAATTGATTAAGTTGGGAACTGTAATAGTTTAATTCATTTAACAAATTATGGTTCAACTTTGCTTATCATGAGGCTGTTCAGCAGCTGTTCATTGCTTGTCGTATATAAACAGTTTTTCATGCCAATGTTAATAAAACATGAAATCTTGTCATTAATGAAGAATTTGTCAGCTATTAGATGTACTTTGTTCATGTATATAAAAGTTTTAAGTGACGCTTGTGCATTTCAGCTCTACTACCATCGAATGGGAACCGATCAATCAGAGGACATATTGTGCGCGGAGCTACCAGAGAACCCCGATTGGCTACTGTAAGTTGGAAGGGTGGGGCTCTATGCATGTTGTCCTGTTGTATGCAGTCAAGGCTTTTGGTGCTGGGTCTAAATAGCACCTTGAATGGCAGCATAGACTGCGCGAAACGTTTTAAAGGCCCCCAATAGCTCTTATTATTTCTAAACAGCTCTAGATCATTGGAAAAATATACCCAATACTGAAAAGGCAGCCGGAATGCTACCATTCAAAGATTCGTTGTTTTCTTCCATCTTCACAATCATGTACCAGACCCAAAGTTATCTCATGGCCTGCACCATGTCATGAAATGTGCTTGGTACCTCCTCAGGATCTTTCTCCATTGATTCTTTCTTCAAATAATAAGCCAAATAAATTTTACCTCGGTATGCTTGAGAAACAAGGAAAACAAATAGTACATTTTCTAACTATCTAATAAGCGGTTCCATGAACCTTTTTTATCTTTGGGTTGCAAAGCTGAATTTCATTGCATATACAACCTTTTAACAAACTAAGGGTTTAACATGGTTTTGAAATTTGCTCTAAATTAAAATAAACAAAAGCCTTTTCTTGTTTTGTCAGTGGTGCAGAAGTGAGTGAAGATGGCAGATATGTGTTGTTTTCAGTGCGAAATGGCTACTATCCAGTGAATAAGCTTTACTATGTTGATCTTGAAACACTGGGTTATGAAATCAAAGGTATGCTCATCCATTCATTTTGAAGCATCAAGGATTGTACTTGCGGAAAACAGACTGTAATATAATTGTTGTTTTTATTAATAGTTTGCTGTTTATAAACAGACTGTTTATAATATAATTTCATATTTCATTCAAATGGTAAAATTATCCTAAACTTTAGGACATGCGGCGTTTAAATTAAAACAGATGCTGCATATTTATAACTTTAGATAATCTTGTTCGATAATCGTCCCTTAAAATCTTAAATTGATAAAGGAGCCTTGAGTGTCACGCATATTAGATAAAATTGAATGAAATTAGGTATAATCAATCAACTATGCAAATATGATAAATAAAATTGAATAAAATCAATAAAAAGCAAAAATTGTTTAATCAAAGTAATAAAATTACATAAAACATTAAAAGATTGAAAAAATCAATCAAACATGAAAAAAATTAAATAAATCAAGAATGAAAAAATTAAACAACAATAAATAAGATCAGTCAACCCTGAAAAAAATTAAATACAATTAATGGAAATCAAAAAGAATGAAAAAATTATAAAATTAATCAAAATCAATCAGCCATGAAAAATATTAGGTAGAATTAAATAGAACGAATCAACCATGACAAAAATCAAACAGAAAGAAATAATATCAATCAACGATGAAAAAAGTCAAGAAGATTAGTACTCTGGGTTTCAGAGCGTCAAGTGTAGCAATTAAATGAAATAAAAAAATTAAATAACATAAATCAACTATATATGGGTTTGTCAATGTCTCCTGAGCTCGAGCGCACCGGACAGACTGCACCTTCTCCAATTTCTCTTTTTGCGTGATTTATGATGTATATTTTTATATCCGCATCTTCGTGATCTGTTCTTAAATCTGGTACATCCTTAAATACTCCATTTGCAATATTTCTGCACGCGCTTGTTCGTTTTATGTTGCAAGAGGCTCCCCGTGCAGAAAGATTGCAAATGGATGTCCATGGATGTACCATATTCGTGTTGGTGATAATGGTTGATATTTTTGCTAAGGTTTCATTTTGCCCCCATTTTTTGGACAAATAGCCTCATTTTTCATAAACGGCCCCTCAACTGACTAAAGAACATCAGAATTTGGATTCTACGCCCAAAGATGGACCAAAATAGTCTGGTCTTGTAAATTACCTCTCTTGGTGGTAATAGCCTCCTGTTTGCTACCGAACTAAGATTTCCAAGGTGCACACCAACCAAAAGCCTCTGTAATTTCGTATCAATGACTAATTCGCGTGAGCGTTGTCGCAAAGTTAAAGAAACGTTGAGCTAAACCATTTTCAAAATAACTATACGAATTTAATTATTATTAAAAGAAAAGATTTTGTATGTCTAATTATTTTTCTTTTCGAAGCCCTTTCGAAATTTTGCATCATTAGAAAGTTGCTCGCGATTTAAAGCTGGTTATCATAATTTCTTCGCATTTCTGTGGCTTCTTCTGGCAACTTTTTAAAAGATTCTTTCAATCGTAGATCGTCTGCCTTGCGTAAAACTCATCGATAATTTTGATGCCGAGTATGTGGTAAGCATTCAAAACGCTTTGGCTAGTTCAAAAAGCACTGTCATCCTGTCAAAAATTGGAAAGAGGAAAAATGTCTAAAGTGGTACTTACACAATTTATTTTCAAATGCATGAGACAATGGAAAGAAAGTCAAGAACGTGGAAAGAAAGTCAAGAACGTGGAAAGATACCTTTTTCAAGAGTTTTTTCTTTGTTTTTTCTTGAATCTATATTGGTACTTCTTTAGGGACGTTCTAAAATATAGGAAGGTACCTCATTAGGAAAAAAGTTTTTGTTCTGGAATCTATAATAGTACCTCATGAGAGACAAGCTCATATTCTCTCAGTCATACACGTTGCCAAAACCACCAAAAATTTCTTCATCTTGTTACCTCTGATCACTTCGCCTAAAAGTAACCTTATGAATTAAACAGCTACGTTTTATAATGTAAGAGAGAAAAAACCAAACCGCTAGCTCTAGGAAAGATAATGCTAGCTCTAAGAAAGCTTTAAGAAAGATAGCAGTCAACGATGCAGCCCAATAACACCATATAGATATCTCCTTTTTATTCTTGTTTTCTTTATACCACTTTTCTCCCCGTTAAGACAACAGAAACCTTTTTGCGTTTTAGATGCATAATCTTAATCTCTTATCTTTTCTACTTTTTCAGTACATTGCTAACAACGGCACTATGTTTACTTTCAAAACGAACTTGAATGCACCAAAATACAAGGTTATCAACATTGACTTTGCAAAGCCCGAAATGGTAAGGAATTTGGCAATGTTATGATCCGAGCATGCTAATCATGGTCTCGTAGCATAAGCAGTCCAGTACACTTTCCACAGCTGCTCGCCTGTTTGTAGCACTTGTATGTTCGCTAAATATGAGCTTTTTTGTCCTGCTTGTATGTTCACCAAATGTGAGCTTGTTTGTGGCAATTGTATGTTCACCAGAAGTGTGCTTTTTTGTCGCACTTGTACGTTTAATAAATGCGAATTTGTTTGTAGCACTTGCATGTTCACTAAATGCGAGCTTATTGATCGCACTTGTATGTTTAATAAATGCGAATTTGTTTGTACTTGTATGTTCATTAAATGTGAGCTTGTTTGTCGGACTTGTATGTTCACTAAATGTGAGCTTGTTTGTAGCACTTGTATGTTCACTAAATGTGAGCTTGTTTGTAGCACTTGTATGTTCACTAAATGTGAGCTTGTTTGTAGCACTTGTATGTTCACTAAATGTGAGCTTGTTTGTAGCACTTGTATGTTCACTAAATGTGAGCTTGTTTGTAGCACTTGTATGTTCATTAAATGTGAGCTTGTTTGTCGGACTTGTATGTTCACTAAATGTGAGCTTGTTTGTAGCACTTGCATGTTCACTAAATGTGAGCTTGTTTGTAGCACTTGTATGTTCACTAAATGCGAGCTTGTTTGTAGCACTTGTATGTTCACTAAATGCGAGCTTGTTTGTAGCACTTGCATGTTCACTAAATGCGAGCTTGTTTGTAGCACTTGCATGTTCACTAAATGCGAGCTTGTTTGTAGTACTTGTATGTTCATTAAATGTGAGCTTGTTTGTCGGACTTGTATGTTCACTAAAGGTGAGCTTGTTTGTAGTACTTGTATGTTCATTAAATGCGAGCTTGTTTGTAGTACTTGTATGTTCATTAAATGCGAGCTTGTTTGTAGTATTTGTATGTTCATTAAATGTGAGCTTGTTTGTAGCACTTGTATGTTCACTAAATGCGAGCTTGTTTGTAGCACTTGCATGTTCACTAAATGTGAGCTTGTTGGTCGCGCTTGTTTGTTCACTAAATGCGAGCTTGTTTGTAGTACTTGTATGTTCACTAAATGCGAGCTTGTTTGTAGTACTTGTATGTTCACTAAATGTGAGCATGTTTGTAGTACTTGTATGTTCACTAAATGCGAGCTTGTTTGTAGTATTTGTATGTTCATTAAATGTGAGCATGTTTGTAGTACTTGTATGCTCATTAAATGCGAGCTTGTTTGTAGTATTTGTATGTTCATTAAATGTGAGCTTGTTTGTAGCACTTGTATGTTCACTAAATGTGAGCTTGTTTGTAGTACTTGTATGTTCACTAAATGCGAGCTTGTTTGTAGCACTTGCATGTTCACTAAATGTGAGCTTGTTGGTCGCGCTTGTTTGTTCACTAAATGCGAGCTTGTTTGTAGTACTTGTTTGTTCACTAAATGCGAGCTTGTTTGTCGGACTTGTATGTTCACTAAAGGTGAGCTTGTTTGTAGTACTTGTATGTTCATTAAATGTGAGCTTGTTTGTCGGACTTGTATGTTCACTAAATGTGAGCTTGTTTGTCGGACTTGTATGTTCACTAAATGCGAGCTTGTTTGTCGGACTTGTTTGAAGCATGTTTGAAGCACTTGTATGTTCACTAATCATGTTTTGTTTCTTGCTTTTGCTATCAAAGTGAAACCATTTGACTTCATGCTGATTTCGTGTTCACCTTCAAAAAGTGCTCCTCCTAAAAAATCGCTATTCCCGCGAAAAGTCTTGGTCGATTAACAACAATATATGAATAATGCTTGCAATCGGTTACTATATTTCTGAATAAAATATGACACTGAAGTTGTAGCGTTTTCTTCATGCGTAAATTTAAAATGCGTATTGTTTCTTTTTAGCTTTTGTAGTTCATTATTTGAAATGTTTGCTTATCTAGCATCCATCGTCATCATAACTTGAAACTTTCCTGCAACAACGAGGCCAACTGCACTGTACGCTCACGTTACCCTGTTGGACTTGCAAAAGGAAAGATCTGTAAAACACCCAACTCAAAAAAGCGCCCACCCTTGAGAAAGTTCCCCTCTCAAAAAAGGTGCCCCCTTGAAGACGACAAAAGTATAAAGGCAACCAGACCTGGTTCTAGAGGAAATACGGTAAGCAATGATAGTGAGGCGATTCAGGGATAGTTTACAGATTCAGTGTTCTCAACAGTTTAAGAAAAGGGTAACAAATCTCATTTTCAAGTTGTCATTGTAAATGATTTATTGACATTCATTTATAGGAGAGCTGGAAAACTCTGATTGAGGAAGATGAAAAGGATGTAATTGAGTGGGTTGGCTGTGTAAACAAAGACAAGCTGGTGGTGTGCACGCTCCATGATATCAAGGTTTAATGTTTTGCTACTATCTTTGGCGTTTTTACAAAGTATGGCTTAATGGCCTAGGAGCCACGTAAGCAAGTATTCAGTTGCATCAACATGTAACAGTAAGTGGTGCGAAGTACTACTAATTGCTTCGAAACACTTTTATGGCCTTTTATCAGTTACTATTTCTTTTTCTTTTCATATTAGGCTTGTAGGCCGTAATGGGCCATAGCCAACACAATTACAAGTTTCCTTCATTACAAACTAACAATTAATTTCAAATTAAAGTATGCGGTTAATACAAGTTAAGAAAATATGAACGTGATTATAAGCTATAGAGTAAACGTTACATAGATATTCACATAGAGGATTTCCAAAAAGATTCCCGAAATTTCAGAAACTACTATGTCATCAGTCACGGCCCATTCTCTATGGTATATTCAATGTCGGTGACGAAAAGAATAGGCACTTCACAATAAACTAATAAAAGCACACTAGCCATTTTCAAGTTCT